AAATAGGGGAGTCGAGTGAGATTGACCTTCATTTGTGAAAAATCCATCCTAGTAGACAGACATCATGTTGCAACCAGATTCCTGTGCGTGTGGGATGAACAATTTAGAATTGTTCCAAGTCCCCCCGACTAATATTGCTTTAGAAGACTCCAAATGGGAAGAATATTACCCCATTTCCAGTACTTTAGATTCGGATACGGCTCCTATCGAATTTGAAATTAATGGACAAGGAGATCAATATCTGGATTTATCTCAAACGTATGTTCAAATAGTGTGTAAATTTACCAAAGAGGATGGGACTAATCTGACTGGAGCTGGTAGTACTTGCGCCCCGGTGAATAATATCTTCCATTCTTTGTTTACGGAAATCGATCTCAGTGTCAATGGAAAAATAGTGACTCCGGGCACCGATACTTATCCTTACAAAGCTTATCTGGAGAAATTACTTTCTTACAAACCCAGAACTTTAATGACCCAGATGAGAGCTTGTAGTCTGTGGGAAAAAGATACAGCAGAACACATGGACGAAGTAGGGGTAGCAGACCTTGGAGTGGCTCAAAATAAGACATTTGATGTAACCCCAGGTGTAAATGGTGGTGCCGATACTGTGACCATTAACCAACCTATCGTCCCAGAGTTACCGGCCAATTCTAAAAACGAAGGATTTAGAAAACGTCACCAGGCTATCAAAGATAGTAAGAAAATAACCTTGTATGATCGTTTACATCTGGATTTATTTCAACAAGACCGATTTCTACCCAATGGAGTAGATATCCGTTTGAGATTTAATCGAGCTAAACCTCAGTTCTATATGATGATCAAAGATGGAAGTACGGGAAAAGTCAAAATATTGAGCATGATCTTATGGGTGAGAAAAGTCAAACCCACAGCCGTCATGATGAATGGTATTAATCAAAGTTTGAACACTCACAGAGCTAAATATCCATTGAGAAGAGTCGAAGTGAAAACCTTTACCATACTCACAGGAACACAATCTAAAATCACGGATCATCTGTTTCAAGGCCAGATGCCTAAACGCATCATTTTAGGTTTTGTGGACAATGCGGCATTCAACGGAGATAAAACTAAAAATCCGTTTCATTTTCAAAACGTGGGAATTAAGAAATTAGATGTCAGTATTAACGGAGAGACCATGAGTACTCGTTGTTTCGAACCTAATTTCAATGAAGACTTATATCTGAGATCTTATCTGAGTTTATATCAAGCACTGGGAAAATTAGGAGAAGATTGGGCCCCGGACATCACCCTAGAAGAGTATAAAAACGGATACACTTTATAAGGCTGGGATTTCACGAAAGATCAAGAAGCGCAATCGGATAAATTCCACATCATAGAAACCGGAAATCTGAGAGTAGAAGTCCAATTTACCAACAATACGGTGAACACCTTAAATTGTGTGGTGTATGCAGAATTCGATAATCTGTTAGAAATCAACAAACAGAGAGAAGTCAGTATTGATTATTAATGGATACAGGACAGTTAAAAGAAGTCTTATCCAGAGAATTAAAGAGTTCTTTTGGTGGAGTGTACCCTTTAGATTTATTACCGGATCAATTAAGACCTCAAGAAAAAGCCATTGTGGTGAATACGGATCCTCAAGATAAACCTGGAGAACATTGGGTATGTTTGTATTTGTCCAGTCCAGTCATCGAATATTTTGACTCTTATGGATTTCCTCCCTTACAAAAAGAAATTCAAGATTTTATCCATCGTCATGCTCAACAATGGATTTATAATCCGTACCGATATCAAGCTTGGAATACAGATGTATGTGGACAATATTGCGTGTATTATTTACATCAAAGACACAAGAAGAGAAAAACCGCAGATGAGTGGTTATTCCCCTTTGACCATAGTACAGCATTACAAAGAGATCATTATGTAGCTGAATGGTTTAAAGACACTTATTATAAAAGACCTACGGGTCATGGACAAACTTGTCAATGTTTCTATCAAAATGTATTGTAATTGTTGTTGTTCTTGTTATCATTAAAAGAATTGAAAATCTATTCTTGTTTTTTTTTTTTGATAAAAAGGGGTTTCCCATGATACTAAATATAGAAAAAAAAAGGTATAAATACAAGGTGTAAAATGAAAAAAATATATCAGTTATTGATGTGTCTTAATCATGGGTAACACGTCTAGTCAAGAAAAGAGTAAAATTCAATTTGGAAAGAGAGTTCTGAGAGAGGAAGATGTGGATAAAGGTATACCAATTCAAATACAGGAGGATGGAACTATTGAGATCCTTTCTCATGAAAAATATAATCAATTATGTCCAGAAAAGGATAATGATGGGAGAGATTACATTGAAAGACCCTTGACTGCAGAAGAAGAATATACCCATTTATTACCAAAAACAGATTATCCTGAAAGACCTAAAAGAAGCTGTGTCCAAAAAAAGTATTTTGAGAAAAAAAGATTGACACAGGATTGTAAGAGAAAGAATCATTGTAGAATCTGAATAAATCATTTAAAATTATCTTTGAATTGTTATCTATATAAAAAAGAAGTGTCACCCCCAAAAAAATTTCATTGTTTCAAACATGAGTCTGACAGAAGGATGTATCATGGAAATCAGAACTCAATTGTTGAAAGACATTAAAACTCATTATGAGAACCAACATAAAGAAGATCCAGGCAATCATTATATTGCTAAATTTAAAAAGGAGAGATATAGAAGAGCTGCTAATTGGATATTTAATTTAACTGGAGGTCACCAGGAAGATATAGATCAAATCATTAGAAGTGATTATCAATACTTGATCTTACAAAAAGAAATGCATCCAGAAACAGGAAAACTTCATCATGTGAGAGGATTCCTTCAAATGAAACACTGGACCCATGAGAGAAACATGTACAAAATCATTCATGGGTTAACCTGTTTTGATATGTCTCACAGCACACCAGAATTAGAAAGAACATTTTATAAGCAAGGTGACAACCATGAAGAATATGGGACTTTAAAACCTGAAATGAGAAACAAAGAATTAATTCCAAGAGATTGTAGATTTACTTGAATAAATAACATGGAGCTTGTGTGTGTGTAAGGTTTTTTTTGCCTAGACTGTGAATCAGTATGACGTCATAATCTAAGGTTTGTGTATTGACTGACTCAGCATAACGTAAACAAAACGTACAGAGTAGTGTCTCAGTAAAAACGTAGGTAAAACATTTATTTTTTGCACACCACCCCCTCTGAGGGTCATGATCAGTTGACCCTTACCATGAGTCAAAGTCAGTTTGGAAAAAAAAAAACAGAGACTATGGATATAGAGGAGGAGAAACAACAGTTATTAGAAAAAATAGAGACTATGAATATAGATGAGGAAAAACAACAGTTATTAGAAAAAAGATTGATCATGCCTATGGAAGAAGAACATTACAGTCCTCAAAGAAGAATGGAAGTGAAAACTCTGGAGGAGGATGAAGAACCTTGTAATGTTTACAAGAAGTATGATGAGATCCATGACCCAAAGGACTCATACAGAAGTTACAGAGTAGCAACTAATTGGACATTTGTCATCCAAGATGTGAGGGAAGAAGAAGACATAGATATGTTCATGAGCTGTGAAGATCAATTTCAATACCTGATCCTAGAAAAGGAAATTCATCCCTGGACAGGAAAAGTGCATCAAATCAGGGGATTCATTCAAATGAAAGAACCTGTAGGAGGACTGAATGTGGCTAGAATTCACTGGTTTGCAGATTTTTGTATGTCTCACAGTACACCAGAATTAGAAAGATTGTTTTACAGGCAAGGTGACAACTATGAAGAATATGGAATTCTGAAACCTGAGAAGAGAAACAAAGAATTAGAGTCCAGAGATGAATTCGGGAAATGGGAAATTGGTGCCTGGAGAGGTTTCCTGGAAAGAAAGAGAGAGAAATGATTGAGTATATGGAAAATTCAGATTAAAATTATTTTTAACAGTTATAGTTGTTATTTATTTTGTTCAGGTTGTATATATAAAAAGGTGTGACAATGAAAAAAAAAAAATTATTTCCAAACATGAGTTTACAGGAGATACCAGGAGATTTATTACACTTTCCTGTAGAAGCTATTGTACATCAATGTAATTGTTTGACTGTAAAAGCTCATGGATTGAGTCAAAGTATAGCTATGAAATACCCCAGAGCTAATCTCTATGCGACCCGCAGACCTTTAAGGTCTAGAAATTTAGCCCTAGAAGAAGATAGAGGAATTCCAGGCACCCTTAAAGTGTTTTCTTTACAAAAACCTGTAGTCATTTGTCTGTTAGCTCAATGGGATTATGGCACAGGACATTATAATCGCCTACCTTATTATCAAGATACACCAGAAAATAGAGAAAAATGGTTTCAAGCTTGTTTACAAGAATTGGGCACTTTACCTTACCAGACTTATGCCTTTCCTTATAAAATAGGATGTGGTTTAGCAGGAGGAAATTGGACTCATTATAGACAATATATTGAACAATTTGTACACACTTATCAAAAACAAGTGTACATTTTTCATAAACATTGATTGTGTGTGTGTGTGTGTTATAAAGATTATGTTATAAATAAAATTAAATAAAATAAAAAATGTGTTTATGTTATTTTATTTTTTAAAAAAAAAAGATTCATGTGTTACAAAAAAAAATAGTGACCTGGTGTTGATAAGTTTCTATAACCTTGAATGTTCTTAAAAAGGTATCTATTCGAATGATTAAAGTGGCCCTTAAAAGGGCCGTTGATACGTTTCTATAACCTTGAATGTTTTTTAGGTATCTTTTCGTATAGGTATCTATTCAAATAAGTGGCCCTTAAAAGGGCCGTTTCTATAACCTTGAATGTTTTTAAAAAGGTATCTTTTCGTATAGGTATCTTTTCAAAATAAGTGGCCCTTAAAAGGGCCGTTGATACGTTTCTATAACCTTGAATGTATTAGAGGTATCTTTTCGAATCATTGGAGTGGCCATTAAAAGGGCCGTTGGTTGATTTTTTTTATCAAGGGTTTACTCCCTGAGAGGCCTGCCTCTACCTCTGCCGGCGAACTCTGTTCGGTCTGAGAGGGGAGGTCGTTGGTTACCGGTCAACGGCTCCATAAAGTCTGGTCTTCCGGGTCGGGGTGGAGATGGCTGTCTTGGAGGAGGGGGTCTCAATCCTCGCCCGCGAGCTGCATATCTCGAAAGCCTGCGTCTACACAGAGGGCAACATTGGTTCATCTGTACCAGCACAGCTGAACACTCGAGACAAGCCGGTCGACGGCGACACTGACAGCAGATGTAATTGGACATGCGATCCTCCTCCAAGCAAACTGAACAGGAATCCAGCCTGCCTGCTGCAACTTGAATCCCCCATCTAGGAATTGGCCCCGTAGTACTCACACCTGGTGACATCTCCGGGGTCGGGAGTGGTGGTCTAGCCAGCTCCGGGGAAGGTGGTGGTGGTGGTGGTCTAGCCAGTTCCGGGGAAGGTGCCCAGTCATCGTTGACGGGAGGGGGCCAATCCGAATCAACGGATGAAGAAGCCCCCTGTCCAGCCCAATCGTTGTTAACGGGAGGGGTCCAATCCGAATCTACGGAGGAATCCCACTGTCCAGCAGCTGCTCCCGGGGGATGACTGGGTGACCAGGTAGGAGTTGGTGGTCTTCTTGGAGGGGACGGGCTTCTCGGGTGGTCCTCGAGTAGTTCCGGACTACTCAGAGGGGCCGAATACGAAGCAGCAGGTGTTGAATCTGTCCTCCTCCTCCTTCTCCTTGGCTGGTCATCTTCACTGGTAGACGGCGATCTTCGTCTTCTTCTACGATGTCTTTGTCGTCGCCGTCTACTTCTAGGCCCAGAGTAGCTATCGGCCAGTGAGCTAACTCCGTCCCGGTGTTGATGTCCCGCACAATCCAGACATTTACGACCTCAACGCCATCAACCAAAAAGTAGTTAGGAACGTCGTCCTCAGCCATACTGATAAGGTGCCAGCAGAACTGATACTAACAGAATGACACCGAGCTCTGGCAAGCTGCCGTATATATGTGCACATCACGAGCGTAAAAGAGAGCACCCCTAAACCGAGAGCCAAAAAAATCATGGCGACGTCAAATTGTGTTATTTTGTGCTTCACAAACTATACATTGGAGTGAATAACTTATTATGGGAATAGAAATACTTTCAAACATCTTACCCATCAGATGAAGGTAAGTTTCAGGCATGATTTCATAGTATTTTTGATGCATGACATTTATCTGTCGTCTAGAAAAGAAGCATTGATGTTGAACCGAAGGGCTAAAATCGGGTCACCTGAATACATCAAATAAGTATTTTTACCTTTTTTAAAGTGTGATACAAGGAAAACTTAATCTATACAATGAGATTAAACCTAGAGAAAAGTGTTGATGCTGTTTTTAAATCAAAGGAATGGTTTCAAGTGTAAAAATATAGCCAGAGTCGGTTTAGGTATAGACACAAGAAGGCGAAGGTCGGCCATTTTTTGTAGAAAATCACTGTAATGACTTGTATAGAGAATATAGGAATTTTTTAAATCGTGACCTTTTCTGACTGGAATTTTTAAATAAATCAAATCAGTTTAGTTAAAAAACAATCTGAATCCACTTTATTTCCAGTGGGAAGGTCTAGATGTTTTATAAATAACGATATTGAAAAAACACAGCGTCTTATTACAAGGCACAGCATTCTATACACATAGGCATGATTTTTTTTAGAAATCCTGAAAGATTTTGAGATAAAACAGAATAGTTTTAAAATCAATCTATATCTACTTTAATGGAAATGGGAATAGATTTTTTTTTCTGACTAAACAAAAAAAAAAATCTCAGCGTCTAAAAAATCTCAGCGTCTAAACCAGGGCACAAGATGGCGTCATATTTGTATAGAAATCATAACAAAAGACTTATTGTGGTTGACATCCTTTTATTTTTTATTTAATAATTGTTCAAATTGTCGAATTCTCCTCTGAAATCGTAATCGATCGGCTACTATAGCCATCCATGGACTTTTTCGATCTTCGGGTGGTAAATGATAAATTTCATTCAGGCTGGTATCAAAAGTTACACATTTCTTAACATGTCTGAAATTTCTACATATTTCATCCCGTATTGGATGCATATTTTCTCTACCGCTTCTATTTCCTTCCAGAGTAGACATACTTTGCTCCCTTCGGGATGACATAGGAAACTGTAAGGTTTTCCTAAATAGTCGCTCATTTTCATCCCGTACATTTTTTCTGGTAGAGTCTTTTTGATCCGTTGACAAAGGAAATGTATAATGGCTAGTCTCCCGAGTGTCGGATGATGTAATAAAGCCAGGCTTTGTAACCACAAGTCCTGAGTATTTTCTATGATGGTCGTCGCTCTCTGGAACACTGGTTCCGCCTCCGGGGGTAAAGCTTCTTGATTTTTCTCGATACATCGCATAAAAAAATCATACCCTTCCAACACTAAAGAGTGAGTGTGTTTATGTGTTGACATGATAGTCAATTGTGAAGAAATGACCAGAAATGTTTTGTTATTTATACCCCTGTTATCTATACAAGACGTACACAGAACGTACAATGTACTGACTCAGCAATGTACTGACTCAGCAAAACGTAGGTAAAACGAGAGAGGGGTAGTAAGCGCGAGGGTCTAAAACGTAAGTCAAACCTATTTTTGCACACGAAATCCAAAAGGGTATATAAACCAGAACTGGAAATTTAGGATCATTCTTACTGGGCACTTGGTACTTGACAGACGTAGAAATATGGCACAAGCAATGATGAATTCCGTGGAAAATCGTATTTATATTCCAGCTACCAATGAAGGGTTAGGATATGCTCTACCGACAATGCCTGACACGCAGGATCCCATCGGATTTGATCTGGGACTTTATAATATGCCTGAACCCATGACAAAGGAAGATATGGGCATCTTAACCACCACTTTGGATGGCATTGTCAACATGCTGACTCAACTAAAAGAGTACAACACCAGTGAATTTTGTTTGATTCGTGGGAAATTGTCCCGATTAGAAGTTAAAGTCGCTAGAATGGAAGAAAAAATGAGAGGATACGAGAAAAATGAAAGCACAGGAGCTGCCAAGAAAAATGAAGATACAGGAACTGCCAAGAAAAGTAAACAGACAGACCCATGTTTCATATGTAAAGAATTAGGACATTGGGCTCCGGACTGTCCCAGAAAAAAACAGAACTTATGCTACAAGTGTGGAAATTTTGGACATTGGGCCCATCAGTGTACAGATGACAGTATGGAATTACTCAAAGAAGTGGAAAAACTGGAGAAAAAGGCACAAGAAAACAAGACCACCCAACATAAGACCAGTCAACAGGATCAAAAGCAGGCTAACAACAAGAGGAAACTTCCTACTACCCAGACGGAGAAGACACTGAAACTCCAGAAGAAAAAGTAAATACTATGTACACATTACTTTGAATAAATCATCTTACACACTTTTGACTGTGTTATTGTTTTTTCCGTTTTCAGAAAATAGAGCTCTGTGTGAATGACATGACGTCACAATGGTATACTTGAATCGATGCCAAGATTGTGTATTGCCTATACCTGACTCAGCACAAACGTAGATTAAACGTAGACCCCCTTTTTTTTTACTTGGGTTTTTCCAGGGTGTATACTAGATTGAACCGGTCATCTGGGGCCCAAAAAAAGTGCACTCAGTTGACCCGCCTATCCAGGATCTGGGGGGACAAAAGTGCACTCAGTTGACCCGCCCATCCAGACCCCTTATACTACTATTATGTTTAATAAAAGTGTGTATTTACGAAGTTCGAATGTGTTTTCAAAGGCAAGGGTCATCCCAATTTCTTGAATCTCCGTTCGATAATGAGGACGCCCACTTTTTTACTGACTTCATACATAGTCAGCGCATGTTTGTCTATTGTTCTACGTTTAACAGTAATTGTATATTTGCATAAATAATAATGTGTCAAAAGGAGATTAATAGACAAACATGCGCTCATGCTTCTTCTTACATTCGCTCTGTGTGTTGTAACCAAGGGTTGTGACATGTTGAATATTATAATTCACCACGTGATTTCGTACCTCAGGTAACTTTGTGAATACTAAATTCCGTCACATGACTTGTAAGGTAGCATGTTTTGTGCTAACAAGGACATTGTGTTCGAACACGTTATGTCATCTGGCATTGATATAAAATCTGCTTTAATTACATTGACGTGCTCCTATTGTTAATTTCGTTTTGAAACCTTTGTCAGTAGTGTATTTGTGCCATACAGAATGGAGAGGGATATTGGAAAGAGTGATCACGTTCTTTTTTCAAACAAGTCATTGTTCTTTATCAAGTCTAATTTTAGATCAATTCTTACAATGTTAGGTCCACCTCTCATGCATATCTTATGTTCATTTAAGGGCAGGTAAGTGTAAATTCTCTATATTTTGGAAGCAGTAAGGACAAAAAACATTGAATCATTTTATTGTATCACAGTCTAAAATCATTTTAAGATTTGAATTCGGTTCCAAATTGACAGGATTCTTTCATAAACATAGAAAAGTGAACTAAGGTTTAGATATAAAAGCAACAGAAGCAACCGAAAAAGACCCAAAAACCGGTGTTAAGTGCAGTCATCCTTTGTGTCAATATTGACGGAGGACGATATATACAGCATAAAAATATTTACAGGTACGGTTATCTATTTCGATCCATGTGCATTCAATGTCAGCTGGTTCAAATTCCTGGCGCCTAACAGCCCGTATTTTATTAGATAAGTAGATCATAACTCCACCCCCAAAACAGTTTCTATCTTTTCGCAAAATATTACAAAACCCATCCAAGTGTAAATAATCATTGTGTACGGTATGTTCGAGATGGGTTTCAGTAAAATATAGTATGTCGAAATCATGAACAAAAGAGTTTAAGCCGCCGTCAAAGTCAAATTAAGTCAAAATATAACTAATGGTTAATGAAATCTACATGTACAAATGTATACAGGCATGACAATAACAAGGCTTAAACCTTCATTAATTAATATACTTATTTCCTTTAGAAACCATAGCGTTTTCTATTTCTTTATCTATGCGTTCATCCTTTACATTTATTCTGAAATGAATGAAATAAAGTATCAATATGATGTACATGTATTTCGATATTTAGGTGATCGACTTCAAATACAGTTTTATTGAGCTGAAAGATAACTACATTTTAACAAATCTCTCATCAAATCGTTAAAAGAGGTGTTAAGCTTTATTTCAACTTGCAAGATTTACTGTTTGATTAAAAAGTAAGAAAAAAATCTCACACAATCATGGGGAAAATTTGCTGATTAATGTATTAAAAATTTTAAAAAACGTTCATGTAATTACAATTGAAGTGTGATTTAAGGCCTTGCGTAGAGTTCTACATTCATCAATGTTGAATACACAATTAAGAGCGGAGCACAACTCAGCATATATACAAAGGTTTAATCCAATAAAAAAGATGTCATAAGTCCCTGATTCATATCAGAGAAAGGAAGAAATATATACTGTAAATTTTGTGACATTGTAACTAATCATTTTTGTCATGTTGTCAACATCTTGTCTCACTTGAAATCAAGACATCTGTGCAGAGTATGTGTGTCAATGTTTCGGATACAGTTCTATTCATTTCTGAGTCTGACGACACTGTAAGTAGGCTCGGATATTTGCTGACTATTTTCTAAGTGTCTTTGGTTAATCTTTTTACGAAAGACAACGACACATTCAACACTGACAGCGCAAAGGAAAATTACACCACATAAACTTAGTAGTATTGATAAGGGTATATAAACATCCTTATCAAGGCTCGTTTGATTCTGTAATAAACTCGAATTGTAGATCCTCGTATATTTGATCTGTGGCAACATATAACTTCTCTTTGAAGCATTCATTGTGGCTGTTTATTTTTATAAAATAAAAAATATCAATCTGTGAGCATCATCTTAAAAAGAAAAAGCAAATGTATCTCATTATAAGGACAATTATTTAACTATTTAATTACCGGTCAATGTGAAACAGCCTCTAGGTTGTCTTACGTTACAAGAGACATGGTTGCATTTACATTTTCCAGTGAAACATCTGTATCCATTTTGCGGAACTGTGCACAAAAAAGTACAGTTTACTCCTAAATATTCTGATGGACATACTGTAATATATGATTAAAAATAGCATTAACTCCCTCCTCTGACTTCTAAAATAATGAACATTGAGGAGCTTTTTTTTATTTCTATTTATTTAACACTCTATTTTTTACTTACACATGCATTTGCCCTCTGTTGAATTCCATATCTCTCCAACGCAACAAGGTTTGAAGCTGTAAATGCTGAAACAATTCAAAAATACTCTTAAGTAATTGTTAAATAAAAACCGGATTTCAAATCATTTGATTAATTGATTTTAGGTTGCTTAACTTCCTATCCGAGAATTTTCGCTCACATAGAGACGTCACCGTATGCCTGTGAAGGGCTTCAAATTTAGACCTTTACTCGACACTCAGGACCATTAAGGAGTGAGAATTCATTATCGTGCCAACGCCTACCGTGACACAGGACCGCGGTTTTTAAGGTCTCATCCGGAAAACCCAGGACTTTCACATCTAATGCAGGCGCTTGGAGAAGGAACGGTCACTACCTATGTTTACACCTTAGGTTCCATATAATGCGGCGAAAAAGCATCGAACCAAGGCCTCACAATCACGAATTGAAACTACTAGGATACCCTGTTTGGATTTTAAAAAAATAAAGAGCACAATTCAAGGTGTAACAAGATGCTTTACTTATTATACTAAGACTTTCATCTATTTACTGATCCAGAAAATACAGGTTCATGAAAATACTAAACAATTAATTCTTATATATTCACACATCAAGAAAATAAAGGTCAAATACACAGTCCGAAATATAACTGTAATATTTACTGTATATATCCAAGATGAAATAACAATGCAAGATTTGGCAAGTTAAAACTACTATTTTGACCAAACCCCTGTTTCAAAACTCTTTTATCTGAAATGCATCAATAAAATATAAGTTAAATACAGCATTCAAAGCATAACTGGTAAATTTGAATGTTATATAATAGATTAAGGTAATTGACAAGTAAGAATTTCTACTAATTTGACAAAAGACCTGTTTCAGAATTCTTCAATCTGCATGACAATGCACCAAGAAATGTAGTTCAAATACAGCATTCAAAGCATAACTGGTAAATTTGAATGTTATATTGATTAAAGTACGAATCCAAATCATTCTCTTGATAATTTATCCCTAAAATAGGTCACGCAGCATATAAGCACAACTAAAAGTGTTTATAAATACCAATATAAAGCTTATGTACTAGAATGGTTAGGGTTGGATTTATAGCTATTTGGAAATGGACCTTTCTATAACAATTTCTTTTATCGCTTATTCGAAAAGGCAAAATTAATTTCATGATTAAAGTTTGTTGTAAAGGAGATGGGCGAACATAGCGTGCAGAAAGCCTATAGCTTCAGATATTTAAAAATCATGTTCAATTTGTGAATTTAGTATTAGAGTAAAGTTCTCATTATTGACATTTATGAAATTATGATAAACAAAACTTTTCTGTGGGAAAATTTTCTAGACAAAATTTATTCTGTTATTAAAAAAAAACAATGTGGTATTCGTGGGGTTCGAACCCTATCAATAAAAATCCTGAGTATCATTTTCTTTCAAGACTAGCACGCTTTTTTTATCGAAAGACTAGCACGCTAACCACTAGACTACACAAGTCCTGATGAATAGTGACATTTAAATAATGTTTGTAATATGACCCTTGACTTAATGGACTTCGAGTATTTCTCGAAAATATGCGAATATTATGTCATAAAAGTATATTTTTAAGATACAAATGGGTTTTTGCTCCATATATTTGATAACCAAAAAATGTATATTTTATGCAAACTTTGAGGATTAACTTTTATAAAAATGGAGAGAAGATCCACTCATATCGAAAAATAGTGATATCGTATGAGAAAATGACTCGTTTTGTCCTCTTTAGTGTGTGTATACTAGTAATATTTCATAAGCAAATAATTTCAAGCTTTGTGAGATTTTTGTCAATTGTAGAGATTTTCGTACAGTATATTTTAATTTTAGATGAAATATAAAGGAAAATTTTGATATAATTTAGATTTAATTTTTCACCTTCATGTTTGTCACACTATAGGCTTTTCGCTCGTCATGTTCACCAATCTTCTTTGTCATCATCCATAAAAGTTTAATCAATATAGAAGTAATAGTGACTTGGAAATTAAATAAACCTGCCAAAAAATTGATTGACTGTATGTTTGTTTGACGTCCCAATCGAGAATATTTCACTCATATAGAGATATCACCATATACCGGTGAAGGGATTCAAATTTAGACCTGTATACGGAACTCAGGGCCATTGAGCATTGAGGTCAAAGGAACAATCACTACCTATTTTTATTTTATAGTATTTATGCGGCTTGGAGAACAAGATTCAAACCCGGGCCTCTCGATCACAAAGCGAACAACATAACACTAGGCTACCATGACCCTTACCTGATAAAAGAAGTGAACCTGCTAAAAAAGAAGTTAACCTACTACTCATTGCGAAAGCGCAGCTTCTGTTCCTAGTACACACGTTATTACATATCTGAAAACCCAAGTTATTCTTATGAGAATTGTACTAGTAAATCCTCAAATTCTACAAACAGTTCTAAAGAATAGCTTTCGGGGGCCAGCAGCTTCTCTACAAGCACTTTAATTTACCTGATCACTATTTTATCAATGAAAGTTAGAACTCTAGAAAAGATTTACCATCATACATAATAGTCCTTCATTGAGTACACCTTTCCGTAGACAACGAGAAGAATACTGGATTAGGAAACTAGGCACAGCCTTTCCATATGGAAGCAATGACAATGTCGATAGTATTGGGAATGTGTAGGGACTTTTAACAATACTGAGACGTAAGCGTAGTCATGGACATCGGTCATACAATAAACCCATTATACACGATGTTTCTTTTAATTCACTACTACCGTAAATAAAAAATTAGGTCTCCATCACATTCGCACCAAACTTCACTCTGTCCCTTTGAAAGTTCTATATGGTTTATTTGAAAAGGTCAAGGAAAGTCCATATTTGGATTCTTCGACACCAGAATACAGGCTTGGGTCTGTGATTATGGATATTGCAAATCATAGGTTTTTTAAACCGCCACGTTTTACGGAAGATAACACTGCTCAAACAACCCGTTTGTTCCTTAAACTTCAATTTGCAAACAAAGGAATCGACGCTGTTAATATTAGTAATAATCTTAATCACAAAAAGGTCCAGTCTTGTATTCCACCATATTTCAAGTTGAAGTCCACACCTTGTATTTCTTATAAATATACATCGACTATTGCTTCCAAACTTCTTAATTACAAAAAACCCCTCTACAATGCCTAGATATCTGATGCATAATCCTCCTACGTGTTCATGTTCTTCTTCACCCTACAACTATAGTCCTGCTGGACACGTCATTACTGGTGATGTAAACAAAGTTAATAATGAGGACCTTAAATCCCTTAATTCAAAAGGGCCTAAATTTAGGGAACCCCGTTCTTTCAACTGGCGTCATAATTTTATAAATATTATGAATTCTGTAGAAAATTACGCTAGATGATGGGCCAAAAAGAAGACCTTGACACTTTGTCAGAATGGATTAAGAGCATCAGATGGATGTTGAAATCTCGCATTAAGCGATTGAGGGGCTTTATGAAAACTATTTATCCTTCTGCCTTTAATAGTTCAGAAGTGAAAAAGGAATTAGATAGATTACACGATCAGTATGCACTGGTCTCAGCTGACAAAGTTGGTAACAACATAGTCTTTGTAAGGCTCATTATTTGAATTGTATTTTAGAGGAACTAGGATTTAATTCTACGGGTGGAAATCCAACTTACACCCATACCTCCCTCTCTAAGGAGGAAATTCTTCAAAATCATTTGTCCGTTTTAGATAATTTAATATTCCCAACAATCAAAATGAATTTGAATTACCATTCTTTTACTGGATTCCTAAACTTCATAAAAATCCTCATAGCGGGTTCCGGTAAATGTTCTACCAAGCCTCTTTTTTAACTAAAATATTTTATTATATTTCATTTTGCTTTTTTTCAAGTCGGGGGTGGGGGTGGGGGCAGATATCAAAATTCCAAAACTTAAATTTAAAACATCATTGTCTACAAGTTCAAATGACAAACTTTGGTAAGTGAATGAAAACTATGCAAATATATTTCAAAGTTGAATTTTAATAGTGAATAGTAGTTACTCTGAATAATACATACCTTTTACACATTGCTAAAGAGAGTCGAATACGCCATATGAATAGATAATATGTACAAATATAATGTATCACGTTCATATTCTAAAGCAGATGTGCACAACCATAAGAACTGTTTACACATAGACAGAGATGCTGCGCAAACACAGGATTAGATGACTTCGACACTTAAAAAATCTTCCGCTGGCTAATCTATGATTATGAAGTTCAGAGAATGCTAAACTTAAACAAGGAACAAGACCATATTAGAGAATATTTATAGACATTCCTCTTCAGACATGATTAATATTTGGTAATTCTAATTAGCGAGCGAAATGCCTGTGGTGCGATAAATATAAGTGAGTAAAAATATGCATTTTTTAGTTAACTAAAACATGGAGCAAAGATCCACTTTGCCTTAAAAATACATTTTATGACACAGCATTTGTGTATTTCAGAGAAATTTATTCATACAAAATTGAACGTTTGTTCCCCAATAGGCTCCTCTAAGGAAAATATTTGCAAATGTGAATATTTGAAAATATCCTAGCTATATTATAATAATTAATAATTATTCACTTAATCGGTAAAAAGTTTAAGGATCTTTAAAGTAAAATTACATCAAATGTAATGCGATTCGTATCTCATTGATAAGAATATACGTTATTAATGTAGTAATCAATGTCAAAGGAATGTCCGGTAAAATGAACCCTATCGAAGATGTCCTTTTTTCCTACTAAATACAAATTTATGTTCTTTACATGAACTATATATAAAAAGAATCGAAAACGTCGCATGAAAAACTTACCATAGTAAATTTCAATAATCTTGGAAAGAGCAATTACATTCACAAAAGCAAGAGGGTAAATATTAAATCAAAGGCCCATTTTAATAGACTAATGAAATATTTGGTGTAGGGAAAAAGTATTTAGATTAAAGTTTTAAATTTAATTTTTAATTAAAGCACTAATACTGGATTCAAATAAATTGCCATATTTTTGTACCCCTAACATCTACCCATCCTCACCCCCAAATAGTCAAAATTAAAAGAACTTATCTATAAATGTCCTTACAAAAACAAAAATCCAAATTACTACGTGTAGTTTTAAAAAGTTACAAAAATAGTTGGTTCACCTGTTCCACTGAGTGTCAAATTTCTCTTTTTCACCATTTTTATATGATATATACTTTTTTGTTTGGTAAAAATAACTGAAGTGTGATATCACAGAGAGCGCACATTTAGAGGTTTATCAATGCATCTAGAAGTATAAATATATTTTAACCATAAGATTAAGATATTAACTATTTCATTATTTTTTTCATCCAGTACCTAAAATGAATGATTTTTTTGTTATGGATAAATGGAGGTTTCTCTGCTGGAGATAATATTCAAAGTTTTCAAGGAGTGATTGTACAAGATCACATTCCCATAGGATATGTTCAATTGTCTCTTCTTCTTTTTGACAAAAAACATTTTCGTAGGTAAAAAAAAAAAATTGCGTTATAACGCGAAAGTTTCGCAAATAAACGCAAAATTTGCGCATTTTTGCAAAAGTCACGCGTTTATTCACGAAACTTTCGCGTTATAATGCGCGAAAAATCTTTTTTTTAACCTACAAAAATGAGCTCAATGGGATTTCGTACATTATAGAAGGCAATATGAATAATAGTAAGGCTATTAGTGGTTTAGCAGTAAAAGTGGTCCAGGAACTCTTTCAATGACAAGTCAATTTCACATTTGACACTGTGTAAGGAAATTTATTTTCCATAGAACACTTTATTGGGTTGTAATCTTAGAATGATAAAACACACACACACTCTCTCATTTATCATACTGTGTTTATTAAAACCACTTTAAAATGTTTGCTCCCAGTATATCACACAAAAACATTCACAAATGTGACAGGTCCATTTTGGTCTTACCGACTATGATCACTTACATGTATATACACAATTTAATTCGTGTTCCAATGTTATGAATAAAAAACATGTATAGGGATTGTATTGCACTATATTTTGTCAAAACAATGACTTGTTTCATGTACAACATATTCTTCTCATTAAATGCTTTACTCCATTATGCATTTTTTTTGTAAACAAATATCAAAGACAAATTCAAATTCAGTGAACATGCTGAAGAATGCCTCAAAAACCTTACTCAGATTTTTAAAGATCATGCTACTTTTGTAGATTACAAAATTGAAAGTTTTTATATTCAATAAGTCCTAATGTAAAAACAAGGCCATTCCAAGTTTTTTCTATGTTTAGTGTCCGCGTGCGCCTTGGTTTTAGACACCAATATCAGAAAAAACAAACAAAATCAAGAGTCATGAAATTGATCATTTTGGTCAAAATCTTTGAATTCTGACAATTTCTATTTATTTGTGTATAATATGTAATTTTAGGTGTATTTTAAGCATTTTTAAAAAAACTTGAGTTTGCTAAAGAATAGACGTATGTACCTTTCTTCCAGAAAAATAGATTCATGAAATCAAATCGTTAAAATAACATCATTTTTATGGCTTTTAAGCCTGTGTTTTATTTTTGGGCTTGTGTGTTTTTTTGCAAATAGATAGGTAGGTTTTTGAAAGATGGGTGGATGCTAAACAGAGAAAAATTTGGAATGGCCTAATGAAAAATCTGGAAGTGGTGCCTATTTATTGGAAGAGACAACTCAATTTTAACAATCATATTCTTGATAACACAAATATACGAATATATACATGTATATTTCCTAAATGCTAGAAAATTCATTGAACAGATGTTATTCAACTATAGCTGTAAAAACTGGAAATATCTTTTTATTTCCATAGGGCAGTCAGAAGACAAAAATCTATCTTGAATTATGTGTTTATCAAGTCCTTGAAATTAATTGTATAATTCAATTAAATGTTTATTTCAACCATTTCATAAAATACCTGCATTCAGAACATACAATTCAATAAATGCAAAAATTACCTAGATATGACCTTAACCTTAAAACAGACATCACCATGCTAGAATTTGTTAATTTATGTTATGCCCTGTTCACACAAATGCGCATTAAATATTTAATTCACAGTAGATTAATGCCAAATAAAATAATGCAAATTAATCTACTGTGAATTAAATTGTGTTCACACAACAGTCAATGTGAAGTAAACTAATGCGCATTAAAATTTTGAATTCTACAGTAAGGCTATTATAATGTCATTTGCAAATCATGTCACCTTATACAGAGCAGATCCATCTGACATAATGTCATAGTATCTGTACACATTTTTGGAGATTTACATACTTTTTCTTTGTTTTTCACTCAAAAATAGCTCAAGTGCCTATATCTGACCACCAAAATGTGGTATGTGACTTATTTTTGCCATTAATCATGCGTCAAAATTTAATTCTAATTAGCTTCACTTAGCATTCACATGGAGCTAATGCAAAGTAATTTGACGTGGAGTAAATTAATTTGAATTAAACTAATTTACATTAAGTTCTCCGTGTGAATGCGGTTCAAATTTAATTAGCAGTAACTTAGTATGTTTAATTGGAATTATTAAAATCTCTATGTGAACAGGGCATTAATGTGTTGGCTAAAGCTTAGGCTCTGAATTTTCTGCAGAAGGCAAGATAATTAATCCCAGGAGATTCACTAGATTTATCATCCTTTCCAACAAAGTTTATAAAAGTTGCCTTTTCATTTTTACAAAGTTATGAATCTATTCCACCACCCCATCTCCTATCCAGAGGATATAGAAAATTAACCTTAATTGGTACGAAATATGTTGTTTTGACTGCTGAAACAACATATCAAATTTGAACATTACACGACAATAAGGGAAAAAAAATTGTTGGTAAAAAACGGAATGGAAGATACAAACACACTGAATTTTACTTTGGGGCAATAGAAAATTATTCCTGGGTTAAAAAAAAACGGCCAAAAAAGAAACCTTTTCTTTTTCTAAAGCATTCTTTAAGAAGAATGTACTGCACTGCCATTGAACACTGTTATGGGGAAAAAAACAAGATGTTTATCAATAGAGACCTTAATCTTATTATATATACTTCAACAACATCTTGTTTAAATTACTGTCCCAACTCTAGCAGCTGAATGTAGAGGGTGATGATTAAATAACTTGCATTTTAACATCACTATAAAAAAAAATTCTTTGGAATTGTTCTACAATCTCATTCATTGAAATTAATTTTTAAAAAAAGGGTCCAGCTTCCAAACTCATTAACATGCTGTATATAACTTTAACAACCAAACGTCCTACTTCGTCTGCTCTCGTCATGTGTTCTCGTAAAGCTGTAGATCTAGTTTGACTACGACTTCCCCCGAGGACACTTCATGTAATAATAAACGCTTTGTGATTGGTCCTTTACGTGTTTGGGATTCCTTTAAAATGTCATTGACTCTCACCTCAGTGCGCCCCAGAAAGTCTGCAAAGAAAAAGGGAACAGTTATTAAAATTCAGGTATCTGTAAGTTTGTCTGCTTAATATTCCAATATCAATTAAAAGAAATGTCCCAATTTTTAATGAAATATTTCAATCTATGAGGAAACTAAATATTCAGATAAAATGCCTTTCTTGCTTTATGAATTGGCTTGCATTATCTGGTTTCAATTTCTACTAAAGAATGACCACAGGCAAATGTTTTGAGAAAACCTGTAAATCTGCATACCTTACTTATTAAAATTTCCCAAAATAAAGTACATAATACTTTGGAATTATCACTGTTTTGTGGAGGACCAATATTCATGGATTTTGTGGGTCATCCTTATCCATGAATTTACATCCCAATGAACAATGAAAAATATGTGAACATAACGGTTCATTGAATCTTATGTATACACAATATACCACAAAATTACATTCCTTCTAACTTCTAAAATTTTTTTTGCCCACAAACATTGACCCCCACAAACAGAAATGTTTCAACAGTACCTGTTTAAAAGAGTTCTTTTTCTAACTTACCATTTGGAGAAAAGAGGTCTCTATCAAACACAGTAATACACAACACATCCTGTTCCAAGTCCTTGATGGTGAACTGCATGGAGGCATTCCAACGAGGGTTCAAGGTCGCATTGATGACCTTGGTTTTGTGTTCTTGTACTCCCATACTGACCTCACAGTAAGGGTCACTCTTTCCTGTATTACAACCAAATGATATCACATTGTAATCATATTTACTGAGTTACAATGTAATCATAATTTTTGGTTACATTAATCTAGTAGAATAATTCTCTATTCTTTTACCTTGAAATTTAAAAGAAAGAAAAACTTTTTTGTTAATTAATTTAAAGTGAACTTGAAAATTTTTAAACATTTCAATCTGGATTTGAATCATAAGATGACAAACATATAATCCATGTAAATGATCCAATATATTATATATATATATCAAAGATCTTTTTCTCCAAATGTTTCACTGTGATAGTATAAAACATAGTATATTTTTCAAACTTCTCCATAACTAACTCAAACTGTTTTGTTGTCAGACTCTATGATGAAATTTTTATTGTGATTTTAAAAAAAAAGAAACTTCAGAGTAAAGTAAATAGGACAAATCCAGTCTTATCCTGTTATCAATAAACATGCTGTTTATATTTTTAGTTTTACCATTGACATCGCTGGCCTGTAAATCACAACCCTCCTGCAGCACAACCAGTAACCGACCAACGCCATTAATCTTGCGCACTGCATTGTGGGTAGTCAACATCATGCACAAGAAAGGAAACAGAAAGAAAAAAATCTTGAAATACCTCTGTCACACAACATGCATTAGACTAAAACTATAATGGGAGCTAAAGCGACTTCAATTGTGTCTAATGATTTCTATCAAACTGGGGTGTTTGTTGCATGCAGAGCAATGCTAAAGGAGTTTAAGGAAATTAGCAAATTGGCATACATGTACTAACACTTTTTGAAAAACACAATGCAGCTAGTGCCTCCCTCCCCTTTTTTAAAGTTATCTCTTGTTTTCTTTTGTTTGTTTGTATTTTTTCCTTTCTCCAAAGGTTGATGCATAAATTTTGTTCAATCCAAATAGGGATTTACTTCTCTGCATGCAACCTGTATACTATAGTATTCAGCAGCTTCTGTTATTTTTCATCCTATGGGAAATGCTTCTAACACTGATAACTTAACATTCAAAGCAAGAAAAGTAATAATTTAAAATTAGCCTTAAAACTTGTTTATTGTCGTCAGACTGTAGCTTGTTGGTCAGTCATATCTGTAAGAGATATGCCCTGTTATCCCATCTAAGGCAGCAAGATAAAATCTGCTGTGATCTTAACAGTGAAAAAAAGTCAATCTTATCAATTTTTAATCATGAAACTATTCTGAATGATGCAAATGTACAAAATGCATGATATTCATTACTTCTTCACATTTGAACTCATGCATAAAGTATTTTTTTCTTGAAAAACAGCAACAACATCAATTAAAAAAAAGAGACAACATCAACAGTGGCAAGCCTTCAACTGTCCTAAAGGGTGATTAGTAAAACCAAGCTAACAAAGGGAGCATTCTCTGCTGTGATTAGTACAACCCAAGAATTCCTCAGGTTTCTAAGGAGGGGGCCTTACCATCAGCTGTGGGGGCGAGGTTTATGCCTTCCTGGATAATCACCAAAAGCCTACCCATCATGTGGGATTTCTGTCCCACTGTCAAGGGAAAATGTCAAAACTTGTTCTTTTAATACATACCTATATTATATACATAGTTCAGTTCTTCAGGTACAGTCTACTGTTTTAAAAGCCATTATTTAATATTTTTCAATACCCAGCAAAATAATAACTAATTATATACTACCTTATAAACTACTGTATACAGGGTTATTTTCGCCCTTTTACACTTGCAAACAATTTCGCCCCGTTTTAATATCACCCAGTCACAGTTTTGTTTAAGAAAATATACTTTTTTCTTTGAATTTGCCCCGTCTTAAATTTGCCCAGTTGTGTCTACTGCGAAAGGGGAGAAAATAACATGGGGGCGAAAATTTCCCTGTATACAGTATACACTCTCTCCTTTCAGAAATAATGCATCAATCAGCTTAAAGTGCTTACTTCATATGTTTAGCTAAAACTATCCTCTTATTATATACAGTAAAGCTGGGTTATAAAGAACTCTCTAATAAGGAAATCTTGGTTATAAAGAAGTTTTTACAATTCCTGTAGAAGACTTTTTCCTATGTTCTTTTATACGAACATAAAGGATCTCAGTTATGGGGAAGCAAAATATGAGGTCTTCTTTATAACTGGGTTTTACTGTATATGTAGGTATATTCACTAGCTTAAATGAAGGTATCATAAGACAACTTAATTTTTACCAAAATGACACTTCCTCAATAGAACCTTGTTTTATGGTGGACATTTAATTCTTGTTTTATGCCACTGAAATGTTCTCCTTATGATTTTTTATCTTTTAAGTCCCCAGAATGAAAGTTGCTATAATCTTTCCTCAACTTTTATTACATGTAAGAATGCAATATCATTAAATTCAAGATTTTCAAAAAATAGACTTTTATGACACAACATTTGTATTTTTCTGAGAAATATTTGAAGTGCATTTAGTTAAGGGTCATATTTCAAACATGTTTTAAATGTGGGTATTTGTTATGAGTGGTGTAGCATAGTGGCTGGTTTGTTAGTCTTGAAGCTAAAATTGATATTCAGGGTTTTTCATTGCTTGGGTTTGAACACCCAAGAATACCCTATTCTTTAATAAAAATTATAAATTGATTTTTGCCAAAAAGAATTTTCCGCAGATAAGTTTTGTTTGTCATAATTTCATACCTGTCAATGATAAGAATTTACTCTAAATACTAAATTCACAATTTAAATATGACTTTTAAACATTTGAAGCTATAGGCATTTTGCACGCCTTGTTCGCCAAACTCTTTGTATTTTCAGAAAATCTTTTGCAATAATATGAATCATGTGTTCTGCATAATACTAAATTAAAATACAATTTTCAGTACCCAATGACAGAATGAAAAAATTTACAATCCAGATTTTTACTTTCAAAATACTGGTAAACAATTTGCCTTTTTCAATAATTTTAATAAGATATCCATATTTTTGACATGTCTCATGGAATATTTTAGAAGGAAATACAGTTGAATTTCAGTATCTCAAACATTGATATCTTTAGTACCATGGATATGTCCAAGTAATTTAGAAGTCCTAATCACATATTTTTTAAGTATTTTACCCTCAATATTTCAAATCTTCGATTAACTCAGTGTTTTTTCTCATTCCCATTGATTCTGAGTTAATGAGGTTTGACTGTAATAAATTGGAGCATTTAACAATATCATTATTAATCAGACTATTGCTTTATCTGGAGTATATAGTGATGTAACTCACAGTTGAAAAGCTTTTCTCGTTTCTTCTTCTCTGTGTCAAGGAAGAGCTTGGAAGCAGCATCAATATGTCTGACCCAGGACTCCCTTAAGTGGTCAAGAAAATATCAACAGTATTATAATTTTGCAGTTTTTTCCCTTAACAGTACCCAAATAACTAAGTCTTGTAATATACACTGTATATGTATATGATGTGATACATATGCTTTGGCATACATCTATCTACAACTTATTTCATCATTTTTATATTAGTATTACTTAATCTCCATTGCAAAGCTATAAGCTTTATGACACTCTCTTTAGGATTTAAAGGATATTTTAGAACTTTGACATCAATGCATGCACTTCATATATGTTCTAGCATGTCTGAAGCATCAAAAATACATCACATGTGATGTAAACTATAATCAGTTTTTTTTTCATTCTTCATAAGTGGTTGACAGATGATAATACTTAGAACTAATACTAAGGTTTTGTTTTTATTTTTTTTCTTTCTTTTCTTCCTTTTTTTTTGAAAACGATAGAACAGCATAAAACAAACAAAACAGAAATCTTATTAAATGTATATTAAACAGAATAAAATGTAGAAATATATCTTGACCTGTTATGTTTTCACCAATTTCACTAGCTCCTTCTAACTGGGCCATTTTAAATATTTAAAAAAGTAAACATACACGTGTAACTGTAAAGAAGGAATGAAAAATAATTATTATTTTTTTTTTTTAAAGTACTTTTGCTAAAATAAAAAAAATTAAAAAAAAAAACACTGACAAGTGACCAAACATTTCAATGTACCAGAGATGCATCTCAATTATGAAGGGAAATACCTTTTCAGTGCATACATTTTACAAATGAATTGTATATAATCAGTAAAAGTAAACCTTTCTGTGAGGGTAGGGGCCTTCAGGTTGTAGACATGCTCCACATGTGACACCTGAAGCAAGCAGTCATTGTCATCCTCCCCTAACCTCCGAACCATCACCTCGTTTAGAAATATGGGCTGTACATCAAAAAATTAAAACAAAATCATTGTAAGTATTGGATGGATGTAACAAAATTTAAAAAAAAAAATCATTGAGAGCATTGAATGGATATATTTCATCAAAGTACTGATTCAGAATTAGTATTGCTAGGAGAAAATGTAATATATGTATTTTGGTATTAAATATGATATGTGATACATACATGTACATGTATACATGTATTACACTTTTATGTGAAAACCGTTTATTTTTTTTTATTTTTTACAGAACTGTTGCAATAACTATGTATATATGTAGACAGATATGTTCTTACTTTTAGGTTCATGTATAAAATGTCTACAGTTGTAGTGTCTACTTTGAATGCTAATCTGTTAGTTCCTTCCTTGTACTGGTAATATTTTGAAGGACATTGTTAATACATAAGCTATTGCACTCTGCAGAGTACATGGCTATGCTTTACATGTACATATACATGTACTTTTAATATTATCCTAACAATTTCAAACACATGGATTAATACTAATCTACAATGTACATAACATTTTGGACTGATCTTTTTTACATTTTGTAATGAGCTGTGTTCAACTTACACTTTTGTACATTTTGTACTGAGCTATCCTATACCTACACTTTTGTACATTTTGTACTGAGCTATTCTATACTAACATTTTTGTACATTTTGTACTGAGCTGTTCTATACTAACACTTTTGTACATTTTGTACTGAGCTATCCTATACTTACACTTTTGTACATCTTGTACTGAGCTGTTCTATACTTTCACTTTTGTACATTTTGTACTGAGCTATTCTATACTTTCACTTTTGTACATTTTGTACTGAGCTATTCTATACTTTCACTTTTGTACATTTTGTACTGAGCTGTTCTATACTTTCACTTTTGTACATTTTGTACTGAGCTATTCTATACTTTCACTTTTGTACATTTTGTACTGAGCTATTCTATACTTTCACTTTTGTACATTTTATACTGAGTTATTCTATACTTACACTTTTGTACATTTTGTACAGAGCTATTCTATACTGACACTTGTACATTTTGTACTGAGCTATTCTATACTTACACTTTTGTACATTTTGTACTGAGCTATCTTATACGTACACTTTTGTACATTTTGTACTGAGCTGTTCTATACTTTCACTTTTGTACAATCCTATACGTACAATTTTGTACATTTTGTACTGAGCTATTCTATACTTACACTTTTGTACATTTTGTACTGAGCTATTTTACACTCACACTTTTGTACATTTTGAACTGAGCTATTCTATATGTACAATTTTGTACATTTTGTACAGAGCTATTCTATACCTACACTTTTGTACATTTTGTACTGAGCTATTCTATACTTACACTTTTGTACATTTTGTACTGAGCTATCCTATACCTACACTTTTGTACATTTTGTACTGAGCTGTTCTATACTTTCACTTTTGTACATTTTGTACTAAGCTATCCTATACCTACACTTTTGTACATTTTGTACTGAGCTATTTTACACTCACACTTTTGTACATTTTGAACTGAGCTATTCTATATGTACAATTTTGTACATTTTGTACTGAGCTATTCTATACCTACACTTTTGTACATTTTGTACTGAGCTATTCTATACTAACATTTTTGTACATTTTGTACTGAGCTGTTCTATACTAACACTTTTGTACATTTTGTACTGAGCTCTCCTATACTTACACTTTTGTACATTTTGTACTGAGCTGTTCTATACTTTCACTTTTGTACATTTTGTACTGAGCTATTCTATACTTTCACTTTTGTACATTTTGTACTGAGCTATTCTATACTGACACTTGTACATTTTGTACTGAGCTATCCTATACCTACACTTTTGTACATTTTGTACTGAGCTGTTCTATACTTTCACTTTTGTACATTTTGTACTAATCTATCCTATACGTACAATTTTGTACATTTTGTACAGAGCTATTCTATACTTACACTTTTGTACATTTTGTACTAAGCTATCCTATACCTACACTTTTGTACATTTTGTACTGAGCTATTTTACACTCACACTTTTGTACACTTTGAACTGAGCTATTCTATACGTACAATTTTGTACTGAGCTATTCTATACCTACACTTTTGTACATTTTGTACTGAGCTATTCTATACTTACACTTTTGTACATTTTGTACTGAGCTATCCTATACCTACACTTTTGTACATTTTGTACTGAGCTGTTCTATACTTTCACTTTTGTACATTTTGTACTAATCTATCCTATATGTACAATTTTGTACATTTTGTACAGAGCTATTCTATACTTACACTTTTGTACATTTTGTACTAAGCTATCCTATACCTACACTTTTGTACATTTTGTACTGAGCTATTTTACACTCACACTTTTGTACATTTTGAACTGAGCTATTCTATATGTACAATTTTGTACAGAGCTATTCTATACCTACACATTTGTACATTTTGTACTGAGCTATTCTATACTAACATTTTTGTACATTTTGTACTGAGATATTCTATACTTACACTTTTGTACATTTTGTACTGAGCTATTCTATACTTTCACTTTTGTACATTTTATACTGAGCTATTTTACACGTACACTTTTGTACATTTTGTACTGAGCTATTTTACACTTACATTTTTGTACATTTTGAACTGAGCTATTTTACACTTACACTTTTGTACATTTTGTACTGAGCTACCCTATACTTATACTTTTGTACATTTTGTACTGAGCTTTGTTATACTTACACTTTTGTACATTTTGTACAGAGCTATTCTATACCTACACTTTTGTACATTTTGTACTGAGCTATTCTATACTTACACTTTTGTACATTTTATACTGAGTTATTCTATACTTACACTTTTGTACATTTTGTACTAAGCTATTCTATACTTACACTTTTGTCGTTTTTGTACTGAGCTATTCTATACTTACACTTTTGTACATTTTGTACTGAGCTATTCTATACTTACACTTTTGTACATTTTATACTGAGCTTTGTTATACTTACACTTTTGTACATTTTGTAATGAGCTATGTTACACTTACACTTTCATACATTTTGAGCTACTTTACACTCACTACTGAGCTACTTTACACTCACACTTTTGTACACTTTGTACTGAGCTATGTCTTACACTTTGTACATTTTGTACTGAGCTATTTTACACTAACACTTTTGTATATTTTGTACTGAGCTATTCTATACTTACACTTTTGCACATTTTGTACTGAGCTATTCTAAACTTACACTTTTTTTACATATTGTTCTGAGCTATTCTATACTTACATTTTTGTACATTATGCACTGAGCTATGTCTTACACTTTTGTACATTTTGTACTGAGCTATTTTACACTTACATTTTTGTACATTTTGTACTGAGCTATTTTACACTTTTGTACATTTTGTACTGAGCTATTTTACACTCACACTTTTGTACATTTTGTACTGAGCTATTCTATACTGACACTTGTACATTTTGTACTGAGCTATTCTATACCTACACTTTTGTACATCTTGTACTGAGCTATTCTATACTTTCACTTTTGTACATTTTGTACTGAGCTATTTTACACTCACACTTTTGTACATTTTGTACTGAGCTATTCTATACTTACACTTTTGTACATTTTGCACTAAGCTATGTCTTACACGTTTGTACATTTTGTACTGAGCTGTTTTACACTTACACTTTTGTACATTTTGTACTGAGCTTTTGTTTTGGAATCAAACAAGGAAGATGAGGTAGCACTACCAAGGGGTGTGGCTAGAAGCAGGAAGTCATTGGACAGAAAGCCACAAAGCTCCTTGTGACCTTTAGTCTGAAAAATGAATAATAATGTTTGCTAAAACTGTCAAGTATCACAGAATTCATTGCACTCAACATACTGCTTTACTTAGCTAAAGATGTATTATACATGTATATTTCCTAAAATGTCTTTGCTCATAAAAACAAATTTTAGCTACCATATCAATGATTCATTAAATCAATTTACAGCAGAGTTGAATTGCATTACAGTAAAACATGCTTTTAGTTAACTGCAAGGGACAAATAATTTGTAATATCTGTTAAGTTCAGAATACGTTTTAAAACTGCTGGGAATGAAAAATCACTTCACTGTAACAAGCATGTTTGCTGTAACTGTGTTTTTATGCAATCAATGATATTTTCTTTCCTCTATATTTCATCGATTTTGATTAAAAATGTAGTAAATACTTGTCTCCTTCACTGTCATACTGCCTCAGAATGAAAAAAAGATTTTTTTTAATACCTTATAAAGAGTTCCATGATAAAGTAGTTTTCTGGGTCCTAGACAGTTAGTCACAGAGTTAAAGATCAGTTTCTGAAATTAGGAGAAAAAAATCCATGATCGTTCTGACTTTTTATAAAATGTGCTGTTCATTGAAGTGCTGTGTAAGGAACAGAAATATTTGTAAAAATTGTTTTTGAGTCATTAAAATCTATTGAAAATAAACCGATATACTTAGTACATGTAAATAATGTACATATTTTCAATAGTTACCACCCTTACACAACAATTACAACAATTTTGATGAAGTAGCAAAATGTAATATTGAGTTTCAAGAACTGAAATCTTTCAATAAACAAGGGCTGACTTTAGTGTATGAAATTACATGTGTACCTCCTGTAGGCCATCACATTGGACATGACTCTGCATCCATTCTAACTTGTCTGAATTTTCTCGCTCACGAACCCCCTCATTGACCTGATTACACAGTTCCTCAGCCTTAGCAAGAGCATCCTCCAGATTCTGGCGGTCTGGATGATTTTCTGGGGTATATTGTAGAATCTGAAAATGTTCATCCAATATTTTTTAACATACGAGTACATTGATGTCGTTTCTAATCTTAATAAAATAAAGTTCTCTGTGTCATTGGATAATGGAATAGGTATGGTTTTGTGATTTTCACTTTCAATAAAGTTAATATTACCGGTATTCATTTTTTTTCTATTCAGGGACAGTCATCAGTGGTATTAAACAGGACATTCATTTTACTTCCTTTGATACCAATTAAAATTCAGCTTATTCTAAACACCATTATTTCTTTAACATCATCATCTTACTTTCTGTATCATAAGTGGATACTTCGTGATTCTTTGCATTGGTTTCAATAGAAAACTACTGAGGGGCATCCCCTTGGTTTTGGGATCCTGAACACATTTCTGAAAATCATTAGTTTGATTAACCATAGTAACAATCAGGAATACTCACAAATTATATAGTTTCTTTTTGTCTTAAGATCATTTGCCACTTGTAACTGCTAGCATGGCATTACAGTTTCTTTATAAACCAATGACTCTTTGGATTATCCCCCTTTTATAAATTTACCTTTTGGATTTCTCTGAATTCTTGACTGTTTTCTGTATATCTCTGTATCAATGCTGCAGCATTTAATTGACAGCTGCAGAATCTGATGTATGGGGTCATGTGAGGTATCTAAATATAGCACACATAAAAGATGTTTGTTTCCATCTACAGTATTATCTTCTTGTATGACAGGAATTCTTACATTTTGTGATTTATGTACCTACATTTTCACAAAGGACATCTCCAATGATCTGAATGACCTGACCTTTTCCACACATCTTCTTCCTAACTCGTACTGACCTAGGACAAGTATAAAACAAAACATGGTTACACATTTCTGACAACATTCAACTCTAGATATTATGAACATTATATCATAGATGTAAAATTACTCAAAGTTTTATATTGTCAATTAAAAATAAAACAATTGACCATATACTATTCCTTGACAGTCTTTCTTTTCAAATTGTCAGATTCATATGATGGTTGAATTGGCAGTTGAAATGACTTTATTTAATACAGAAAGCTTTACACACAGTAACCTGGTATAAATAAAAAGGTCACACTTACTTGAGAAGTTTAGTATTGCACAAAATGAGTTCCTTCCAGTTAACAAAAACTGTATCCAATTCTTCTGGAGTCATGACCCCAGCAGTAGCCATAGGCTTGTAAAAAGCCTGAAAAAAAAAGTAAAAATTATCAGTAAGAATACAGTGGTAGAAGTTCAAAGGAATTCCTCATAATGTGAAACTTTGTTTGTTTGTTTGTTTATGTCCCCTAGAGAATTTTTCACTCATATAAGAACACGACCAGTTGTTGGTGGAAGGCAGCAAAATTAGATCTGTACTCTGCACTTATGGCCATTGAACAGTAAGGGGTCATTTTTAAATGTCAGCATCTATTGCACTTTATTTCATCCAATTTAATCCAAAGGACCTATCTCCATGTCGACTGTAGGATTCAAATCCCCAATTTAAGTATTGAAACCACGGTGCCATGTGGATGGCATGAAACTTTGTGTCACATCATGTCAGATTGAAGATTAAGGGAGGGAGAATAATTTTTCTAGATCTGTATGGAGTTTAACCTTGCTAGTACATGTAAGTAGATAAACCACACTGATGTAATATTCAAAGCCAAGCAATACTTACATCTAGCACTATAGACATGTCCGACATGTAAGTTTCTTCTGTGTTGATGAGCTCATGTATATAGTTCTGTCTCTTACTCTCAACAGACGAGGTCTGGGCAAGAACAGAGGGATCACTGGACCCTGAAAACATTAAAGGTATACTCATTAAGTCAAAATAATGACAAGGAAAGACTAATAATGGAAATCCCTACACAAATGTTTAAAGCAAACAATACGAACTTGACATTGATATTTATGTCAGAGTAACATTACATCCTGTATCAAAACAATTGATGGGATTTGCTGCTGAACTTCTCTTGACCTGGGTGAATAGGTCTAATTATATAAATGATTTAAATGAGATCTGTTATTTTCCTCTATAATATTGTGTTTTTACCATCAGTGGCTGTTTAAACACAATAATTTTGCTAAACATGCATAGCAGAGTCTTGTGCATTTTGCACTGTATAATCCATTTCCTGTTTACTACAATATGTAAACTTATTTCCGAATTTCAGTTAGGCACATTTGTACTATATATAAAACATGTATTACATATAAGCAAGTTTCTTACCCATTATTGTGTTCAGTATTTCCATTTTGTTAGCTATCATCACCCTTTGTTTTGAGTGCTTGATATCTTTTTTTTTCTATTGCATCACTGTACTTGAAATGCAGGCATGCTGTAGAAATGATTCATGAATCATTTCATATGCACTGCAAGTTCGCCACACTTCAAAGAATCAATTAAATCCCCCATGCATCCTGAGGCACTTAATAACATACATATTTCCTACTTCTTCTCCTCGGGAATTTAATTTGACTAGTAATTTCCTCTTTTTTCATGATTGTTTAATCAATAAAATTTTATTAAAAACATGATCATTTCATAATTTTTTGCAGTAAATTATTTGTGGTTATTTATATTCAATCATATTTACTTCCTTGTGTTTTGAATTATTTTCAGTTATGTAATTCTATTCAAGACCAAATTCCTTGAATTTAATACACAAAGTCCATTAAAAATGCCCTTTTTCACATAAACCAATTGAAAAAAAAAATTGTCAAAAAACATGGTTGTTCAATGAAAAATAATCCTAACATTTTGGAATCTTCTAGAGTAACAATTCATTGTTGAAGTGCGTTTTACAGGGACTGCCACTAGTCATACTTGACCTCAAGAGCACTGAACTGAATTTCAGCACTTAAGGGAACAACCATTTGATATGAAAAGGGGGGGGGGGGAGGGATTTTGGAAATAAATTATCTGTTCTCAATTGGCTTTTCAAACTTTTTCCTTGAAGAAAATAATAATCTGTCCTTGATCATCTCCAAAATAAATGATCTATCAACTAAAAACCATCAAATTATTTAATCCATTGTCTATGACTGGTCCAATCCACAACATCTCTTCTGTGCAATGCAAGATTTATATATTTTTTTTCAACAGGAAAATATCTGAGATACCTCCATTCAATATCTCATTTTTCAATACAGGAAAAAATTCTACTTCATACAATAATTAATATTTCAAAGTTGTCTTTTTTTTCAGTGTGCAACAACGTAAGACCTATAACTGAACACAATTATAAACACTGCATATACTATTTTTATTTAATGAAGTAAAATCCAGAACCAATTTGAAGAAAAAAAAAACTTGAATTACTGCTTTAATGAATTTATTGAATTGCTAGCTATGAACACATATATATCTACTATTGAAAAAACAAGGGAGTGTGCACCTGTCTCCATGACAACCCCTCAACATATTCTTACTTTTATCATATTGGAAATACAATCTTCAATAAGCCCTTAACTGGTTCTTCAATTAACACTTTCTACAGCATTCCAGGAGTTTTAGGAGAGTAAAACACAGTTACATCTATATCACATCAGTAACTCTGCATAATCTACTGCATTTTTCAACTATGAATCTCAGTTTCTTAGTCTAAAATAAATCAAATTACATGCAAGTTGCAATATACTAAACAAAATCTGAGAAACAATTACCTAAAATATTTGTTATCCAGTTTTATTTATGTCTAAATACCCAAAGTGAAGTCTGATAAAATTAAATACCAAGTAATTCAGCAAAAATATCTTTGAATAAAAAAACTTCAATATAAAACTATTCTGAATCATAAAATTTAAAGTAACAATGAGCAGAATTTGTATAATATTGCTAAACAAAGGTAGAGATGCAGGGCTCAACATTAACTAAAATATCCACTTGTCCATCACAGATATTTGTCCATTTACCAACAAATTTACTTGTCCAAAGTCATTGTTTACCTGTCGACTCAGACTCACAGAAATTTGGCGAAAAAATTCAAGAATGAAGTATCATAAAGAATATTGACTTACAAAGATTTGTTTGATGATTAGGTAATATGAAATGATCCAGTAACACGAACTGTAACCTCTTCTTTAACAACATTGTAATATTCAGAAATGGTAAAAAAAAGAAAGTCCTCTGGAGATTGATGTGTCAGAACACAAAATGAACTGGACAATCAGACAAATGTTAATGTTGTGCCCTGCAGATCTGTTCTTGGTTTTAGTATGAAGCTGAGAGAATACTACACTAGAATACTGTCCACTTGTTATATAGTGTTTTTATCATTTTTTAAAGGAAGAAGTCCATTAAAATAATATGGAGGTATTTATAACAAGCAGTTTAATAAATGAAACATATTTATAAAGTTAAAATATTATATAAATAATTATTTCTATACTGCTAACAAATACTCAACTACTTATTACATCAAAATATTTCAGTTTACATGTATTAAATCTATATTGCACACATAAGGGGAAAAAAAATCTTTTGACTTCATTTTAATGATCAGGTGGGATTACCTTATCTTGAATAAATATAGTCTAGTTTCTTCTTAAGTGACAAGTATGTTTTGGTCTGTTTTGATTCAAAAATTGGTATTTTAAACTTTTTTTTTTACATTCTTAAATCTCCCTACATAAAAATAAGCTACAGTGTATATATGAAAAAAGGGGTTCATTTTCAATTATGATTTCATTAGCTAAAATATTTGTACCTTTGCATTAACCACCAGTTACATGGTATAGATCTCAAAACTGTTGATTATTTATTCAGACACATAAAAAGCCATTCTTTCAAATTGCCCCATTTTTACATATTTGTGGTATACCAAATATATAGCAGACCAATATTAAGTACTAAGCAATTCCTCAGTCTATAAATTACACAAATACTTAAATGTAATACATATACACATTATATAATTCCTAACAATGTACTCACTGCTAAGTTGTACAATACTTGGGTTTATGAAACTCTACAGTGTTTAACTCCCTTGTGCTCATAAAATTCACATCAAACTTTAAGCCATTACATTTAACAGTATCATCAATCAAATGTGCATAATACTGCTATTTTTGTAATATCATTTTTTTTTCAATTAAACAAAGTACAGAATATATTAAATTTTAAAGAGTTGTAGATTTTCCATCTTTGCTAGCCAAGTGTTTCTGATCTGCTACTCTCCTTACAAACCCTTGGCCTATCATGCTACAAAAGTCAGGATTTTTTACACAACTTGTGTCACAAAATTAAAGAGCATTTAAAAAAAGAAGTATATAAAGAATATTTAACAAGCAGTTATCGACTGATGTTTGTTATCTATATGTTGCTGCATATTAACTTAAAAAGTTCGATGACACCATGATAGCTATCTATAGAATGGTACATTCCCAAGTCTATCTAGAGTCAAGAAAAATCAAGAATGGAGATACCATCATTTACTTTAGCTTTGCAATAAACATGTAATTCCTGACTGGTTGAACAATATCAAAAGACTCAATTACATCTCAGGAAAAAAATCCCGAATTTTGATAAGAGAATAGGCCAAGGGTTTGTGAGGAGTGTAATGGGTCAGAAACACTTGGCCAGGGAAGACATAGCTTTTCCTGAATTAAATTACACCCTATATTATCTTTGTCAAAGGGCACATTAAACAGTCCTGATAGTAATAGCTTAGGTTACCCTCTCATCAGATATAATGCCAAATTCATAATAAACAGTCAAATATGTGGCAATGTGTATCAATATCTCATGGATTAACACCTATACATGACAAAGATACTTGGAATAAATTTGTAAAATGAATGGCATCAAGCTATTGTGTGAAAAAAAAACAACTTAGCTTCATATTTTGTCTAGCAATCTAAGGGTAAACAAGTCTTTGTCCTGATAAACTTTAATGCAAAGGTCTCCATGTACATGTATATGAATACAGTTTTTATCTGTTTACAAAATAATCATGCATTCCTTACACCACAACTTTTTACCAAATTGAAAATAGAGCAGCTGAAATTAAAATAATCAAAATTAATTATTGATAAAACGATGCATTTTGACTTGTGGACAATTTTTTAAACATTTAGGATTCTTATCATGAATTTATCTTATGAATACATGTATGATAGTTGTGCCAGTGTGAACACATCCTCTGCATTTTCCAATGTACAAAATCAGTTTGAACTCACATGTGCAGCTGAACTATTTGGCAAATAAACTGAGTATCTTTAAGGAATTAAAAACTTAACAATAACAGAGATGCTAAAAAATGTTAACAATAAATACAACACAAACATCTCAATAATGAAGGATTTGATGATGAAAAATCAAGTAACAGTATGACAGGTATGAACTTAAAATCTGTGTTTATACAAGTGCAGAATTGATAAAAATATGTCAGACTCTACCAACAATAAATGACACACGTCACAGACATGATAAAATTTAAAATGATATATTCACAATAAATGTAAAATTATATCCATTGTATAATTGTTCATAGGCATACCCTTGCAATAAAATTGAGAAGCATTCAATAGATACACGTAGCTTACAATTCCTGCATTAGTTCAGCTTGTTTTAGCTGAAAAAGTTGATTCATCTACACTTTTTTTTTCCCTTTGGAAATGCCTTTCAAACAAAACACTGGTATGGTCGTATTATTACACTTAACATCCAACTATCACAATGGCATAAAAATTGCACCAACTTATAAAATAATATTTCTCATATTATTCACAACACTTAAAAATATTCACACAAACTGAAATCTAAGTACACATGTACTAAACACCATCTCTTATCTCCCCCTTATTTAGCTTTAATGCACACACCCCCTACAAAATATAGCCTATTAGAATAGTAGATGTCAAAGTTATTCCCCTTGCAGAAAAGTGACAAGTGACAAGGGGGTGTGGCCAGTTAAGTCTGTCTGACCCGCCTCTTTCTGAATCTTAGTAAGGATATATAACCAAAGAACTTCTGATGGCCGAAAAAAATCAAAATGAAATCATTCAAGATATCAGCGTACCAAAAATTAATTTCGGAAGTTACGCACTGAAAAATAAACAAATTTTATTTGCATTTTGTGCAAAATATATATAAAGTAGGCATATTTTGTGTGAGTGTGGCATTAAATGCACTAAGGGGGTAGGTGAAATGAGGGAGGGGTGTGTCAGGGGTGAGGTCAGACAAACTGTACTGCTCCCCAAATCACTCCAAATGTCACTCATCCTGCAATCAATAAAAAACAGTTAAGGTTAGGTAGAACTGACACATTATGTAGATGCTGGTTTCTAGCATTTAAAATGATATCCAGAGAGATTCACCCATATTTTTTTTTAAAATTATAACTGTGCATAATTAAGTACATGCATCATATTGTGCCTCAAAATATGCTCAGATTCATAGTTAACACTAAACCCCATTATATGTATTAAACTATCTACAAGTATTATGCTTTTTTTATTTCTCCAAGTAGAGTAAAAAAATTTTACCACCCAAAATAAATTTCAAATGAATCTTCTCCCTTTTTCCAACCTCGGCCCACAAGAATATTTCTAGACTAGTTCTGTATCAACTATAAGTTAACACTGCAGAGATCATGCAAACTGTATTATTCTAAAGATAAAGACTTTACTTACATGTATTTTCTTGAGGAGGAGAAGAAATGAGGGGTCCGACATAGTTAGAGGGGAACATTCCGACTGTTCCGTTCACCTCCCCCTGCCACCAGTCAGCATCCTCCTTACTGATAACGTTAATCACAGAGTCTTTGTGGAATGTCAATTCATCGTCATTCTGAGCCGTGTAAGGGTACAGTGCAATCACCTGATCAACTGAAATCACAAATTATATTAACATTTTTACAATGCAGCAATTTCATGATCAGTAGCAATTCATTAGACAAGTTTTAAGGGAATTAAATCCCAACTTCATACCACCAAACAAGGAACCTCCGTCTTCAATGTTCTTATAGTTTGTACAATGTTGAAATAGAGAAACTTTATATTATCAAAATTGACATAAATACCAAGAGCTTATACACATATCTAAATAAATACTGTAAGCAAAATTACTCAAAACTTGATTATTAATCAAACTTTTCTTACAATACATGTACATTTATCTTAGGAATATGATTTTCCAATTCTCTAAGAAGTATGTACAGCTGTAAGTGATAAAAGGTCATGAAAAATTTTATTTTCTGTTACATTAGAATCTGTTGTAAATATATGTATCTATTTGGACAAAAATGAATATATTTATGAAATGAACACGTTACAGAGTTGACAATTTTAATCTTAGCTGTAAGAATTTTTGAGAAAAGGGCCATAGCATTTTAATTACATAAGAAAAGTATTACAGGTAGTGATAAGATAAAACTTACCATATTTATTCTCCACAATTGCTGATTTCTGTGGCTGGGGTGCTGGAATTGTGGGTGTGGCAGTCCGATGTAACTAAAAATAGAATGTATTGACATAGCCCTTTCCTTTAGACTCTAAATAGTAAAGCAGGGATATTTCTTTCCAGCAATAGGAAAAAAAGCTTAAATTGTAATCTAAATTGAAATTTACACTCTTTGAGACACTATAAATTCTTACTGTGTTTGCGGGTGAGCCGCTCTGAGATGAATTATCAGGAGTGGATCTAGCACTAGATCCACCACCCAGAAGTTTGACATAGTTAGCAGGGAACCATCCTATCTTCTTCCTCTGACCACGAGCCTGAGAATGATATCATGTATGTTACTAGCATGTCCAGTATTTGATAAAAAGTATTTAAGATTGCATTCATATGGATTGAATATTGGCAATACACAGAGGTCTTTTTTTCTACACACATTTTTTTTAGTGAGAATCTAATCTATGATCATTGTAGATGTATGGACCATTAAAACTCGTCCCTCTCTGGACCCTCATACTTGACCTATTCTATACTCACCTGAAGTTCCCCCTCCCACCAGCCGCTGGGGCTTTTCTTACGGACCTGAATCAACTGACCAGGACTTAAAGACAATTGTTCACCTCCTGTTGCCGTGTAGGCAGCTATCACTGACGCTATTTCTGTCAATAATAACATAATTCTCAATTTATCTGCTTCAGGTCAGAGACATTACTCTTACAACTGGTCTCTGATAATGTATTACAATATAGCAATGATCTACATGTATATTCAGCATTTGGTATGCAAGCATTATTATATTTTCTGTTAGAATATTATGAGTGATATGCTTCAAACATACCATTATTTGTAGCAGGTCCTATAGTTTATCAAACAAAATGGAAAATCAAATTTAAAAATCACAACCATGCATTGTTATTCATTTTACGGAATAAAAAATCCAGACCTACGCGTATTAAACTGATTCTTTTATCTTGTACCTGGTTTTTTAAGTGTTGAACTGGTTCCCGTTTTTTGTTGAGTCTGTGCTGGCTGACTGGTGGCCGGCTGTGGTTGAGGAGCCTGAACAGTGGGTTGTACAGTTGGGGTATGACTAGGCGAAGGTTTTGGCTGAAATATTGAAAAATAATCCAAAATGTTCTAAAAGCTAAAAATTCATAATATTATCATACCAATTAAAATAAAGAAGTCAGTAAGCCAATGCTCACTAGTACATTTAATACCCCTGCTCTGATGAGAATATACACCTTAATTTGAATATACACAAGTTCAATTAACAAAATATTGTACATATCCAGAAAGTCAATGTCCACAGTAACAAAACATAAGAATCAAAGCAACACAGGGAGAGGAAGCTTACATCGAATTCGTACAAAAATGAATCCCACCATATGGCATGCCTGTACAAAGAGTGTAAAATTTCAAGCATCTGCAAAGAGTAGTTACTGAGAAAACTGCAATGAAAATTTGTTACAACAGACACACACACACACACAGACAGACACACGAGGGTAAGGCAGTATACCCCCCTCTCCTTCTGAACGGGATAAAAAAAATAAACATTTTTTATCAATACATGTGTATTGGGATCAATGATATAAAATCTGTCAATAAAAACACATTCTTCTGCTGTCAAAGAAGCAAATCTGTTTTAAACTTGTATTTTAACATCATACAACCATTCATCTAATTATATACATCAGACATGTATTTAACATTTACTTTTGTTTCATCATACAAACTTTAATATACATGTACATGTAAATAAACTTTGCAGAAGTACAGAATGATCGAAAATAAATAAGCTGTGGCTACACCTATTTCAGGTGTGTTTCAATGTGTCTTGTGCGAGGGAATCAGTGTTCTTTAAATGTCTTTGTGTTATACCTGTTTGGATGCCTCACTAGACCCTGTTAATATGGAACGGAAATTTTCTATAGGTTCATAAGTGTCATCTTCAAATGACTCAGACGGTTGTGCAGTCAACACAGATGGCTTGGGTTTTGTGGGTGTATTTTTGGTTAAACTTTTAATAAAACTAAACTTCTTAAATTTTTTTTGTTTAGGTGCTTTTTTCTTATCTTTAGATGATTTGTCGTCATCAATAATGTCAATATAGGCATGATCTTGAATGATTTCCCCTGATTCACTTTTGGGGTCTTTTTTATTATTGGAAGGATTCTTCATACTAGTAAATTCTTCATATTCATCATCTCTCTGAACATTATCTTCAGCTTTCCTCTCTTCTGATGAATTTTTAACTATACCAAGAAAATCTTCATACTCATCAACTTTCTGCACATTTCCATATTCATTTGCATTTGCTTTGTTCTCGGTAAAGTAAGGAATATCATCATACTTATCATCTCTGATCTCATCTGTCCCAGAGTTCCAGTTTTTCACTTCCTCTGCTTGCTGTTCCTCGGGTGGGTTTGGCTGTGGGGAATCAGGATTTCTAATAAACCCACTCAAATCATCATATTCATCTTGCCCCTCCGGTGCTTTCTCCTGTGGGGATTCAGAATTCATAATAAAGCCGCTCAAATCATCATACTCATCCAGACCCCCTGGCTTCTCTTCTGTGGTTTGAGGACTTGTTTCCCTTGACCTTTTGAACTCACTCAGATCATCATAATCATCATTCACAGGAACATCAGTCCCTTCAGTAACAGGTGTCTTCATGAATGAGCAGTCATCATAATCCCCGATGGAGGATGTTGCAGAATGCTGCTTAATTTCTTCAAGCTTTGGTGTGTTTCTCCTCACTGTAAGAGTCTGAACAAAAGTAAAATTGTCATCCAAGTTGTTCTCTGAGACCTCGTCAATGGGACTACCAGTATTATCAACAGATTCTGATGGCTTCTGCAAGACTGCAAAATTGTCTTGAAATGGACTTTCAGTCCCCTGCTCTACACCTTCTGTGCCTTTGTGACTGTTCAAGGCAACATCTTCATTTGATGTTCCTGAAAACCATTCACCAGCTGGACTTTTCTTAGATAGTTCTAAATTGCTAAATTCCCCAAACAAGTCGATTTCCTCTGTCTTGCTTTTGTTTCCTTCACCATTTTCTATATCTGGAAAATACTTTTTCAGTTCAGTAAAAGAGGAGCTTGTTTTCCTTAATTCTGACTCTTCATTGTCATGTTTTCTCAGGACTACCTGGTCTGTTTCCTCTGAACTTAAACTGAACACATCCATATTAGACTTTTCCTCATTTAATTCTCCTAAATTAAATATTACTTCATTGTTTTCTGATGATTCGGTGTTGTCGATACTAGTTTGGGTGGCAACTCCAACATTAAACTTATGAAAGGAATCCCCAAAACTATCCGAGGGTAAGAAATCTGATGATTTAAAAGGATCCTCACCCTCCATAAATAGTGCATCATTTGAGAATGGCTTCTCTGATGCAAAAGGATCTTCAGAGAAAGAGTTTGATGAAAACAGATCCTCTCCTCCAAATGGTGAACTCTCAGAACCAAACATATCCTTGCTGTCTGCTGCTATATCCTCACTGGGAGAAAAAACATTGTCACTAAAAGGATCTTCAAATGTGACAGATTTCTTTAACTTTTTGTCAGGTGATTTTGGTTTGTCTGGTGAAGGAAGAGCAGGGAGGGGTGTACTTGTTGAGGAGGAGGTTTCGTTTTGAAGTGATGGGTCTACAACATTAGAAGAGGAGGGGGAGGAGGCAGCTGTCAATGTGTTTTGTTTCTGTGTTGACTGCAGTAACTCAATGTCTGATTCAGATTGTGGTGTAAGATCAATAGAGGGAGATAACTCTTGTTCAGTGTTAACAGAATCTAGTGTTTGTAAGCCTGGTACCACCTTCTACAACAATGCAAAACACTGTGACATATTACTTTCAAGAAAAGACATTTTTATACATGCTGGAAATTTTGATCGTTTACACAATGCATACATGCTTCTTTTTTTAAAGGAAACAGAGAAGTACATTCCAAATAAGTCTTGGATATAGAACTGAGACCACTCCACTTTTGAATTCTCCCTACTTACCTGTTGTTCTGCGGCCTTGACATAGTTAGCAGGGAAGATCCCTGACCTTTCACCTATTGACCCTGTCCACCAGTCACCCTCTTTCTTGGTCACTTGGATTGTCTCCCCCTGTGTGAAGGTCAGGTCACCTGGTTCAGTGGAAGTGTAGGAAAACATGGCCACATATGGTTCTGTAGAAAGAAAAACAATTGCATACATTTTTTTTTCTACTGTTAACTGTCACAGTCACAAATGTTAAGTGCTTTGAATTTACAAACGTACAAAAATTGGTCCCAGTAATAAAGTTCATCTTTTAAAAAAATGAAGAAAAAAATTCTGTCCTACATGTAATGATAATATACTGACCAGCTTCAGCAGTGTGTTCCACAATGGCTGGCGTACTACTCTTATCATTGGTTTCTACAGACACAGCAGGTGCTGCACTTGTTGCCATTGGTGTACCAGATCTTGATCTATAAATAATATATCCAATCAGCTTCATTTTTCACTCTGTTCATATACTTGTGTAAAATGTTAACCTGTGTACAAACATTCAATTCTAACATGTATGTTCAGCTTTATTATAAACATAAAAATATTGTATATAATTTTGTCTTTATTTCTTCTTGTTTATGTTGGTAGATTTATTTTTAAGGTACTACATGTACAAGGACTTACGTTTGTTTGGAACCTGGTCCACTGACGAGTTTGACATAGGACTTCGGGAACCAGCCAGTCTTAATAAGAAAGACATCAAAAAGCAATTAGTTTTAGAAACAAGAAATCTTCTCATATTAATGGCTCTACTCTCTCTGATTGTGGTACAGAATTGATCATATATTTTATTTTAAATCTCTTCTAATTTGACAGATTTAGTGAAATAATAAAGAGAATTCAATGTATCCATTATCCAAATTTTTACTGTATCAAAACATTTAAATGGAAGATCGACTGATACTGATCTATCAAATGATGGCAGCCATAAATAATAACTGTACTATGTTCACTAATGTGGTTATTATTACATGTGTATGTATTTAGAGATGTCTTGTTGCACATCATGATAATAATATTCAAATAGACTATTTTATTTTTACTACAATGTAACTAAATAAAAAATACACAGGTTTTCTGAATTGTACATGTATATAAATTCTTGTATCTAAAAATTCTGTAATGTCAGTTGTAGCAGGAATAAAACAGATAACAGAAAGTTCATGCAATAACAATTTCAAAACTAACATGCTCAGCTACTCACAGGTACTTGTTCAAACCAATAGAACTTTCGATTCACAAAAAAATTAAAACATATAATTCTAAATTTCTTACGATTTTTATTTTCCAGATTATGATATATTAATTTATTACCTCCAATTTTTATATGTAGTTAGTTTAAAAATCTTTTTTGAAACAAGTTTAAAACTACCACATGTATGTATCCTGTTTCTTTAAATAAGTATGATCTTGCAATCCTTTCAACAAATGTTAAAAAGAGCCCACTTTTCCATAGCACAGCAATGATTTAGAAGCAAAAAAATGCACATCATGCATAACAGCCAATTACTGGCCCTCTCTGAGTCATTTTTTTTAAAACATAAAGAAAAAAAAGCTGTAGCAGTGAATATCAAATACCATGGTTATTGTGCTTCATTTGTTTTTAAAGTTTCCCCCAAAACTTAAATACTTTTTTATATATGACTTTTCAGCCAGCAGGTTATCCTTAAGTTGATCTCATCAAATAACTTTACAACTCTGGACTCTGATTTTTGTCAACCTATACCAGCATATATTCCAATTTTGAACTTAATTAATGCCACTTCTTTTGCCAATTTCATTAACCCCATTCCCCAGCCCCAATATAAGGTGAGTGAAATTTGTGGGTTCAAGGTTCATTAATTAAAGATGCCTCTATTCTACAACACACAACACAGAACTGCTGGATACCTGTCCATTCAGCTCCCCGGACCACCACATTTCTTGTTGTTCTTTGACATGGATTATGTCCCCTTTGTTAAAAGACAAATGATTTTCTTTCTTGGCCTTCCATGGATAAAGGGCCTGGGCCTGAAGGCCCTCAGGGGCAGCTGATCCCTGTAAAGGCATCATCTAATGTCCACAAAAAGCGCTAGTTACAGATACTAAACTGGGACCAGTCTAGGTTAGTATGTGATAGCAGATAATGCAAGCAAAGATATTAAAGAAAAATTCTGATTTAAAAACAAGTCAGAAAGGAATTTCAAGGAAAGTTTGAAATTGAACTAACATTGAATCAAATATGAAGTTTGTTCACAAATATCTAATTTTTATTAAACATAAAAACAAGCTAAAAAAAAAACATCACTCAAAATAGTCATTTATATTACAAGTAGTAATTTTCTTCAAAACCTTCTGTCTAAATAAAACAAGGTAATTTTTGTCTTACCTGTCCAGGAGTGGGCGAGTCAGCTGGTATATCAAAGAGAGATTCTTTCTGAGGAAATGCTGAAGCTACAGGTTCTGAACTGCAAGCATTTAAGATAAATGTTTTAGGTACAAATATAAATTTTAGTCTTGGAACACATACTAAATTCTTTTTGAAGTCATTACATGAAAGTGTAATATACATGTGCATCAAAGCAAAAAGGTATCTAATGCATTCAAAACAGCACAGTGCAAATCTTTCACTATGAATTAAATCATTAAATTTTACAATGCACTGATTTTAATTTCATTCTTAACTAGGGAATATTCTACTTTTTAACACTTACATATAAAAATACGAAATGATGCTCAAAACTCTGTACAACTTATCAACCTTCCTAATAAAATATACATGTACCTGAAAGCATTGCCAAAGGCATTAAATTGACTAGATTGCTCCTCTGGTAGTTTCTCCACGTAGTCTTTAGGGAACCAGCCCTTCTTTCCATTCATTTCTCCTCCCAACCACCCCTCCTCTGCCCCTGTCTGGTCCTCTGGGACCTGTAAACAGATATTAGTGCATTCATCATACTAATCACACAAATACAGTCCAGCCTTAATAACCTGGATACCAATAATCCCGACCTTCTGTACACGTCATTACTTAATGTAATTAAGTTCTTTCTGACAAGCCCAAGATCTTGAAAATCCATAATGAAATAAAGATCTTTTGCCATTTGCAAGCATATAAAAGAAAATCGCCTGTCATTCTACTTTCTGCTCTCTAGAATTTAAATTGATTGATGGACTTAATTTCTCTTACTCCCATATTGAAAGAATTCCAGTTGTTATTTATGTCTGGGACAATGGATTTTTTTTAAAGATTCCAAATCTACATTTTGAAATTGTATAGTTTTCCGTATTATGAATATTGTTTGATGAAATGTTCCCTCGAGTATTTGGGAAAATCTGTTTTATGCACCCAGGGACAGTGCTATTATACTCGTATACTTATCTCAATTGTTCAACAAAAGAATATCTCCCATCTTGTTAAAACATGAGGCCCATGGGCCATAAAGGTCACCTGAGTCATCGTGGCCCTTGCTGTTCCTCAGAAAATTAGCCCCACCCAAAGCCCAGGGTACAGTATTTGAACGAAATTGAATCTACACAACCTGAAGTTGATTGATATTAATATGACTATTAAATCATGACCATGTGATTCTTCAAAAGAAGATTTTTTAAAGATATTGTAGCCCCACCCTACCCCTAGGGGGTCATAATTTGAACAAAATTGAATTTGCACTACCTGCGGATGCTTATATATTAATATCTCTAATCATAATCCTGCTGTTCTTGAGAGGAAGATTTTAAAAGAAATTTTCCATGTAAAACTTTGATCCCCGATTACTGTAAATGTAATTTATTTGGAGTGTACGATATTTGGTGGAAATTGATTTGAACAAGTTAGCATAGATTTGATTTAGTGCATTTCAGTCCCCTACTGGTGAAACTGGAGGGGACTATAGGTTTCCTCTGAGTCTGTCCATCCGTCTGTCTGTCTGTCTGTCCATCTGTCTGTCCTTCTGTCTGGCTGTCAGTCTGTCCCACTTGGTTTTCCGCACTTTTTTCCTAAACGCTAGCAGATATTGAGCTGAGTTTTGGTATGTGACTTTACCTTGATTAGTTATAGATCAAGTTTGCATTTCGTCCCGCTTTATTGATTTTTGACGGAATTATGGCATTTTCAATTCTTAACGGGAACCAGATTACACTTGCTGGTAGGGGACTAGTATTGCTTATGTAATACTCTCAGAATGCTTGTTTATGTGCATATGTGCAGGACATTTAGTGATGTACTTAAATTAGCGGAAGTTGCTTTCCCCCAAAGGCGCTTAAAAGAATACCCAGCAAAAAGAAGTACGCTTACAGTATACTCCCATCCTAATCCTGGGTACTATGATTTCAGTAAACTTGAATCTATCTCATATCAATAAGCTTTCACCTAAGTTTCTTTTTTGGTCCAGTGGTTCTTTAGGGAAGATTTTTGATGACATCCACCCTTTTTGGCTCATTCATGATAACCTCCCCTTTGAAGAGGCTGTGACCTTTCATTTGAATAAATTTGAATCCCCTTTACCCAAGGGTGTGCCAAGTTTGTTTGAAATTGGCCCAGTGATTCTGGAGAAGATCAAATTGCGAAAAGTTCATGACTACAATGATACCAGTGATGACAGACAAAGGACAAATTTCCATCAGAAAAGTTCAGTTACGCCTTCAGTTCAGGTGAGCTAAAAAATGTACTTGTATGCAAGAAAATGGAAAAGTACTCGACAAATCAATGCTATAAAAGGAAACGTTTGTTCTCTTACCCAAACAATGTCATCTGGATTCAAACTTAATTCATCTGGATTTCTGGCCTCAAAAGGATACAAGGCCTTATATTTACAACCTTTACTACTGGATGAGGTCACTGGAAAAAATTACAAAAGAGAATAAAAATATCGAAAAGATGTCAGAACAAGACATCTGAAAATTTCTCTCATTTTGAAGATTTCACTTTCAGCAATGATGTTAGCTATAATATTCTGTTGTGAACTACAGGTAAACTTCGGTATCTCGACATCGGATATGTCGACAACCTGGGATATGTCGACGTCCGTCCGCGGTCCCGGCAGTATTAACTATATAAATGATTTGCAAAAACTCTGATATGTCAACCTCGGTAATCTCGACAACCCTGGTTATCTCGACGTATATTCACAGTCCCAAGAGCAAAATTTACCTGGTATATGTCGACAACGGCAATTTTCTGCTCCACTGAACCTAACTGTTTGTCAGATAGGTCGCTCGTCACGCACGGACGGCTCCGGGTATCTGGACGTCGTCAAAAATTCACACCTTTCACATCCATGTTTGACTGCACGCTGCTTAATTAATTCTATAGACTGTGTTTGTAGGTGAATCCAAAGCCCCCTCGGCGTCTTTGAGACGTTAATTGCTTAATGTTCAGTTCGGGTAATATCACTAATAAATCTACACGATTCTGCTTAAATTTACAGGTGTTTATTTATGTCGAAACCTAACATAACTTTTAAAATTGAAAAAAGATAACTAAATTACAAAGAATAATAAACATATTGAATAAATTCAAACTAAAGAATTAAACGATGTTCTAATAATATTTTGTAGCTAAAATGCATTCAACAGGAAATAATCCGATTAACGACACGATTAACCGAATCATCCGTAATTCATGCATCTGTAATATCACTATGTTAGTTTAGATACACAAATCTCTTAAATAATTTATATTTATGCACATTCTTCCTGAATGAAATAAGAAAAGAAATATTAAATACGCATTTAATATGTTTTCTTTATCTCGGATGTCGACTTTATCATGTTTATACGGTTCGGTTCGAAGTTTATAGAACGCATTTCGTATCCTGTTCTGACAAAAAAGCAAGTAACACGCGAATGCTGGATGGAAAACTATAAAAATTTAGAACGATCGATTTCGATAAAGAGAAAGAACAGGTTTTATAAGTAAGATTTTTAAAAATAACTTCTTAGATTTTTAATAAAAATAGATGGATTGCTGAAATAAGTTGACCTACAGTCTATATTGAAGTCATGTACGTATAATAAGCTTATACACATGTATGTTTGGTTATGCAGTGAAATCTTGGACGTCAAGTCTCAACTCTGATATCTCGACACCTCGGATATCTCGACATTTTCCGATGGTCCCGTCGATGTCGAGATAACGAAGTTTACCTGTACTTGCATGATCATTATGCTTGGACAGTTTACAATTACTCATGTCATAATGATTTTTCCCGACAGCTGACCTGTAGTTTGACTAGAGAAAGCGCTGCCCCAGATATCACTCCCCTTGGATGTATCAGTCTTAACATCTGCAAAGGCAGCTGACCAGATATCGTTAGAAGTAGCGGATGACTGAGTGTCGTTTGAGAATGCGGCCCACGCGTTACTGGAGGCAGTGGATTTTGCTGAAAAGCATAATTTATAGAAATATTTCTTAAATGATGAAATATTATGATAATGATATTAACTTGAATAGCACAATACATGAATAATGTAATGTACATTATATTGAATAGACTTTATAAACAATATCCAATGGTTGATGGAAAAAAATTACAGTATTCAACTATAGACTTTATTAAACATACCTTTTGCTTCTTGCTCCTCTCTGAAAAAAATGTTATGGCAATCAAGTTAATGATATCATTTAATAATTTCAGGACGTGCATTAATGGATTATGATGAACTCTATAATGTATATCATATTAGCAAGTCTTAACAATTAAAAACAAGCCTTTCCTTTAAAAGAAAATTCATAACATTCAAGAAGATACTAGGTTGGTCAACACTTCAGTTTTCAGGCTCAAAACTTTATGATCTGAATGCACTCATAATATATGTATTATAAAAGAGATCAAAAGCACAAAGTTATGTAGAGCTTTTAGGGCATGAGTGCACTCCAAATGTTTTAGAATTAATCAGTTTTTTAAGAATCTGAGCACACTCACTTGAGCCTCTGAGCCGCCAGCTCTTTCCTTAGATTCTCTTGTTTCTCCTTTTCCTGTTGTATCTTAGCTTTGTGTTCCTCGTCCTGTTTTCTCTTCTGCAGTAGAGATGCCTCCTGTTTTTGTTGTTGTTGCTTTTTCAGTGAAGACATATTGTCTTCCACTGACGACAGTTTCTTCTTCATTTCCTGAAATCAGTAATAAATTTATGAGGAACTTGGCTCAAATTTACAATGAGTATGTTAAAGAAGGATTCAGTGCTAGACACATCAATAGTTGTACACATACTGAGTAGATCATGCAAGCCCTGTGCCTTACACATTGATTTTATTTTTTTTAAGTCACTTGCCTGCGGGCAAGTGGTTGATAAAATTTCACCTGCCCATCCCTAAAATTCAATACCCCTGGCGTCAGCCAATGGTATTTGTCAGCCCCTGGTATATTTCACAAAGTGGATGTATTAATAATTAACAATGTATTTGTCTTCTTATTTTTTGAAATATACATGTATATAAATACAGCAATAGTTTATGGTGGGGCAAGAAAAATTTCAGGTAAGGCAATGATTTTCGTCCATGCACTTGCCCTTGGACAAGTGCCTAAAAAATCTATTTGTCAGCCCCTGTATACAAATGCATTCATTCATTTTACTGAAAACCAACTATTATTTGCGCCATCTTTTACTCGCGATTCGTCAGTTTGAAATCAATTCGCAACAATTAATTTTCGCAACTGAGGAAACATTCTTTTCAAATACAAAGCAAAATAAATGGTTCCCGAGTTCAAGTAGGTTGCGAAACTCGCAGATATTTCTTGCACGCGAATAAAAGTTGGTTTACAGTAATTTCAATTCAGAATTTTTTCTAAACTGAAATGTTCCAATTTTACATGCAAGTTCAATCAAAATATAAACCTCCTATACTGACCTCTAACTCTGCGTTACTCTTGTCAATTTCCAGCAGTTTACTTTCGGTTTCTCTTTCCGTGTTTTCGAGCTCTTTCTTTAGCTTCTGAAGTGAAGTCTTTTTTAATTCCACTCCATGTAATACTGTACGGTGTGCATCAGCTTAAAAGAACAAGGACACAAATATTCTTCATACCATCACATGGAAATACTGCATGAACATTTCTATTCCATATACATTAAAGAAGAGGCTGAAATTTCTCACTGAGGGTTGACAATAAAACTATCTAAATTTGTGGGGGCTAAATTTTATTTCCATTAATTTCTAGAATTTACAGGTTAATTACAGAACATAATTTTGTGGTTGAATGTCTCTTTCTGCAAGATATATTAGTCCATGTACAAGTCCATGTAAAATACACATTTACATCAATATTCATTGTGGTTAATAAATTTTTTGCCTAGGACCTAGGTACTCACCTAAGCCAAGAAAACTAAACTTCCATGAAATATAATGATTCTACAGTAGATTTCAGTGCAGGTACTTACATAAGGGGTTGTTCTGTACTGAGGTTTGTACTCGGTAATTGAGAGACTCACGCTCGGATTGTAATTGCACCAATTTGTCACCTAATTCCTGAAAAGACAACCACTGATGCTGTATAGTTGTATCAAGTACATGTATTGCATGCTACCATTAGAAAATGCATCAAGTCTACATATATTTTGAAGCTGTGTGTTTAATTAAGACTCCTTGGAAACTCACTTTGATATCATGTTCAAGTTTGTCTATTGCACTGGTTTTGGAGTCCCTGGTTATTCTCATTGCCTCTATGCTATTGGTGAAGTCTGTTACACCATTCCTTACTTGCTCGATCTTCTGTCGAATCTCAGTCTTTTTACCTTGCTGTAAAACACAGAAAAGACCATGGGTAAAATACCTCAAAACTTTCTACAATGTAAATAACAGCTATCCTCCTGAAAAGGATTTGTTGAGAACAAAAAATCATGAGCCTACATTTGAAATTTATGAGCCACAATGCTCATAACTTCATATAAAATGTCTAAAAATGAGTTAATCATATATTATACATATGCCCATGAGATTTTGCTATTGCTACTTTGTTATCCTGGGACTTTTCAAAAAAACATTCACCTACATGTAACAATCCCCCTCACAACCTGGTATAATGTATGGCTCCCAATTTGATTAAAACTGAATCCTCCAAGGGATTAAAATGCTTTCTGCTAACTATCGCTGATATAGTCTAATAAAAATCATAATTTAAAAAAAATTGGGAAGTTTCCATATACATGAAGATCAGCAAAGATACTTTTAAAAAGCACAATTGAGCCTCAGATTAACCAAGTTGCATGACTCTGGTTATAGGAAAAGCTGCACTGAATAAGTTGGATCAAAAACACCCTATAGTGTTGGTATACATGTTTTAAGACCTGACTCACCTGTGACTCGAGTTCACACTTGAGATTACTGGCTCGTGATTTGATTATACCCAGCTGTTCATACTCTCGTGTTGATATACATGGTTTAAGACCTGATTCACCTGCGACTCGAATTCACACTTGAGATTACTGGCCCGTGACTTGATTATACCCAGCTGTTCATACTCTCGTGTTGATATACATGGTTTAAGACCTGACTCACCTGTGACTCGAGTTCACACTTGAGATTACTGGCTCGTGATTTGATTATACCCAGCTGTTCATACTCTCGTGTTGATATACATGGTTTTATTAGTTACATAGTTTTTTAGTGACAGGGTACGGGATGATACCTGGTTAGTAAATTTCATACCTGGCGAGGCGAAGCCGAGCCAGGTATGGAATTTACTAACCAGGTATCATCCCGTACCCTGTCACTAAAAAACTATGTAACGAATTTACCCCACCGATAAAATATTTATGCATTGTCTGTGGTTTGTAAAATTGTTTTTCTCACTATATATATGTTTCATCATTCATACAATGCCTATTATGACGTCACGTTGTGTGACGTAATGTTGTTTTGCGAGTGTTTTGTGCTGTAATACCGTACTGACAGTTTTGAAGACTTTCAGTAAAGGGAGAAAAAGGTTCCATCTTCGTTACTTACATTAGTTAACTGTAACATTGTCAACAGACACTCGGCAAATCGCGTGAACTCGAGTTGTTCGAACGTTACAAAAGAACGATAACTCCGTATCTACCATGTATTGATTTTCAAGCGACTAGGTATAAGTAATACACCCCCTTCACATGACAGACTTCAACCAATTGTAAGCCAGGATTTCATCGAAAAATCAACAGAGGTGGGGTAAAAGACCTGACTCACCTGTGACTCGAGTTCACACTTGAGATTACTGGCTCGTGATTTGATTATACCCAGCTGTTCATACTCTTGTGTTGATAAACATGTTATAAGACCTGACTCACCTGTGACTCGAGTTCACACTTGAGATTACTGGCTCGTGATTTGATAATACCCAGCTGTTCGTACTCTCGGCCTTTCTCAGATAATAACTGTTCCTTCCTCTGTCTCTCCCATTCCATTTGTCTCTGTCGCTCTAGTTCTCTCCGAGCAGCCTATATTTAAATAAACATTACACGTATAATAACAGACATTATCCTCAATGCTCTACAGTATTGATTTCTACTTTCATGTTTGTTAGGTGCATTTATTATGAGAATTAATGAACATTCTTTGCTTTCAATACTGTACCTATAGAATTATTTTTTAACCCAAAGTCCATGCAAATTGACCGCAAAATTTGACCTTGATCAATAAACTGTAAATTTGCAAAATAAAAAATTGACAATTGTTTATTTACCTCTCTTTGTTCCATCATTTTCTGTCTCTGTTCTTCTCTCTCTCTTTCTATCTGTCTTTGTTTTTCCATCTGTCTTTCCATTTCTGCCAATCTTTTTCTTTCCTGTTCTTGTCTACAAAATACACAAGAAAATGCTAAGTATGTTTCAAAAATTAGAGCACAAAAAACATCAAAAAGCAATATGAATACCATAAGCTTTAAAATAATATTGTAGGAAGTTTAAATCTCAGAATTTCTACACTTTCTTTGCCCACAAAATTTAACTCAGTACCCTAGATTTTGTTTCTTCTGACTATAATGCTTATGTTTTTATGTATATGAGTCATGTGGGTAACTTTTCCACTAAGTCTACATACATGTACATGGATTTAATATCAGAAATAAATATCAATGATGTATCTTACATATTGTCAATCCTTCCTACCTGATTCTCTCTCGTTTTTCCTGCTCCTGTCTCTCTTTCTCCATCCTCGCCTCGTTTTCCCTCTTCATCTGTTCTTGTAACATCTGTCGCCGCCTTTCTAACTCTGCCTGGCCCTTATCAAAGTTCTCCTTACGGCGGTCCTCAAAGGTAACTAGATATTAAAAGTAAGTCTTAGTGTTGTTGACATTATGATAGGTTTTCATAATGATAAAGTTGTCATATCCTTTCATTTTTTATGAACACAGCTTTAGGTCATCACATTTAGCATGACTTTCAATATGTAAAATTCACAATTTCCAAACCAATTAAGAAAGCAACACATGTATATATATATATATATATATATATATATATATTTATTATACTTTCATGTTAAATACTAGAATCTGATTGGTTTAGACACATTTAACAATCCGTAATATTACCCTCAGCGTTAGCAACACACTTGACAACGGGTAACATTACGAAAATATCACATGCGTTCAAATCATGCGCGTACGGTTCACCGTAGAATTCTCAAAACGTCGGTTGTGCGTTTGAAAGAAGCCGAATAAACGACGTCAGTAAAAGCTTGCGTCCGATGTAGCTTACTTGAAAAATACAAACGACAGACGAAACATCCTTGCGAGTGCAAACTTTAGGTGATAAAGGACTTTTTGAGTAGCAAACAAATAATAAAGAGGTTGGTAAATCTTTTACGAAGCTTTCCTATTGAGAACAAGAGGCCCAAGGGCCTTAACGGTCACCTGAGTATGATAAAACAATTTCAAGGATGCATAGAGTATAAAATGAACTGAAAGGTGAAGCTTTGTTGCCCAAAAGCAAGAAAAATAGGGTGATCATGATCAACAAAATTATTGGTCTTAATATTCATTAACAGTTCATAAATTAGATTCTAATCTGTTCCCCATTTATCACTATCACTATACAGTATATTAACAAATTATCAATGCTTCTGTACTATTTTAATCCCTTGTTGAAATCTCTTACATTGGCATCTCTTGGTCTTTGATGAATATTTAATAAGACAAGTTATTTTTGTCTCATTTTTATTTATCTACTACTTACAAGTCTATCTGATCATTAAAACTATGAAAGTACTTTTTGTATTATACAATTAAAGTTTTTGCAAAATTCTCTTATTCTATTTACCTTTCAAGTACATTATTTACAGTGATAAATTATCAAAAGTAAATGGTAAAGGGGAATAACTCCTCTCAGTAGAATACAAACTAATAGAGCCCTGGCCAGGACCAGAACACTTGACCAAATGGTCCAGATGTTCAAAAATCTGGTAAAAATTCCCTTCCTTATAAAAACTTTTACTCTGTTTGCCTCAGATATGCCCAGGTGCGGAGAAGATTTTTAAATAAATAATGCATTTTTACTACAGATTCACTATATTATCAATAGAGCCCCCCCCACCCCACCCCCCACCCCCAAAACACCAGATCTTCTGACCCTGGGACCATATGTTTGCTCATCATCACTTTGTTTATCTGCTTAACACTAAGGAGCAAACAGGATTATTTAATAGAATTAATGCATTTTCACTAAATTATCAAGAGCCCCACCCTCACACCAGCACATCTGACCCAGGGGTCATGAAATTCACTCCTCGGGAAGAAGCACACTTGCTCATCATAACTATACACTTAGCTTCTTTGCTTTTTTAACCAGAAGAAGAAAAGAATATTTTCAAAGAAATTTTGCTTTTCACTTTATAATCAATAGAAGCCCCCCCCCCCCCCCCTTCACCAGAACCCTTAAACCTGGGGTCATAAAATTCACAATTTTGGGAAGAGGCATCCTTGTGTATCATAACAATGTACTTTAGCCTGTTTAAGCAATACCCAGGGGCAGAGAAGATTTTCAAAGAAATAATTCACCTTCACTATAGGATCTATATAGCCCCGCCCTAGCACCAGAACTCCTGTCCCCAGGGCCATGAATTTCACAATTTTGGAAGAGGCATCCTTGCTTATCATAACAATGTACTTAGTTTGTTTAAATAATACCCAAGTGCAGAGAAAAAGATTTTTAAAGAATTAAAACATTTCACTTTATAATCAATAGAGCCCCGCCCTAACACCAGAACCCCTGATCCAGGGGCCATGAATTTCACAATTTTGAAAGAGGCATCCTTGATTATCATAACTATGTATTTAATATGTTTCAATAATACCCAGGAGTAGAGAAGAAGATTTTCAAAGGATTAATTCATTTTCACTATATAATCAATAGAGCCCCGCCCTAACACCAGAACCCCTGACCCAGGGGCCATGAATTTCACAATTTTGGAAGAGGCGCTCTTGCTCATCCTAACTGTGTACTTAGTTAGTTTATTTAATAACCAGGAGCAGAGAAGAAGATTTTCAATGAATTAATGCATTTTCACTATATAATCAATAGAGCCCCGCCCTAACACCAGAACCCCTGCCCCTGGGGTCATGAATTTCACAATTTTGAAAGAGGCACTCTTACTCATTATAACTATATACTTAGTTAGTTTATTTAATACCCAGGAGCAGAGAAGAAGATTTTCAATGAATTAATGCATTTTCACTATATAATCAATAGAGCCCCACCCTAACACCAGAACCCCTGCCCCTGGGGCCATAAATTTCACAATTTTGGTAGAGGTACTCTTACTCATCATTACTATATACTTAGTTAGTTTATTTAATACCCAGGAGCAGAGAAGAAGATTTCCAAAGAACTAATGCATTTTCACTATATAATTAATAGAGCCCCGCCCTAACACCAGAACCCCTGCCCCTGGGGCCATGAATTTCACAATTTTGGAAGAGTCACTCTTACTCATCATAACTATATACTTAGTTAGTTTATTTAATACCCAGGAGCAGAGAAGAAGATTTTCAAAGAAATAATGCACTTTCACTATATGATCTATATAGCCCCGCCCTAGCACCAGAACCCCTGACCCTGGGGCCATGAATTTCACAATTTTGGTAGAGAACTCAATGCTTATCACAATGATGCCAACAGTTTGACTGCTTGATGTCCAGGAGTAAAGAAGAAGATTTTTAAAGATTGCACTAATTTTGGTGGTTTTAGCCCCACCCCTCAGGCCCCAGGGGGACAGGAACCATGAAATTCACAATTTTTGTTCCCCTTCACCCATAGATGCTATATGCCAAATTTAGTTGAAATTGGTTGAGCGGTTTCAGAGAAGAAGCTAAAAATGTTCAAATGTTAACGCACGACGACGGACAAAAACGGATAGCAATAGGTCACCTGAGTGACTCAGGTGACCTAAAAATAGAAGCGGGAGTTTGAAAGCTTTCTAAGCGTGAAGTTAACGACGATCTCCGATTTTTTTTTTTATGACATCCGAAATCAATAAGACATTCAGTATAATAAAATAAATAGTGCACGTTTTTGAGGGTAACAGTTGAAATTGACACCCCTCGGAAAACCATTGTCAACCTCCGCTGACGCGTCGGTTGACAATGGTTTTCCTTGGGGTGTCAATTTCAACTGTTACCCTCAAAAACGTGCACTACTTATATAATATAAATATATATATATATATATATATATATATATATATATATATATATATATATATATATATATATATATATATATATATATATATATATATATATATATATATATACAGCTACACATGCACATTCAGTGATATACATGTACAAGTAAATAATGATTTGCAAAAATTTCAAGAATTTTTATTTTTGTCTAAGATTTAGCTTGAAGCATAGATAAATCTAATGCACATTTATTGCATTTCAAAGCAAATAATTTTAAAGTGCCAGAATGTGCAGAGGACTAGTTGTACCTTCCATGCACTTTAATGGGAAAACAAATACATACAGCCATGGACATCCTCCTGTTGACCTTGTTCCTCCCCATTTGTGGCAGCAGCTGAAGGGGCGGGTTGGGGAGGAGGCATACCCATCCCCCCTAGAAGGTCACCAAATGCATCCCCCTTTGAAGGAGCTAAATTCAAAAAGGCAACATGCAAACAATTAAATATACATGTACAATAATTTCCATTCCATTGATATCAAATTTTTTAAAAAAAGTACAAAATAACATAACATTTCTGTAAGTAAAAATTTCACTGTCAAAGCTATATGCAATAAAAAAATATACAATGATAAAAATTTCATTACAGTGGCCATAATAAGATGCAGCAAATGCTAATGTTGAAATTCAAAATAAAAAAAAACACAAAACAGAGGAAATATTGGTTGTAATTCAAATTTTGGAAAAATTTAAACATCATTCCCAACAAGCTTTTTAAATAATATACATATACATTCAACATCAATCCTCTTATCAAAACAGTAATACAAGTATGTGTTTGGGAATCCTAATATCCCCGTGTAATATATACCTATGGTTGTTTTTCCAATTTGATCTAAAGGTATACAATTGATATTTACCTTGGACATATTCTCTAACTCTAATCTAGTTGAACAGTTATCCAAGGTTAATGTAGTGGGCAGATATATAGATATATATATAAATATAAATCATAATCTGTCCCCAACTTTTAAAGGCATTACAAGATTAATGAATTTGATATATGCAGATGTACTATATGCTGGAAATATATTGTACATGTACATGTATGTGTATTCATTGTAATATTAATAATTTTTCACCAACTAAACTTGAAATCATCTAAATTGCATTTTAATAAGTGTATCAAATCAATTTTTCTTAAGTAATTATTTATATAGTTATACTCTCTGTATCAATCTATGCATATTTCGTAATATTTCAAACAATATATATATTGTTGATATATGCATAACAAGTAGATGCATAAAGAGTGTATTATACATTGTACATGTAAATCCTTAAAAACTTTAAGTAGATCCAGGCATAAACTTACCCCAATATGTATATAATTCTAAAATGCAAACAAACTAAGAAAATACTCAGCTGCATCTTATTGTTATGCCCCTCTGATAGAGCATGGCAAATAGTCCTCAAAACACAAAACAAGAGGCCCATGGGCCACATCGCTCACCTGAGTAACTTTGGCCATGCTGTTCTTTACCAGATTCCCCCCCCCCCCCCCCCTTGTAATACCTATTGTGGCCCTGCCCTACCCCGGGGGGTCCTGTTTGAACAATTTAGAATCTACACTACCCAAGGAAGCTTCTACATAAGTTTCAGTTTTTCTGGCCCGGTGGTTTTTGAGAAGAAGATTTTTAAAGATTTTTCCTATATATTTCAATGTAAAACTTGGATTCCCTATTGTGGCCCCGCCCTACCCCCGGGAGTCATGATTTTAACAATTTAGAATCTACACTACCCTAGGATGCTTCCACATAAGTTTCAGCTTTTCTGGCCCAGTTTTTCTTGAGAAGAAGATTTTTAAAGATTTTTCCTATATTTCAATGAAAAACTTGGATTCCCTATTGTGGCTCCGCCCTACCCCCTGGGTCATGATTTTAACAATTTAGAATCTACACTACCCCAGGATGTTTCCACATAAGTTTCAGCTTTTCTGGCCCAGTGGTTCTTGAGAAGAAGATTTTTAAAGATTTTTCCTATATATTTCAATGTAAAACTTGGATTCCCTATTGTGGCCCCGCCCTACCCCCGGGGGTCATGATTTTAACAATTTAGAATCTACACTACCCTAGGATGCTTCCACATAAGTTTCAACTTTTCTGGCCCAGTGGTTCTTGAGAAGAAGATTTTTAAAGATTTTTCCTATATATTTCAATGTAAAACTTGGATTCCCTACTGTGGCCCCGCCCTACCCCCGGGGGTCATGATTTTAACAATTTAGAATCTACACTACCCTAGGATGCTTGCACATAAGTTTCAGCTTTTCTGGCCCAGTGGTTCTTGAGAAGAAGATTTTTAAAGATTTTTCCTATATATTTCAATGTAAAACTTTGATTCCCTATTGTGGCCCCGCCCTACCCCCGGGGGTCATGATTTGAACAATTTAGAATCTACACTACCCCAGGATCTTTCCATGTAAGTTTCAGCTTTTCTGGCCCAGTGGTTCTTGAGAAGAAGATTTTTAAAGATTTTTCCTATATATTTCAATGTAAAACTTGGATTCCCTACTGTGGCCCCGCCCTACCCCCGGGGGTCATGATTTTAACAATTTAGAATCTACACTACCCTAGGATGCTTGCACATAAGTTTCAGCTTTTCTGGCCCAGTGGTTCTTGAGAAGAAGATTTTTAAAGATTTTTCCTATATATTTCAATGTAAAACTTTGATTCCCTATTGTGGCCCCGCCCTACCCCCGGGGGTCATGATTTGAACAATTTAGAATCTACACTATCCCAGGATCTTTCCATGTAAGTTTCAGCTTTTCTGGCCCAGTGGTTCTTGAGAAGAAGATTTTTTAATGACCCCACCCTATTTTTGTCTTTTCTTGATTATCTCCCCTTGTAAGGGGACTTGGCCCTTTATTTTAACAATTTAAACTCCCCTTCACCCAGGGATACTTTGTACCAAGTTTGGTTAAAATTGGCCCAGTGGTTCTTGAGAAGAAGTTGAAAATGTGAAAAGTTTACAGACGGACGGACGGACGACGGACAACGGGTGATCAGAAAAGCTCACTTGAGCTTTCAGCTCAGGTAAGCTAAAAAAACCTGAGTAAAACATATCTCTGGTACCTTGTGATGTAGGAGGGGCTGAGGCACTAAAACTTCCAGACCGAGCTTTACCAGGAACAAGTTCAGGGGGGAGTACTGCTGGTAGTGGAATCCCTGTTTTGGCCAAGTCAGCGAGGTGCATGGCAACACAGAACTCATCACATGTCAATTTACCATCCTTATCATAATCAGCCAATGTCCTATAATACAGGGTATTATACTGGATTGTATTTATTTACTTACAATATGTAATTTAATATAAAAGGTGAATTATGCCTTTTTTCCCAGTGTATGATGTAACTTATGTCAATGAAGGAAAAAAATACTGCAATATACATATACACTGTATTATGGTAAACTACCATACTAAAATACTAATGCATAGTACATGTACACTGATATTTTGGTATCTTTGTACCTCCATTAAATAACTAATTCCAAGTACATATAGATATATTTGATGTAGACAATAGATGTTTATCATAATTTGAAGTATTTAAGTGATACATGTATAAATTATATCACATAAGATCTTTTACAGAGTTTAAATACATGTATATATATAATAGAAATGTATATAAACTAGGGATGTCATCGAGTACCCGGTTAACCGAGTATCGAATACTAAAATCGCTATTCGGTTACTCGGATGTATATTTTTTTTAATACTTCAAAGAACAAAGTATATATTTTTTTTTATCAAAAACTATCAAAAAATGCAACTTCAAAAATGAATTGTCTATGTTTACCTTGTAATTAGCGTCACCTGTTAATACCCATTATTGTCTGTGGCTGTGTACTTGTTTTTACAGTAATTACCTGACCAATCACCTGGTACACAGCTGTTATCACCTCTTGTGATCCGTTATTTTTTGGATGGCTTTAATGATAAGTATTTCATGAACATCGTTTAATTAGGGTTTATTATCCTAAAATAATTTAGTTCCCATACAGTAGCGAATTCGGGCATACAAAGAAATGCCACTATCACTTCAAAGGCGAAAAAAAAAAACGTTAGAAAAGAACTAAGGATTTAAAAAAAATGTTTAAAATTAGCTGTGCAAAGTAAACCTAGGGTATACGGGGAAAACAACCAAAATACATGTATTAATTAAATAATATATGTCTAGTGATCTCGACACCGTCTCTTTCTTTAAAAACAATTTCTTGCGCTTGTCTAATCATTGCAAAGCTGCGTTACAGATTGTCTTCCTCTTGCGTGGATCAAATTGTCTTCCTAAACAAGAACTACATATATAAACCATTTCTAATTATTGATGTATTAATTGTTGTCTTTTGTGTTTATTTGATAAATAAATTTAGTGCAAAAAAATCATTTTCAACTTGCTCGATGTTTGTGTACAGGCATAGAAACCGTTAAAAAAAATCATCGATGGGGTTAAACAGGGCTTAACTGGTCTCAATAAAATTAACACATTTGTATTTTACAATTTTACGGAGTACCCTTGTACTCGATCGAAAAATCGTCCGAGTAACCTATTATCAAATATTGACCGATTTGACATCCCTAATATAAACATATTTAAATGTCTTTAAAAAATGCTGATGTTACATGTGAATTTTGTGAACTTTTCTTACCAGATCTGAGCCAAAATTTGTTGTGGTAGACCAGTCTGAACCAGCAGTGATCTTGCTTCAACACCTGAAACAGTGCAGTACATGTCTGTATCATTATTTATGAATTATGATCTTATCAAATATAACTGTAAATCACTGCACCAAATAGAACAATGAATCTTTGCTCATGGAAATGATAGATATGAGCTGCTTCCATTCAGAAACTCCAGGGTTAAAGGTTAAAGGGTCTTACCTGTTAGATGACCTCGTTTGTGTCTATCATTAGAATTGAACATCTGTGTATACTTCAGTTTGCTGGGATGAGGCATTGCCATATTCCTACAAATTCAAATTCAGCATTTTCAATCTTGTACCAAAGCAACAATCTTTTAATTACAATAATTGCATTTACTTCTCTTTTACATGGTTTTCTTTTCATGGATCAAACAAAAAAAAATCTATTTAGAAACACCTTATGTTGTTTCTGATGGATTGAAAATGAAAGTGAAAATACAAACCCTGCTGCAGCAGGAGCTGGTACTGGCCCTGGTTGTATAAAAGAACCAGTTCTTGGTTTGTTGCCCATCATTGCAGCAGGAGGTCCCATGGAAACTGCAGGTGCTCCCATGGAAACTGCAGGTGCTCCCATGGAAACTGCAGGTGCTCCCATGACTGTTGGTACTCCTAAAAGACAAAATCAGCTGTATTCACCACAAAATGTTCTTTTAAATGGCATACATAGCCCATAAAAGTTTTGTTGTCTAGCTCTGTAAACAATCTGTTAGCAGAAAAAACATTTTCATGAAAACATACTTAAATGTACATCATCACAAGTTACTTTGCACATTGTACATGACATACTGCAACACTCACCCATCATTCCTTGTTGACCCATCATGGGGACACCATTAGTCATGATTGGCATCCCCATACTGCTGGGTGCTACTGCTGTCGGAGCCATTCCCATCACTGGCATTCCTAAAAATAGCATTTTTTTCATCTTACTCATGGTATTGATGGTGCAAGTTAACCAAACTACACAACACTCCAGATATCTCAACATTTTTTTTATCATAATAGTCCTAATGATCTTGAGATACTAAAGTTTACCTGTAATTCAGAGCTTACCCATTCCCATTGGAGGTGGTCCTGCTGTGGACATTGTACCAAATGACCCCATAGCTGGTGAAGGGTCTGCTTTTAGTGAGGGTGGGAGTGTTTTGGGGAGCTCAAATCCTTGCAACTTCTTCTTTATCAAATGCATTGCTATTGAAAACTCCTTTTTGTCCATTTTTCCATCATTGTTCATATCAGCAAGTTGCCTAGAAAGACAGACATTGCAGGTGTTGAAAAAAATGAACATTTCAAGTGAAAAAAAAATTGTCATCTGTCATGAACTTTGCAAAATGTTTATGCCTAAAATATAGTTACTATTTCTATGTACCGGTATATTTTTTTCAATATACATGTATCAACTGGTACAAATTTAATATATCAAAGTTTCAAAGTATTTGATCATATGTACCATTGAAACATGTATTAAGTTTTTTATTTAAAAAAATGATCAAATTCTGTCCAAAACAAATGTATTGGTACTGCATGAAAGCATTTAAAATTAATAATGTTTATCTATAATAAAGTGAGTATTTCAATATGGATATTTTTATTAGCCACATTGCAAAGCATAAGTGTTCAATGAATCAGAAATGTCAGCAACAGTCTTCTTGCATCATCAATATATTAATTAACCTGGCCTGTTTAGTTTTTTTTTATAAATATGTTAATACCTTAACTTCACAGTTAAGTTAGATTAATAAAAGAAAATAAATGTGACTTTACTTTCTCACAAGTGACGATGGTTATTGCTTTGTTTATCTACAGTTACACATATACGATAAATTCTGTACAGTCATCCATCAATTTAGACTTCGAAGAAATCTTTCATTAAATTAAGTCTTCCTTCATTAAATTAGGTCTTCAAAGTCTGTACTATCGAGTTCTCTTACCATATTTGTCCTAAAACAGCCATTGGCAAGCCTGACTGAAGGAAGAACCCTCTAGCCTGTTCCCCTGTAAAAATCAATACAGTCTCTCTTATACAGAAACAAACAAAATCAATGGTGTCTAGCATATATATTTTTTCTCTTCAAAAACTTGCTATCAATTGCTTTCAACTTGTTGTAACTAGTGTCCTGGATATAATGAATGTGTTTCAAGAAAGTCTAGATAGAACATACAGATAGCAATGAACTTCCTTGTACTAAAAAAAAAAAAAGACAACTGATACTGAAAAAAATTACATTCTTTATATTATAGTATAAATAATCCCTTTATTTTCATTTTTTGATAACAATCATGTCTGTGTAGAAAATGTAAAGCTTTGTACACTGTAAAATATGAGGTGTTCCAGACATAACTAACCTGTGACAAAGCCATTGATTGGTTTGAGTTGGAAGAACTGGGAATCATGCTTGGCACGATCTTCTCCTGTTATTTTCCAAGCCGCTGCCCCTGAAACCAAAACAGACATTTCAAAATAAAAGCCATCACAGAGAGAATAGCCAATATTTGTATGTCCACTCTTCAGTTTCATTGCCATGGGAGCAAAAAATAGAGCCATTGATATCTGGTTGCTTTACTGTTACTGTATGATTATGATGATATTTACACAAACACAGAAATGTAGATTTCTTTTATTAATAGACAATTCAGCAAAAGAAAAAAAGTGGGTTTAAGATAAATATAAATAATCTTAAATCCCTCTTTCATTTCTAATTTAGCTAAAAGAGAAAAAAAAATTTAGATTCTTTCATGATCACAGTGATGATGTATTACAAAAAAGACCTGGTTTCAGGTCTTGTTTTAAGCAATCAATAACTTTTTAAAGAAAATTAGAAAATAAACATGATAAAGATTATCAAGAGCACACAGAATTACCTACCATTTCCTAAGGTAGTTATTCCTTTTAAAGTGTGTATGCATCTGCTTATTAATAATATATTTTATGTTTATCAACATGATCATTAGAAAACATGACTTGTTCAATAATTGGGGAGGGGGATAAATTTGTACTAGGTCCTTTTACTCAACCTGTATGCAGCAGATAATAATAAGTCCTACTGAATGAAGTAATGATGTTATAAAATTGTTATATTTCTCATAAAGAGTAACTAACATTCACATTTTACAGCTACTGTACCAAATAGGCAAATACATTCATATTTGGAATATAATTAATGACATAATGAAAAAATTGAAATTTTATAACATAATGCACATACATAAAAATCACTAACACAGTCAAGGGCTTGATTCTTATAACTCTGACTTTCCTTTTTTTAGCTCCTTGAATTCCTCAAGAAGATTCTTCATAATGTACATGTTTTCTTTTTGAAAGAGATTTGGTATGTTAAAGCAAGGTGTTGGAAACTGCATGTTTCTCTTGGGAAAATCAACAAATTTTGGTGGGAATGAATGGATAAAAAAAACTTACCGGCTGCTGCTGCCATCTTGTATTCCTATCCTTTTGGTGTCTTTATCTCCTGACAATCTTTAAAATAAAGATTAAGATTTTATAACATATTCAATTTGGCACTGAAACTATTAATGCAATGTGGCTCATTTCTTATGTATGATATCATTTAAGTATAAAGCTTGATACCCTCAGACTGGCTCCAAGTCACCATTTCTTCTCGAAATTCAATTTGAATTTAAAAAAAAGAGAAAATAAATCTTGGTTGCCAAATGATGATCTAAAAGTTACTTTAAAAAACTCTCTTTCAAGAACTTATTGCAAATTTTGCAATATATACTATAACTAAAAATATTTTTAAACTCTAAAAAACAGTTGAATATTGAAAATATTATTCAGTATTTTGTTTGAAGTCATTTTTACTATTGATAAATTGACTTTAGATCTGCAACTTTCTGTTTTATACTTGATTTCCCACTTGATTGCCCAAATAATGAAGAGTGTTGAGCACTGAAAATGACTGTATTAAATGTTATGAATAAAAATAATGTGTTATCTAAGCTTGCAAAGTTACTTCAATGCTATAGGTGATGTAATTCACAAAAATTTCAAATAAACTGGAGGGATTCTGACTTCACTCTCCTGATAGTAGATGTTGTGATAAAAAATTGAATACTGTTGAAAATCAAATATATATATTCAAGATAACACTTTAAAAATCTTTCAATAAATAGAAGACATGAAGTATAAAGATTAAAGTTCTTTAAGATCTAAATAATGCTATTTATCAGAAAAATTGAAAAGAAAAAGAAAATATTTTTAATTAGTTACAAGATTCCAGACTGTTTTTTAAGTCTGCTGTTTTCCATGTAAATGGCACATTTGTTAATATGAAGAAAAAAAAAACTATGACATTAACAGTGCCGAGTGCACACCATGGCATCAGTGATTTGAGGAAAATTTTTATGGATTTTATTCGGGTATCGACTGTTATTAAAATAGACGTTTGTCATTTAAGTGATATAATAAACATTTATTCTGCTAACTCAAAATCTTGCTTGAAAGAAGATACTCTTTCTGATCTACAAAAGCTGCTACATTAAACTCCAAACCAAAAATTCAATAGGTTTAATTATGGGCTAAAGGAGCTGTCTGCAGTGCTGTGACCGGAATATGCCAATAACGATTACTTACCATCTCGGTGCAGTCATTAATCCTCGCCGTTACTGCATATCATTAGATTATCATTTGTTACTGTTGAAAAATGAGAAATAAACCGATATTAACTTCAAAAATATTAAAAATCCGAGTAAAAACACATCAAAGTACACCCAAGAACAACCGGAACTTGAAACGCCTTATGGGAAAAGTAGGCGTTAGATCAACTTCCGGTTTACATTCTAGTTTCACTTTACACACATGTCAAATGGATAACTGAGTGGTGTTAAATTGTAACTGCAGAGCGGAGAGGATGAAAACTCTGATCTTGGACGTTCAAAACGAACAGAATCCGAAATTCGTTTTAGAAATTAATGTAACTATTTTTGCTGATCTTTAACATGTTTAATGATAATCATAACAGCTGCATAAAGCAAAATCATTCAACAACTGTAGAAAACGTATAATGACTTGTATATATCTAATTTCTCCAAATATTCTTTTAGGTTATCACTAAATTTTTCTACTTTGTTTATATGCTCTTCATGTTAGCTGCAGAACTGCAGCGTTATGGTTTTATATATATTATATATATATAATATATATATATATATATTAGTTTTTGACTTTCAGCAGCTACTCTCCATGTATACACTACAGTGAACCTACATATCTGATTGTTTTACAGGAAGCCGACCCTATCCCAGATAAATATGATATTGTTGTCCAGGTGAAGGCATGCGCATTATCATCGCCCAATTTCAAGGTAATCAATTGACTGAGGTAGCCAGACATGATCATTTGAATTGATTAAGTAGCCAAGTTTAAACCATCTTTCTAGAGTTCAGGGAACCTAAGTTCAAATTTTGGTCTGATGGTAGGACACCTTATTAATAGTTTTAGAGTAATAATGGGCTTAATTTATAGTTGGGTGATTGCAGTTCTTCTTTCCCTGTCTTTCTTTACACCATGACATACAAAAACTAATGTCACTTGCATAGAAACTTTCCAGAACAGTGAAGGTTTGATGTTGTCAGATGTCAAGCATTAGAAGAGGAGGAATGTGGTAGACTGGTAGCTTAATTAGCAGTGAGCAGTAAGAATCTCAGTAGGTAGGAATGTGGTAGATAGGTAGCTTAATTAGCAGTGAGCAGTAAGAATCTCAGTAGGTAGTGGAGGAATGTGGTAGATAGGTAGCTTAATTAGCAGTGAGCAGTAAGAATCTCAGTGGGTAGTGGAGGAATGTGGTAGATAGGTAGCTTAATTAGCAGTGAGCAGTAAGAATCTCAGTAGGTAGAAATGTGATAGATAGGTAGCTTAATTAGCAGTGAGCAGTAAGAATCTCAGTAGGTAGGAATGTGGTAGATAGGTAGCTAAGCCAATGCATGTAGTAATTCAATATGTGGGGGTAAGGTATCTTAATCTCTGACTCCTGTTATAGAGAATCAGGTGGCCATGTTCATATCTTGTCCTTCACATACTCTCCTAGGAATGAATAGGAATTATAAGTCTCCCAAAGTCTAACCACAAGGAGATGTTACAAGTACAACAACTGTGATGTATGGTCATCTTAACAAACTCACAGTGAAATTCAGGATTGAATCTGAATCTTTAATGATAAAAAGTTACTGAATTCAATTTTGATATACATGTATTTTCCAATAGAATGTATGGAGATTACCCAGGCATTTACAGACACTCTTTGGCCCACACTGTAAATGGGCAGGGACTATTTTTGCATTTGTGATGTCACAATTATTTTCCCATCTCTTAATGACATCACATACATGTATATGGCATTTGTTGTCACAAATGTCTGTTTGAATTAGCAGTTACAAATGTTGTAAGGATATTATTGACCAGAAATGCAGAGGAATTCCATTCATTTGAGTTGGAAAAAAATGTATTTGCATTAAAATATGTAATGAAAGGTTATTGACTGAATATCTGTCTTGCAAGCTAGGTCTGCTTTATCATGCAAAGACCTTGCACAGGCATATTTCCCTATATTCAGTCAATGACCTATAGTTAGGGTCAAATACATGTATGACTTTTTTGGGGTAATTTGAATAACAAATCTTTCTGCTGTTGGTAGGTTCTTTCAGATGTCTATAAAAAGTATCCTCGCAGCCGCTACATTGTGGGATATGAGGTGGCTGGTATCGTCACTCAGAAGGGAACTGGTGTCAGTAATGTAACTATTGGAGATTCAGTTGTTGGTTAGTCATCCTTTATTTACACATATCAAAATACACCTTAGTCTAGAAAATAAGTAATTTCTTAGTGCATCCTTTTTCAACAATTTACATGCAGTTTCAGACTCAGAGTTGTGAGTAAAAAAAAAAAGTATATATAATTATATATTTATATACAGATGCATGTGAAATAATAAACTTTTTAGTATTTCGTTCAGATTTAACTATGATTATGATGATTCAAATATCTTCTGAGATTTCTATTTTTATATGCAGGTATTGTTTCCTTAGGAAGTCATCATTCAGGATGTGGGGAGTATTGTTTGTTATCAGAGTATGACGTTGGTAAGCATTTCTCAGGTGAACATGTACAACACATAATGTTAGTGCATTCATAGTTTATAGCCTTTTGGTAAATCCATTGTTTGCCTGTTCATAAATACTGCCAAAATATGATTTTATATAAATATTATAGATAGAAATACTGAAAGAGATAATTTATAATTAAGTCAAGTCTATGATTGCACTAAATTTCAAAATATGCAAAAATAAGTATGCATACCAGGCACGGATCCAGGAATTGCAAAAAGTAGGCAGGTGGTCTGGGGGCTGCACTGAGGCCCTCTTTGGGCCCAGATGCACCTCCCCTTAAATCCGCAACTGCATACAGTAACAAATTGAATCTACAGGAGGCCTAATCTTTATGCATTTTTTTCACTCAGCTTGCTATATGAAATAATCTTACTTCAGATTCAAAAAGTAGAATTTAAAGATGCCATAATTAATTGAGACTTAAGTTAAGCTGAATATTTGAATTGTTTTGTCACAACTAGAACATAAAAGATAAGCAGGATAGTATTGAGTGTTAAAAACTACTGGACTGACAGAGGTTATGTACTGATGAACTTCAGTTTCTAGAACACCAGTATCAATGATTATGGATATGTTAAAGTGAGCTGGAAGTCCCAACTACTTCTTTATGTATTTTAGCCTCAATATCTTGAATCCTTGGATATCTTGATGTTTTTTCTTGGTTCCCTTGAGTTTGATATTACAAGGTTTAACTGTGTGTCATTGATTTCAGTGAAGAAGCCAGACCGCCTGAGCTATGAGGAGGCAGTAGCAGGCATTGGAGATTGCCTGAAGGCATTCACTGCCTTATACTACCAGGCCCATGTCTGTAGTGGAGACACAGTACTCATCATAGATGGGGCCTCGTCATTTGGAAATGTTGCCATACAGTTAGCTAGTCAATGGGGAGCAAAGGTGGTCAACTGTGAGGGATAAAGTATTACAATGCATGAGTGTACTAGTATTACAAAGTACAAAAATCATAATCTTAATTGAAATATTCACATATTAAACATTTACATGTACTAGAATATATTTTGAAAATCAAAAGCAAGATTTACAGTTTCTGGATCTTGGTTTCAGGTGATATCTACTGCCAGTAGTAATGAGGAGAGAGGCATCCTGGAAAATCTGGACACTCCAATAGGTACAGCTAGTTAAATTGATACAAGTACTTGTAGTGTGCATGTTAATTTTTACAGACACATGCATTAAATTAAAAGTATAGGTAGTTCATTTTTTTTAAACATATAATCAGTTTATATAAAATTATACTACTTCTGCTGGAAAAAGGTTGCCTGTATATGTATCTTGAATTTACATGTATATAAGTATATTTCAGGTCTTTTATTTCATTTTTAAAATATATTATTTACAGTAAATTTTGAAAGCTTAAATCTTTTTATGACTATGAAAATCTTTGGGATAGACCTTAAAAGTGAAGGCTATTTTCACTGTGCCTACATATTTCACAAAAGTAATGCAGAGAGGTTGCTTTGTACATGTTAGGAAATAATTGAGCTACTGTATATGGCTGAATATAATATGCACTTTTTTCCCAAAATAATTTTCTGTGAGAAAGGGGTGCGTATTTTACACCACAATGGGATTTTGATACGTTTTTTCTTTCATGTGAAACACGGCTATCATACGCACATACCGTAATATTACCTAGAGACTTGTGCAATTTCTTGCTGTTTATTGCCGTATTTAAAACTTCGGAAAGTTATTGTTGGAATGTAGACTTGTTAAAAATGTTATATTTATAACCTTTTGATAGTTAAATTAAAAGCAAGTTAAAATTAATTTGAGCTGCATGTTCATCGTCTCCGTGTAGGCCGACATTAACGATGTTATAGATGTTCACACATTCCTTTGCCACGTGCTTCCGTAATCATAGTACACATGTACCTAATCAGTCAGACACTCGGTCAAAAAAGTAATAAGTCATTTTTTAATGAAATACAATAAAATAAAATTTTATTTTAGGTTTTAAATAACTCAGTGAAAATTCATTTCAACATAAACACCCCTCTATACGTCCTAATGAATGGAAGCCAATGTTGTGAACATGTGTGCTTGTCACTTGATAATTATTACCCCTCAACACCCCTCCAGGCAATTCAATTGTTTACCGACTCCAAAGCATTGTTTTTACAGTTAGAGCACTGATTATTTACTGCCCTTATTAATGGCTTTGATTATTATCTTTGTTAAAAATCGGGGGTTGGTTAATGATCTTTCGTATGTATAAGTGTGTGTTGATTACGACACATTAAACAGTTAAACGCTTGTTTAATGTAATTTTACTTTATCTTATATCGGCCTCGAGTTAAAATGGTTGAGAGTTAAAACAGGAAATATGAAGCATGTTGAAACTTAAGTTTATCATTTACTCGTGCTCTGTAGAAAATAAGATATCCACGAAGATTACCTCGATGTATGAAGACATATATCCCAACTTTGTACATCATTTTTCACAGCTTTGGAGGTGTGTTGATCACTACACTTTATACGCTTGTTAAATTTTGATTTTATTTTTATAACATCAGCTATTTATTTGAATAATTAATTTCAAGTTCAAAAGAAGAAAATCGTAGTCTATGAATATTTTGATGTTGCAATATCGCTTGCCCTGTTAAAATTACATAATTTTCAACATGATTACCTTAAACTAAAAATAAATATGACAACTGTTAAACTTGCAACAATATCTCGTGCGTTGTTGAAATAAAATTATTTCCACAAAGAATAGTTAGAATACGGCGATGTATAATTTCAATATCACCGTTTGCTAAAAAAAAAATTAATAATAAACTCTGTTAATACTTTAATGCAACATTATCTCGTGCTTTGTTAAAATAAATAATATCCTCCAGATTGCCGCGATATGGAAAGTCAAGATTAAAAAATAAAAACGTATTTGAATAAAATATCATGTTCTGTAAATTTTCTGCTCTTTATCTCCGTGCCGATTTTCATAGCAAATTACCGCGATTTTCAAAAGTTCAGAACACCGCTTGGTAAAATTTTCTGCTGCGTATAATACAACCGAACTGCGTTTTTTCCCCCAGTTTCAGGCTCAAAAAGGGGGTGCGTATTTTACACCAATGCGTATTATATTCGGCCAAATACGGTAGTACATGTAGTTCCTCCTCATAACATAATATACTCAACAATTTCCATATCTGTAGTACCATGTTTTAAACAATTATTGATAAATCATGATGCCCATATATAACATTTACATTTTTTGATTGCTTAATTATTTTTCTAATTTTAAATCTTGTTTATCAGCTCAGATAATTGACCTTGACCAAAGAAGTAACATCCTGGTCAGCAGTGTGATGGAGGAGACGGGGGGTGTGGGGGTGGATGTTGTCATTGACAATGGAGGTATACACAAAAATTATAATGAGACATATCTCATTCACATGTAACTGATAGAGATAGACAAAAAGGAGGTTCTAAGTTCTTGAATCTCATGTGCTGTCATGTTTTTATTTTAGTGCGACAATTCAATGATGAAGAAGATCAAAAAATAGTGGGAGAAAATTTAAAATATCCCAAACCACATAAACATGATGTCATTTCCTGTCTAGGTGCCTCTGGGAAATGGATCACACAGCAGCCAGGCCTCCAGGTACAGAATACATGTTAAAACATACAACATTTGATTTATGTATTATATCGAAATTCAATTATAAAATATTATGAATAAATGTCCTTCTTTCTAAATACAGATGCTCTATAGTATCACACTTAATTTGCATATGCCAAGCATTGCATGGTAATCAAAGTTTACTAAGCTACATTTTTATTGATGAATGTTATCTAAAAGTGAAGACGAAGTCTCACACTAAATGAATGATCAGGTAATTAACACACATCCTTGATGCACATGAGTGCAAGTTTGGTTTTGGTAAGATTTATAGTCTCGGGAGAATAGACTTGCTTAATTTCTTTGTTTCAATCACCTGGAAAATGTAGGTAAGATCATCCAGGTAGGTCAGATGCTGCAAGTAAAGAATGTCTGGTAAAAATGCATCCTTATAGACGCATCATCCATGCAAGTTTGGTCCAAGTAGGCTTTTTAGTTACTTGGAAATAGACCAGTTTCAAAAACCTGAATTTGATCTCTTTTTGGGAAAATGTAGGTAAGATCCAGTATCTGAAGCATGCCTGATAGTGTGCATCATTAGGGCTTTTAGTTACTTGGAAATGGACTTCCTCCTAAAACTTATAACCAGAACACCAAGCTGATGTTTTGGGGGTTTAGCAAAAAACTCATTTTGACTTCGTCAAGGTGATCTAAAAATGAAAGCATTCTTAGAAATATGGTGGCAGATGTAGTTCTTTTTATAAATATAGTGGAAGATGCAACATTTAAAATGCTTTAACATTTATTTTACCAGTACATATAATTTCAGTTACTTTGATATACCGGTATTGAATGCAAACTATATGATTGTCATGGAGACATTTACCACATTTATATTACATCTTTCTGATCAGCAAACATGTACAACCATGTAAATCATTTTCCTTGTATGTTCTTTCTGATTCATAATAAATACATGTATCATTTCTTTTGTTTCCTGAAGTTGGATCCACCTGATTGCCAGCGATTATTTCTCCGAGGAGGGAGTGTTCACTTCCTGTTTGAGAATATATGGACATTAGCATACTCACAACATGGCCGATTTCAGCGTTAGTATAACCAATGTCAGGGTATATTTCATGTCAAATCTCATTTGTACTTCTCCTTACTAGGGCTTTAAAATAAAATAAACATTTACCTTATGTCTAGTATTCATACTTGAGAATTCAGATCTGATTTTACAACATAGTATACAGAGAGATTTTATTTGTATAGACACACATGCACTAGGTTTCAAGAAACAATGGTGTATTGTTGATTTTTTGCCAATTTAATTAAAATAAAATCCTCATCTACATGTATGATCGTTAAACAAAGTAATTTAAATTAGATTGATTCCTTCTGAAATTATTTTAATGCTCTGTAAAATGCAGCAGCTGTCTCCCTTTGATCTAAATTCTTTGCTATCATCTTAATTATTCAACAGTCAGAAGTATTTACTGATGTATCAAAATATGTTTTGTAGACATTCTCCAGGATGCAGTGGAAAAACTTGAAAGGGGGGTTGTCAAGTAAGTATACTGAAAAATAACCTGATTAAAATCCAGTGTTTCTGACATCAACATGCACCCCCCCCCCCTCTCCCTCCCTTTTTAAAAAGTGTGACATATCTTTTTATTACTTTGGTTACAACTTTAAGATCTGCATTAGGTTTAAACTTCATAGCTGTCAAGACTTCACAAAAAAGTATTTAATAATTAGATAGATTTACAAATCTGACATTGTATGAGGTTATAAGTATCTTGTTGTTTTGTGTACTTAATGTGTCAAACATGGACTGTTTGAGACAATTACCAGTACCAAGCATAATTTTTATGGTATATCTGGCTTCTATTTTCGATTTTTATTTTTGCATTCTATCTGAGGTATAAAATGAAGTCCTACATGGACCACCTTTGCTGGAATGATGCATCAAGGAATACATGTACTAGATTTAAGAGACTAGGTTTCTACCCAGACCAACCTGTATTATCAGTTGGACAAGCGATTACCGATTTTTTTTCTTTAGCAAATCCAGTCTCAGTTAACTACTAGTCCCAGCAATACCACACTTGCATGGATGATGCATTAAGGGATATGTCTACTACTGGTTTTGATGCTGAATTTGGCTTTGTAGTATTTTTTATGTATGAGTGTCCAGGTTCAGCATATATGGACTATATTGTTTAGAAGAGTAGCCAGTGAATGTTTTTTGGAGCAATCCCATTCTCAAGTATGCACATCTATAAATCTTAACAAGACTAAACTTGCATGAGTGATGTGTTTAAAGATGCATGCCAACAATATATTACTTCAGATCTGATCTTAAATGACCTTTTCTCAGTAAAGCTGTAAGCCCAACCTGGATCAAGCTTGCATAACTCCTTTGTGTGAATAATAAAAATAATGCTTGCATACTTCCTTGCATATGTAACTCCTGATTTAGATGATATGTACATGTATTTATAGATGTGTAACTGAAGCCATTAGTAAATTTAGATTTAGGTATCATTAAAACATTCAAGTTCAATATCAATGATTTTTATAGGTGCAAGATATCAAAAACAATCACCCTTGACAGCGCAGTTGATACCATGAAGAATCTACAAGACATTCGCACAGGAAAACTTGTTGTGAAAATATAACCTACCACCTGTGAGGAGACATTCACACAGGAAAAGTTGTAAAATTTAATCTACCATGTGCAAAGACATTGGCACAGGAAAAGTTGTTGTAAACATTTAATTTAACACTTGGGGAAAAAAAAATTATCTCTTTATAGGTAACAAGGAATCTGTATCTCTTATGCAAGTGCCCTAAAGACCTTGTCTGTCAACTTGTAAAATGCAATGATTCAAGAAAAAATAAACCTGGTTAAACAAAACCATTTACCAACTTTAGTCTCAGTATTGAAAGTCAAGATTACTTTCAACATTTAACATGTTCTCATTGACCCAATAAACAGGTAGAAAATTGACATATTCTTAGCTGGATTAGCTTGATGAAAATTCAAGATGAGAATATTCATAAGAGCATTAGAGTCTCTGTACATCTTTGTCATTTCTCCAATAATATACAATGCTTGTCATCATTTTTTTTTTAATGTGAATTAATGTATTCCAGTTTGAGTATGAATAATAAACAATAGAAAACCTTGTGTCTTTCAGTTTTATTAACTTCACAATACAGGATCTGAGGTAATAAAAAAGGAGTGAAACAGTTAACAGGTATAGAACAAGAACAATGAATATTTACACCTAAGTCACTGACGTTTAGAAGCTGCACATGTGCATGGGCTGCTATCAAGTACACCAAAAAGAGTGCAACTTATTTTAAAAAGGGGACATAACTCAAAGCATAAAAATAACACTGAAAATATTGGCATTTTGACTGGTATACCAACCTGTCCCTGTCTTGGGTTTATTGATTTAATGTATTTTTATCCAACATTTTGCATAGCATAACTTCATAACACGTTTATATAAACAGAACAAACTGAGGCCTCTTTAAACATCTCTTAGGCCACTGCAAAAACAAAAGGGTAATCAATTCTCTGCTATAAAAATACAAATGTAAGGAGAAAATGTAAAACTACACCACCACATCTCCAAAGGCATGTCTACAACAACCACCAATATTTAAAAAGCTGAATGATTTTCTGGAATGGAAAACCAGGAGCAGATTTATTTATATCTGCTAAATTGCCATTATTCCTATAACAAAGTAAAATACTATAAAATTACCAACAACATTGGAGACAACAGAATTCAAATCTTCATTTTTCTCTCCTTTTTTTTGGTCTCCAACTTAATTCTCTCATAATGCACCAATTTATGTCTGTCATTTCTCACAAAATACACTTATTCATTTCTTTTCAAACATATCTTATGTTTGAGTTAGAATTGTACAACTTGCAGTCACTTAGAAGGGTGTAAAAACCTCCCAACAATACAAATAGGAGATGTAAACATTTCAAATGTGCATTCTATCATAAAGCCAGTCACTGATAGATGTAACAAGAGTACCTTATTATATTTTTGTGCAACATAAAAAGGTGTTTGTCCAGGTTTATAAATGAATGAAAAAAGGTATTAAAAAATGAACATGGAGAGATTAAAATCATGTTAGCTATTTATAGCTTTGTACACATGCACTCAATGTCAAATCACTCAAACAACATGGAAATGTGAACAGCAATGGGAAGCAGTCAGTTCATTAGAATTATTGTGTCTTTCTTTCCCTGGGTTTCCAAGACTTCAGAAGTTGATATGAAAAGTATATACCAAATCCATGAACCTGAATTGCTATAAAAAGAAATAAATAGAACACAAGAACTGCAGGGTATCCAAAAAACTGTCCAGTATATTTCTTCTCATTCAGATATGCATACAAGTCATCACTTTGTTCAATAAGTCCAAAGATCACAGGAAGAAGACCAAAAAGTATGGATCCCACTACATACTGCTTCAGAAGTTTAATATCATTTTTTGCCATGGATCTCCACCCTACCAATATTGCCATTGTGCACACCATCCAAGCATACTCCCAGGGTCGAGGTGGTGGAAAGTTCCACTTTCTGAGTGATGACACTGGTCCAATACCAAGGAATGAAGTCAGCCCAGGAAGGACTCGTACAAACATCAACAAACTCAGCACAATGTGAGTAATTAAGTCTGTCCGTAGTCGGGACTTGTTCAAAGAGCTACAATGATAATGTATCCAATAAATACTAGTAAACATAGTTAAATATATGTGCACATTTACAACCATAGATTTTTGGGCTTAAATGCTCACAGTCACTTATGAAGCCCCACCATGATTAGAATAAATTTAAGTCTATACATGTAAGGCCATTTTCACAAAAGTTTTGTGTTTTCTGATCCACTATTTTAAATAGTGGATCAGAAAACACAGAACTCATTTTGAAAGAAGGAAAAAAATGATTCTATTTTCATAAGTTTTTAATTAATTGTTTTTATTGATTATCTACCCTAACCAGAGAACATAATCTCTTTTCTTCAAAGTTGATTTTCATTCCTCAGAGGATGCCTTTTGGAAAATTTGTGGCACAGAGGTTTTGAAGATCTTCACAAGTATAAAAAATTGGAAATTGATAGAAATACATAGTTTATACATATGGTCAAACACACATTCACACCATATCCGAAAATTTTTGATCAGAAAGGCTCACTTGAGCTCAAGGTGAGCTATAATTCATATTGATATTAACAAAGAATCCCAAAATATATGATGTATATTAATAATTGTCAAGTAGCCCATTTGTTACATTATGAATGCTGTAGACAATAGTGTTTTACCCAAAGATGCCCCCCCCCCCCCCCCATGAAATATGGTCTAGGAGAATTAGGTATTCTGAATACCTAATTCTCCTGGACCATGAAAATATGGTAAATTAAAGGTTATATCAAACAAAATGTTTTCTTCATTGTGTTGCTGAAAAGATAAATCTTTCCCTCCTGCTGTTATAAAACTGTTTTACATCAATACGGTAGCAATGACTCAAAATACACGAATATGTTATTTGTCTTGTGACAAATCAAAGTACTGTGTATCAGTTTTTTTAAATGTAACTTCGATACTTTAATAACTTACTCTTTCATCCATGGTGCACTATTAAACATTCTCACAGTAAATGTAACTTCTCCAAAAAACTACTTGTACATGTCTTCAGGTAGGTAATGAGGTAAAATGGGGAGAGAGTTTGCTAGAACATGCTCAAGATGCTGCGAATTATTCTATTTACACTCTGGAAAAAGACAGACTCCCATGTTACATCAGAAATGTGTTAACAGATCTTTGACCTCATACCTAAATTTATATTGCCAGGCAACACTTTCTCTGTGCCAGTGATCGCTCCCGTCCGTGCCGACAGGTCGAGGTCCATATTTGGAAGCCATGCCACCGGTTCTGCTGTCTCTCTGCGAATGCAACGTTTCACTTGCCGGGAAAACCTCTTCCGGTTGCCACTTAGATCATCAGCGATACAAATTGAAAATAAAATCATCGGCGATTTATGTTGTATTTACTAACCCTTATATCACTGAACTTTTTTGATTTATTTTTTAGAAGAGTTACTGGATATTTTTTTTATCCAATTCGAAAAAAAATTCTTTTTTTAAATTGACATAGGGGATGTAAACAAGAGTGGACTTGTTGACGAATTTTCTGATTATTTTTGTCGAGATTGCTTTATTGATCTTTAAAGTTTTCAAATGAGTTTATTCAAACCATCTCATGTTTTTGCCAATCTACCAGATACAGCATCAGAATTAAACAAGATGAATTCATTAGCAAACGATGAAAACCAAATTACAGAGGCCAAAATTGACAATCGTGTTATCCAAGTTTCCTCTGTCGGAGTTGTTACATTGCCACCTGACAGGTGCAGGCTCACTATCAGAATAACATCAACAAAAGAAACCGTAGCAGATGTGAAAGAGAGCACCACAAGAAGACTAGATTACATCATACAGACGCTTCACAATCACTCTGTGAAGGTACATGCATGTATAGATCTAAGTGATACTTTTTTTCACTTTAGTAATGTACAACATTATTTTATTATACCCAGCATATGGTATGGAAGTCCAGACTGCAATGTTTCTAGTGCACCTGTATTTAATTCCTTCTTAAGTCTTATGTATAACTTTAATGCTCAGAGTTTCCAAAAACCAAATATTTCTATAGTCACTTGATGTGTTTTACCAGTCCGAAGCAAATTCTATCAGTCCAAATAAATTCTAGTATAATTCTTGAGGTAACTCAAAAGAAAGTGGCATTGATTGGGACTAGTCATGTTATTTCACCTGAAAGTATACATCAAATTGCTGCAGAACATCAATTCTGGACCTTGGAAGTACTCAAATTGAACATGTTGAATGTGTATAAATGTTTCTGCAGAATGGTTACACCAATATTGTGAGACATCACAATAGATCAGACTACAGTAAATTCGTAGAAGAAAATTAATGTACATGCTAAAAGCTTGTTTGAAATTATGATAAAAAGACAAAGATGAACCTTTTGAAGAGAAAATATGTTCAATTCTGTTTGAACTCATTAGGGGGTCAGAGGTCATAACGTGACCAAATTACATGGTGAGATGATATCTTGCCTGCACATTTCTGTCACAGTGAAACTGCTATCAGAAATTCTAACTCGATAGTGATGAAAAAGATAAAATAATTGAAACATATGGATGTTTATCATTCTAATTAAAGATGTTCATTAGATCTTCCTTCAGTGTGAAGAATGTTTCAAATTGAATAATATAATTAGCCTAAAATTGTGCTTACCTTTTTAACCCGAAATTCCTTTGTAGGTATTTAAACTGAAACAGACGATACTACTGCTTTTGACTTAACATATATAAAGAATTAGTAAAATTCAGTTCACTTTATTGACAATTACCATGTCGGCATACAGTCATGAACAATAATAACATAAAACAAATTAGCACGATTGAATACATATACAAAGTGACAAATGTGAGGTAAACAAAATGATGTAGAGTATATTCGCATATTTCTTAGTATTCATTGCTGACTTTCTTTTCTGGTGTCAAAGCACTTTTTCAAAAAACAACATATCCTTCTAGTAGTTGTAATATTTGTAGGATTGACAATTTTTCTAATGGGATTATCACTAGTATATGTGTTCACATTAAATATATCAGTATAATTGCATCTAAATTGGTCATACTTTGAACAGTATAGAACAAAATGTTTTTCATCTTCAATAAATAATTTACATGAATAGCATAAACGTTTTTCTCTAGGAATAGGGGTTTACAGTATCTACCCGTTTCAATATACAATAGTAAGATTATTGTTAGTAGCGATCATTGTTCTTTCATTATAAACAGAGATTTCCTGAACTGGACTGCAGAACGTCTACTGAGCCCATCGGGCTTCACAGGATTTGATCATGTAACCAACCAGGTTCATTTCCCAGTGAACTTTTTAACATTGTTGTTTATTTCTTAAATATTCACATAAATTTTCATACTGTACATGTAACAATTCTATATGTAGGACTCGGACATACAGATTAACAAGACAATGAGGCGATCAGACTCGATGTACCAAATGGATGTTGAAGTAACAGCTCTCTTCATAGATCTTCACAAATGCCAGAATGTGTCCAATCTTCTAGTGGAGAAACTTGACCCTACAGTGACTGTGTGTTTACCAGAGTTTTTTCATTCTTCTGTCACTCTCCAGAACTTAAGGTTAGTAATTTAATATTTGGTACATTTCACTGTTTGTGTCTGATTGAAATAGCATTGAAAAAAATGTTTTTCATAGTATTACTAGTATTGTGTATTTTTATTCCAGACAACAAGCTAGTTTACTTGCCATTCATAATGCCAAACAGAAAGCTCAGGAAATGGCCCGCTTCGTGAACCAGTCTGTTGGCCGTCCAATCAGCATTAAGGAATTAGAGAACAAAGAATGGCAGGGGACAGAGGAATCCCCCGATGAATTTAACACCCCCAGGACTTTACAACAGAAAATGAATAATTCAAGTGTTACAGTCTCAAGCAAAATATCTATTACATTCGAACTGAAACCAAAAGTGAAAAAATTGGGACCAGATGCAAAGAGCTAGCATTAATCGCACCATAGCATCAAATTGTTGGATTTTTATTGTTTAGTTTGTTATTATTTTGCACCTGTGATATAAATATAGATCTGAAAAAGGACCAGATGGATCGTAAAAGAGAGTGTTAATATTTTTTTTACTTTAAATCTTCTTCATGAACTGAATAATGACTTTTAAAGATTGCTTACACTTGAGTTTAATTTTGTAAAATTTTATTTATTTTTTTATATATATATATGATAGACTTCTTTAACTTCTATAAATTCAGCTCTTAGCTAAAAATGAATAAATGAAATACTAATTCTATTAACTTCAGTTTTAAGCAGATGAGAAGTCATTCAGTGTCATTCAATGACTGAATTGCTAGAGTTTTGATCTACAGATATAATATAGATATGAAAATGATTTAGAAAACCATATTCATTGTATTTTAGTGGATTAACATTTGATGGTTTCGATGCCATTTCAAGTCATTTTGAATATAGTAGTTAATAAGTTACATGCACTCTCAATAAGTACACATACTAGTACATGTATTCCTAGCCTGAGCTAATAACAGGGATCTTTAATCTTATCAGATAGACATTTGTATATAGAAAGTTGAATAATAGAGTTGAATTTGAAGCATATTTTTTTCCATAGCAAAGGTGGCTTTAAAAAAAAAAATTGTGATATTATCAGATATGTACAAAATGTCTTTTGATGATTTTTTTTTTTTTTTACACTTTGTAAACCCTAAAATATAAAGTCAGACTCTGTACAATTAATGCCCCCCCCCCCACCCCCAATGATAAATACATGGCAAAGATTAAGTTTAGTGATATAAAAAGTTTTATTTTGCATTTACACACATAATTTTTATTTAAAAAATTAAAGCTATGGGAAGTAAAACCATGTTTTGTAATCCAGTACTCCTATTTCTTTTCTATCCACAGGCGTACCAGTGTACATGATATTAGCTTGATTAGGGAAACCCCCCTTTTTGTTTCGCTATTCTTTAAAATGCATTACTATTCTATCCAAATTATATTTGAATCTTAATGTTTAAAGGGGAAAAATCCCTTCCGTTAGTTACTGCACAATTAAGGCGTTGCTACTGGAGTGTTAAAATATTAAAAAAAAATACAACTAATATGCGTTGTTTTAGTCGTTAGTGTAGGAATTTTTACACCCGAGAGCAAGCTCCTGTGATCACGGCATACTTTTGATATTTCCTTACATATGCTATTTAGTATTATGTAGAGTCTCGTGAAGTCCCAATCTCCCTTATATCTTGTAGAATTGCCGTTCGTTCCTGTCTCGGAACGTAGAGAGTGGTGAAGTCTTAGCTGTAGATCTATAGCTCACTAGTCTTAATGTTAACCCTAATTTTTCTGACCAGTGAGCTAAGCTACGCAGCTGCATGCAGTGCAGGTCATTAGCCTGGTACCCGAGGCCTTCCAAAGTCCTCGGGTAAAAGGATATGCAGGTCATTAGAGAATATTAGTATTTTAATTTGCAGACATTTTTTGTTAAGCCCAGTATCATGTTGGGTTTATTAGAGTACAAAAATGAGAGCGTGATTTACATCAGACGGCGAAGTATTTACAATAAGCAATGTTCGAATATTGTGAAACAGCAAAAATTATAATTATATAGATTAAATAATTAGAGATGAAGTGTAGAGTAAAATGTATATAATTTCATTCCACGATGGTTCATCTTTAAACATTACATATGAAAATTTTCTTGCGTGTGTTTGATTTTAAATTCCATATACGTACAATGGGTTTGTAATTTCATTATAATTCCTTATCTCATACGTTCAGTTTTCTACATGGAAGAAAAATGTTTGATATTAAATTAGGTTTAAGTAATATCATTATCTTCAAAAGATATTTTACCCATAATTTGAAATTTAATTATGAGTAATAAATTAAGAATAACGAGAAAGGAATTTTACAGTGAAGGCTACGATTTTTTTAAAAAATAAAATGTATGTATAAATTACACGTAGGATTTGCACCTGTTGTTAAAATATAAACAAAAGATTTTAGCAAATACGAACACCTCTGACAACAATGACATGAATTTGAAATCCATTTTTTCAATTCGATAAATTCCTCGTTCGAATGCACACATCGCTGACTAGTGTATTGAAGTAATGAGATTATTGGTGCATTAGTGTAAGGTGCCGGGGGTAACACCGCCTCAGTCACGATTGGGGGCTCACACGACCTTAAAATAGGATATATAACGCGCGGTGAATGGGCGATTTAAACGACAGATGTTCTTGGGGAGATGAAAACTCCAGTCACCAGCTGCGAGAAACAAAGATCACCTCAAAGCAAACAAAGAAACCCCTTCCCCAGGTCTATCCGGCGAATAATGACAATTCCTCGTGTGGAGGGGTAAAGCGGACGCAAGGCAGACTTGAATGTCCCTCCAGTGATAGACAAAGGTCTAATACAGAAAATCTCTTGTAATGTGAACAGATTTAGGGAACTGGACGTAGGAGATGTTATCAGAAATACTGGCTCTTTTTGTTGTCGTTGCTGCAATACTAAGGTGTACAGGTATGTCAATGTCTAATTTCAAGCACTCTTAAAATAGAAAAAGATTTGATAATCATTTGTATTAGTGCTATTATAATCATTTGTAAAATTTATTTTATTAATGCATTATAGTTTCAATAGTTATATCAGTGCGACAAGGCAATACCAGTAGAATTTTTTTAAAGAAGAAAGTTACACTAAATGCAAACTGTAGGTATAATATTTGCATATTCTGAAAAAAGGAGAGAGAGAAAAAGAAATAAATCGTCTAAATTTGATCTATTTTGATAGAAATTTTTATTTCGTCGTTGGAAAATAAAATGATCATATTATACTTGCGTATAATTAAGCAGTAAGAAAAAAGTCTGAACCTAGAAGGATATTTGTAAGGACAGAGAAAAATAAAAATAAAAAAAAAAAAAAGACAGATGCTCCGTTTGTGACCCCTTACCATGATAGTTTGTGTCTTCGAAGACTTCAAAAGAGTCTGTTCTAAATCGTACTATGTTGAACTTTTCAAGCCGTCCTCTTTAATCGATTTAGAGATGATATTCTTCACAGAACTTTGTTTTGCACTTCAAGAATATTTTTATTAACTGGAGAAAAATTTGCAGACAAATGTAATGTAAATACTCCAATATAATAATGTTTATATATATTAAAAAATATTCTATTCCTAATAGTTTAATATGTGGTTTGGAACAAACCCTTGACCAACATTACCGGAAAGAAAATGATGATATATAAAAGACTTCTATTTTTTGAGTACATATGTTATTGTATATAATAATGGGTAATTTTAAACGTATTAATTTAAAAGTATTTAGTTGTAGGAGAATCTGCCTTTATCTGTACCAAAAAGGAAGCTGGAAAACAGACAGTTGAGCTTCGTTGCCCCACTGGAACCGAAATACAAATCAAGGAGGCGGTCTATGGCAAGAACAAGTGGCGACAGTGTGTTTATACCGTGGGGGACTGCACAGAGCATATAGACATTTCCGAGGAGTGCTGCGGCCACCAGAACTGTAACATTACTGTGTGGCGGATTTATTCCATCAAATGTGAATACGTCACTTTCTTTCGCGTCATTTACGAATGTGTGGAAGGTATTGTATTTCATTTCATATTAGTCTTATTTTATTTCAAATTTAATTTCATTTATTCTTATTTTCCTTTAAAATAATACAAAGTAACCAAGAAAACTAAACATTTCTTTTATCCACGTCGTTCAGAGGGTGACGCAGAGTGTGAAGACGAAGAGGACCCAGAAAAATACGACCCGGATATCCTAGATATTACGTCACATTTCAGAATACCATTGACGTCACCTAAACTTCAGACATCCAAAGCAATCACGCAGAATCAAATTACATCAACCAATCGTCTGTCAAAATCCATTGGCAGCGATCCAATTCCATCTTCAGCTATGTCAACTTCAACTGAGGAGGACCAATCAAATGGCGGTACAAAGCTATTTACCTTTTTCCCTATGATTTCTTATTCTTTATCTTAATTACAACTTGGTGGAAGACGTATACATGACAAATCTCATTGTCATGTTTGAATTTTTGCACTATATGTTGAGTGAACACCACCTCTTGGCCGGACTCCACCAAATGACTGACTAGACACAAAACCCTAGAATATTTTCATCTTTAATAAGCATTAATTTAATGTTGATTTATAATCTGTGTTTGCAGGACTAACAGTGATCGTATTGTCTGCTGTTGCAATAGCCATTTTGTTGGTGTGCATAATTATTGTCGCCTTCTTTCTTAAAAAGTTTAAATGGTATGAATTTTTTATCAAAATCCATGCATATCAGTCTATACTTTCAATAATCTTTTCAGTCCAATATTTTGTGCATTGATATCTGTCATATTTTCATAGGCAAGGGGAGAAAGAATGCATTTATAATATATTCGCCGGATGGTGCAAACGTCATCCCCCTGACGGATGTGAAAATCCAGATGCTGAGCAGCCCCCTATGTCACGTGATGTGACATCCCACACAAACAAGAACGATGTAAATCAACAAAACCGGGAAAACCTACAAAAGCAGAAAGTGGCTACATCTACCACAAGAACTGTTTCGCGTGATGTTAATCATAATGATGATTGCGTCAGTAGTCAAAAGAACTCTACAGAAGGTTCAAACGAAGAGAACCATTACGTCATCTTTGAGAGTATTAAAGGAGAAAAGTATAGTAACCCAGTGCTCCAGTCTCTGACTGCCGGACGTGTAGTCCTAGACCAAAAGGCTTATAACGCCACCCCTGTGGTCTCAGAGGGGCCGGGTACCACTGCAGTGTAAATATTTAATCATAACTGTGTAAAGCACATAAATAATTCTACCTCTGTGAAGACCTTTATAGTCTTGGTATCCACAATATGTTCACGGGATAAGCTTTATACCAGCTATATATTCCAACACTGCCAACCAATATGTACACTGTACTATTTTATAATCCTATCCATTATATATTTCTGTATCATTGAAGATGTGATCAAAGTTTTACACTTTATAATCAGCGTGTACTTCTTTAATTGGACATTTTCTCAAAGAAAAAGTTGCTGGGTCATATCATAAGAACGTAATACTAGTACCGTTTAAAAGGAATTGAAAATTTTGCCCCCCCCCCTCCCCCTTCAGAAAAATATAATATCCCAGGGAAAAATTAAGAAACAACTTTGATCGGGACTTTTATCATGTTCAATCATGCAGAACTTTCAAGCTAACCGACTTTGTTTGAAAGAAAGACTGATAGTAATTAGAATGAATGATGTTTAATGATGCATGAAATTAGGATGAATGACCAAAGGAGTGTACGAAATTCAGTGATAGATTGAGCTTTGTAGTTAGATTTGAAACACGCTAAAATTTTTTTTACGAATATACAGCCATAATTCTACAATATTTCGGAATATTAGTCAATAAATGATTAAAATACTTGCAAAGAAAGATGTTGAGGAGATTATAATCAAAGAATGCCATATGTTGTGTAAACACAGGACTATACGACATTTTGCTTTGCTTAATATTTAAGATGACAAAAATCTATAGATGATTTGTCACTTTTGTGTCTCTCTACAAATGATTTGTAAATAATTTTATGCATAATTTTTTCTCTCCCATTAAATATTTATTTGTGAAATTGGTGCGTGTTTCTGCTACTTTTTTTTCTACCATTAAATTGATAATTTACTGTGATGAAAAAAGTATTTCTCAAGGAGACAAATCAATTTCAGAGATGGATGCAATGATGTTTTAATTCCATTTTTTTTTTTAGATGACTCCAACTTTTATTTCGTAAACCGTACCCTTTACAAAACCCCGTATCATCAGTTTTTAACAAACTTTGTTTGTATTTCGAATTAATGACTAAAAAAATTACAATTTCAAGGATTTATGGTGTTTGCTTGAGCGACTTTGTCCTTGTAAAATTTCCTCGGTTTATTCACCATCACACACGATGGTCAGATAGAATTCTTTGTAATTTCTTTTTTTTCATTAAAGTGACAATAACCAGTCTAAATGACCTTGGATCAAAGCTGTGACAGACCCATGATCCATTGGTCATAAGAAAATTTAATAAAATGATTAAAGAACTACTGTATTTTCTACTTATGATCAAAATAGCCCCATCTTGGACCTGGACTTGAAGGTATAAATTTAAAGCTTTTATTTAAAGACTCGTAATCTGCATGCAGATGTTAACTTTTGTTCTTCTTTAATAAAAATGCTTATTTATATATTTCAAAGTAGATTAAAATTCATTTAGCAGTTTCACAGAAGTAACAGGAAACATAATGAAATATAAAGAAAACGAACATATTGACGCTCAAAAAGTCATTGAAACAATACGAATTTTAAGCAGAGTAAATAAATACCTCTAAAACATCAGAGGTTGGATCAGATGTCATGGAGGAGTAAGCATCTTATGACGATCAGTCACACCTGCTGTGTGCTCCTAGTCATGATCGGGCAAACGAAAAAATCCGTAGATAATTCAGTGTGAAGACAATGGCCTAGCAATTTGAATGAAAAACACCAGTTATAATAACATAGGAATAAATAATTTGTCATTAATTTTTACCATTAAAAACCCTCGTATCATCAATTTATTTGTCAATAGCTTGCCTCGTTTTAGAAATTGTTTGTACGTAGAACATGCTCTAAGTGGGAGACATAAACTTCACATGCAAATGATAATGACAAATTGCTACATAAATAAGGGAGGGTGACGATAGAAAAGTTGAAGTCATCAAGTTTATCTTAAGGTTTAGTTGTTTTTATATTTTACTAGAAAAAGACGCTAATGGTAACCTAACAACAAAACTTTAGGATAAACTAGTCACTTCAACCTTTCTATCGTCAACTTCCCTTGCTTTTGTAGCAATATAGGCCTACCCTTATCACCTGTTTCTGGGGTTTATGTCTCCCAGTTGATTCGATACGCAAGAGCATGCTCTACTTACGACCAATTTTAAAAACGAGACAAGCTATTAACCAACAAGTTGATGAAACAAGGATATCTACACTCTCGTTTGAAGTCATCAGTTTGCAAGTTCTATGGTCGATACAATGACCTTGTCAGCAAATACATTCTATCTTTGGGGCAAATGCTGACTGCATGTAGTTTTCATACTAGTTGTTAGGCCATTATTTACACACTGAAATTTCTACGGATTTTTTCGTTTACCCGATCAGGACAAGGAGCACACGGCGGGTGTGACCGGTCGACAGGGGATGCTTACACCTCCATGGCACCTGATCCCGCCTCTGATGTTTTTGGAGGTCCGTGTTTGTTCTGCTTTCGACTTGTATTGTTTAAATGAACTATAAGCTTGAATACTGTTCGTTATTTCCATATTTCTTGTTAATTAACCATAAATGTAAAAGTTAAATGCATCACATTCTTCATACATAATATAAGGTATACGAAAGTTATGAAAATAGGAAAGAAAAATTAGGATAGAGAATAAGAGTAAAGATAGCCAACAAAAGCATCGGAATAAAGAAATTCTGACTAAATTTTATATGAAAAAATGATTTTAAAATGCCAAATTTATATTTTTCTCTCTCTTTTATTTCACATTTTGCTTTAGTGGTGCCGTTATCACTAGATAAATCAATATCAAACAGTACATTGACATACATAGGAAATGAATCATCAGGATTGATAATTTGAAACCGTTAGCCTGAAAAAGAAAAGATTGCTTATTACTAAGAAATGATCTCAACATATCATTGTTTAATAAGTAAGCTATACAGTGTACCTCAACTTTACAACTTTTATATGGACTGCATGAAATGTAATCAATTGTATCAATAATACTACTGTATACAGGGTTATTTTCGCCCCATGTTATTTTCGCACTTGCACTTACACTTGCGAACAATTTTGCCCCGTTTAAAATTCGCCCAATCACAATTCTGTTTAAGAAATTATGCTGTGTTCCTTGAATTTGCTCTGTTTTAAATTCGCCCACTTGTGACAAGGGCGAAAGGGGCGAAAATTTCCCTATATGCAGTAAACCATGAAGATTTACAAATTCTTTTCGAATTATCTGCACTCAACTTACTTGAGATCGCTGTTTAGCTGAATGATTTTCTTTTCCTGACGATTGAAGAAGATGTTGTCTCTCAGGTTCATCTACAAATAAAATTCGTTCTCTATTTGAAGATTTAAACTAAATTTGATCAGATTTAAATTTCAGTTCGCCATTCTTCATATTCGATTACCTTTCATGTCACTGAAGTATTTTTCACTTTCTAATATAACTTCAATGATGATGTATGTTACAATGTAAGCTATGACGACATTTGATGTCCCCACAGGTGTGTTTGACTTTTCCAGATTGACTCCAAAATAGATCGTTATTGCTAGAGAAGAAAAAAAGGACCTGCATACTTAGTATATGTCAGTTTTTAATAAACTGAAACAAATAAAGTTTGATGATATTTTTTGGTAGAATTTATGAAAGACGTGTTCAGTTCATATTCGGACAAAATACTTAATTACTCTGTATAGTATCCATGTTTATACCTACCTGCTAGGATTTGTGCAGAAGTTCCAATAAACATATGAAAATAATAAAAGACGTGTCGGTATTTGTGACCAAGATTGCAGCGAAAGAGGGCTATCGTTGGCTGAAATTTTAAAAGAAAACATTGGAAGAGATATTGGAGGTTGTAAGTGAGTAGTAGCTCAAGAAAATTGTTCTGTTTGCTCGAAGGTAAGAACATGTAGTTATAACATTTTTTTTCTGTAAATTTATGCATAAGCATATCGCCCCTATCATAAATCTGTAAAGATATCAATAGTTTGTCTTAACTGTATGGTCTCGATTATTAATTCTTAATCTAAATTATAATTGAAAGGAGAAATCAACGAAACGTTGGTATCATTCCTATAATTTTGAACTATTTTGGTTTCGTTGATGTTTTCTTATAAGATATTAGTTATTCTTTGATATTTTCAGGAAACACGTTATGTTTAATTTATTTTTTTAGTTCAAGTCTTCAAGAAGTCTTAATTTTCTATATTTATAAATATTTAGAATGATCAGCTTTTCAGAATATGATCAAAATGTCAAAATCATCATAAATCCATAGACTTGTTTTGCAGTTTAGGAGGAATATTAAATATTCATGTGGAGGACAAGTCTTTAAAATACAAATGCCATTTAAAAAAGCAATAAAATATCATTATCATAAAAATTGTAGTTGTGTTGCAAAATAATGTCAACCTGAGATTAAAATAAGTCTTTAAAAAATACAAACATTAACAACAGTGAGTGCCATGACTGCGATTCCAAGCCCTGGATGGTACCTCAGATAACTACTGCAATCTGTCTCCTGTCAAAATATTTATAAAAATATATTCCAAAAATGTAGATATGAATGATGCTCATCATATGACTTTTATCACCAAAATCTTCAAAAAAAAAAAAAAATAAATAAATAAATAAATAAATAAATAAAATAAAATAAAAGGAAATGATAGGAGGTACATAGAAACTACAATATCTGTGTAATGATAGACACGCACCTGAAGAAGGGTACCGACTTGTATGAAGATTATTACAAATGCGGCAGTAGTAATGATAAATACGAGTGACATTACTGTTCTGTGTATCTGAAAATATAAAGAAGCATCTGACACTATAGATCTAACATTTATAAATGCTACGTTATTGTGAAAAAAGGATCAAAATTTGATTTTGACATTTAATTTGTAAAAGTATACTTTTGAAACTAAGTTATAAAGTATACTTACAGCAAACCAGACTTTGACTCCGCCAAGCATCATATCCCCCGACTCCGACTTGTAATAACGGGCAGTTATTATACCAATACTGGACAGAAATATCCATGCAAATATCATTAAACTTCCTGAAAAATAACGATAGGTAATTATTGCGAGAATTCTAAAATATTTTCTTAAACCACACAACATCATGTGTGATATCCAAAGGACTCGTTTTCGAAGATATGAATCAAAGGCTGTTTAATGAGAATCTCCTAAAAAGAAAAAGTTACGATTGGTGTTGAATACTAAATACACTGTATTTCATTATATATATATATATATATATATATATATATATATATATATATATATATATAACTTTTTTGCCAAAATTGTGACCTTTTAATATTAAATGAACCTTATAAAAACTATTAACCATGTAATTTATAGAGAAGCATGGACTGTTCTCCAAACCCAACCGTCTGGTTCAACAAAAAATCGACTTTTTCTGCACTGACAACAGGAATCTTCTCGTGTCTCTTGGGGGTTCCTGTGAATAACATCAGTTAAAAGGCTATAATTTTATCGTATTTTTTGAAAACTTAAACATGCATCAATAGTTCATAGTTCTTTAACTTTCAAGCATACACAGAGTAACTTGAACTTACGTTTGACTGCTTTTAATATAACAATAAACATCCATGCATAGAAGTTAAGGATATTTTTGAATTTCGAAGTTTTTTTTTATTGTTGTTTGTCTTCAAAATGAAGCATTATGTCGACTAAAGCATGCAACAATAATGCAGGATGCCTTTAGCTGTTAAGGTGCTAGTCTCAACGCCATTATAATTTGCATTTAAATAAAGCTATGTATAATTGATTTCATTTCCTTAAAGACACTATTATCATTTCTAATGTTAGCTGTAAATGATATACATGTATACTACATGTCGTATATCAATGTTCTTACCCACGGTGACTGGTCCGTTTCCGAGTATTATGTAATATTTTTTCATTAAACTGTATACATTGCCAAAATCCCCGGTGACATTAATTTTGCGTGAAAAAGAGCACTTCAAAATCTGACCGATAACGGAAGTCGTTATGTTGATCAAGCCAAGGGAGGTCTGAAATAAGATGCAAAGATTTAAAGACAAACATTATCCTAAATTCACGCCAATTTTTAAAATTTATTTTAAAGTATAGTCAAGTAAGTCATCTGATAGAATAATTTGCAAAACAAAAGAGGAAAATCTTACGTTTGGTAATACAGAGAAACTGTACCCTTCGTTAATGCCCTCCAAAACACGTACTTCATTATTATAGAGAATACACATCACAACGCTCGTTTTCGACTGAAAGTACAATCCACATAATATTGTTATTTTTAATGTTACATTCCTTATTCTTTTCTTTTGAAGTATTCAATATTCTGGAGCTCTGTCACACCAGGTCAAGATCTAGTAAATGAGTTTGGACTTTCTCTTGGTGCTAGATTCATTATGACGTCATAATTGATTTAAACTTATTTTTTCCCGTACTTTAAGGCTTCACTAGAATTACGTAGAAAATAAAGCACTTTCATGGAATTCAATTTGAAATCATGTCAAATGTAACCCCGATACCCTTATTCCACTTAATATCATTTTAAAGTAGGGATCAAGAAGATATGAAAAACCGTTTTCTGAGAGACTGTAGGCAATATTGATACATTTCCTCTTTCTGAGATGGAAAAAACTCCCATATTTATACCAGACTTTCTTCATTTTTCATTGAAAATGAGTAGTTTATAATATGTTTTTCCGATATGTTTACCCCAAAATTATGTCCGGATACACCTTATTTTACCAAGATATATTCATAGAGGAACATTAAAAGAACGTGTATCTCAAATTTGAGAAATCTGTGGGCACCTTTCATTCACTAGATCTTGACCTTAAGAGTATAAAATATTGAAAATATCAGTATGATTTTAAATTTTAACCATTTTGCCTGTTGGAGAAATTCCAATTGCAATCCATCTGTCTATTTGATTTTTTAGGCGAGATATAATACTGAAATCAACAAATTTTCCTTGTCTTCTCCATTGGACAACGGCGTCACATTTCTTGCCGAGACATGGTTTAAAGCAACCAAAACCTTTCCTACAGTGGGGATAGTCGAAAGGCATCTGGAAATAACAGGTGTGACACAAAGTCAGTCTGGATTACATATCGTTTAAATGAAGGCATACTAATTTACCTGTTAATTAATCTTTAAATTTTTGTTTAAAAGTCATATTTATATTTAACATTACCCCTTTTGTGCTAGAGAATGGAACCGGCGTGGTAGTTTCTTCCATTTGTGTGCTTGAAGAGATCGGCATGGTAGTGATGTCAGTGGTAGGAACTGTAGATGGAGGAAGATAATCAACCCTCACAGACTCAGACTCAATATTTTTCCAAATGATTTTAAGGGACTGAACAACTGTAGCCCTGCAAAATGGAATGGATTTGAATATACATACTAGGTATTATTTCCATTTTTTTTCTTTTTAAAAGATATATATTTAAAAAATTAAATGATTAATTAACTAATTAATTAAATTAAATTGATTAATTTAATTAATAACAAGATTAGTTAATTAAAGTTAATTGATATAAGTTAATTAATTCTTATATAGACATAGACAAAGACAATAAATACAAAGATATATTAACACAATAATTCGACTGACAATGTTAAATCTAAGGAAACATCAATGACCATCAATTGATTGTTATACTCTACAAAGTGTTCAGTGCAGAGATTCAGATTAAATATTTACTTTAATCTTGAAAAAAAATCCTTAAAAAATATGTTCTACCTGAACTTTACTATTCCTTTAAAACGATTTGTTGGATTCCAAGAAAGAATACAGAGCAACTTTGGGTTATGATCTGTATGAGTTGCACCCTTTAAATAGAAATGATAAAATTAATATCATCCAGGAAAAAGAAACAAATATGGCTCGAATAATTTGAAGTAATGACTTACTCCAATACAACGCCTTTTAGCATTATCGGGTACTTTAAACTCGCCTCCTGTGAATCGTATTGGACTTGATAAGTTTGTAAAAACCTCCAACAGAAAACCTTTGAAGGTCGTCTGACCATCCTTCGACGAAATAGTGACTGAAAGAAAATATAATACAAAGGTTTCTTCCAGTGTCATATCAGAACGAAAATGTTAATGAATTGCTTCAATAGATTGATAAATGATAATTTCATGTTTGTCATAAAAAGTAAAATTATCATGTGTCAATTATATATCCCAATGAATTCGAAATTAAAGATACTACAGAGTCTGTCATATCTGTGTCATATTAGGATGTTTAACCGACTATAGAAAATAAGGGACAACGAACAACTAAAGATGACTTCAGCTTTTCCATCGTCAACTTTCCTTATTTATCAGCGCTCGCTCCGTGAACGGAAGGTCGTGTGTTCGAATCACGGCCGCGACTGACCTAAGTCGATAAAAAAAAAAATAGGTAGCAACTGTTCCTTCGCCAAGCGCTCAGCTTTGAAGTGAAAGTTGCAGGTCCTTCGGATGAGACCATAAAACCGGGGCCCCGTGTCACGGTAGATGTTGGCACGATAAAGAACCCTCACTGCTCAATGGCCCTGAGTGCCGAGTAAGGGTCTAAATTTGAAGCCCTTCACCGGTATATGGTGACGTCTCTATATGAGTAAAAAATTCTCGAACGGGACGGAAAACAACACACAATCAATCAATTAATCCTTATTTATGTAGTAATATTCCGCTATTACCTACATATTGAGTGTTTATGTCTCAAAACTTATTCAATAGTTAAGAGTATGCCCCGCGTACGATCAATTTTATACCAAGGCAGGCTACTGACCGATTTGATGTTACACGGATTTCAACAACCTCGTTTAAAGTCAGCTTTTCTATGTTTGTGGTCGTTATAATGACCTTGTTAGCAAATACAACCTACAAATGGGTCATATTTTGACTGACATATTTCATTCCAAATGTTTGACCTTTGTTTTTTTTCTAAAATTTTCTACGGAATATTCCTTCTCCCTGATTAATGCATAAGGCTCACGTTGGGTGTGAGCAATTGACAAGGGATGCTTACTCCTCGTAGGCACCTGATTCCACCTCTGAAATTTCAGGGGTTCCGTATTTTATGCCCTGTTCACAGATTTATACGCATTCTTTTTACAAAAAGATCGAACACTGTTATTTCCATATTTTTTTGGTCATTTTAGCGTACACTCTACATGACTGGAATCTACAGCATAGGGAGATATTTTGCAAACTGCAACCTTACTTTTCTTGGAAAGTTTAAAGATGTTCCCCATATTTAACGCAATTACAACTTCATTCAAGCAAGATGGCCATTTGTTAAGAGGCTTCAATGGAAAAAATGAATAAAGTATATATACTAAAAAATTTTATGATATACACACATACAAGACTGTAAACCCTGTAATCTAGCATATACATGGTATCAGTATCTCAACAAATTTAAAAATCTACCCAAATCAAAAAGCTTTCATGCGCATTTAATTTTTTCTATCCCATTGGATCTGGGGAAGCAAATTTTTATTATATTTTTTAATCATCTTCTCTTTGAAAGGATACAGATTTTAATCCAGATAGCCAAGGGTGCAGTAATACAAAAAGCTTGAATTGGCAAAGTTGCTTTAATTGGTTGTCAATATACATGTATATTAATTTTTAATTTAAAATTAATCAAAACTTTAGAGGACTTAACATGCTTTTTATATATGAACTGTAGTATAAATTTAATACTACAGTTCATATGTATGAGTACCTACTTGTTAAATTATTTTCCGTAGTCAAATGGGAAGATGACATTGTAATGACGTAAGGTGATGACGTAGTTTGAGGAGGGGCTCCATGTATGGGTGTCATGTTGTCACACGCAGATTCAGGTGCTCCAGATGGGTAACCATGGCATCCACAAAGTAATATCAAACCCACATATGCGATGAACATGTTACCTGATCAAATGTATTTGATTAATTAATTTATGTTTATAAATTAAATTTAGAAGACCAAGATGATATTTGTACATTAGCAGGTACTTAAAGGTAAAATGGGAAAACAATCTTCTTCAGTTTGTCAGTATCCCAGCTTGGATGGAAATAATCGTTGGACTGTAAATATTAATATAATCTGACAGTGTTTTTCAGCTCTGAAAGTTAAAGAGTGTATGACTGATACATTTCATCCAAGCGTATTTTACAAAATATTGCTAATAAGCTTTATAAAATATACATCATTGAAGAGTGCCAAGTAATGCTTTAAAAACCAAGTAAATATAGTTTCTAATTGCATCGTCAGCCTTTCAGAAAGATCAGAGAAAGATTTTTATCATGAGTCGAGAGCCACGTGTCACATGTACTTTGCAATCAGTCGAAGGAGCGGCCGACCTTTTTCTGGTTGTTTTAGAAAAAGAGACGGTATTTTGTTCTATGGATTATATGGAATGATTTCTCATTGATAACATAAATTAAAAAAAATAAGAATAAATGTTCTTAAATTTTGATTAATATTTAGGTCTAAATGGTTGTTATTACGTTGAAATGTATGGAGATAACGAACACTATTAAATTCGTTTTATTTCTCATCAGATATTTGATTTACAATTTTATAAGAGAAATGTTACATGATCTGCTCCTCAATATGAGAGTGCGTAAGATATACGAGGGTTGTCCGTAAATTCGTGGACAACCTTGATAATAACTGACAAACATTGATAAAATATATGAAACTATTATTTTCATTAAATTCATGTGTTTCATTTCATTATTATGCAAGTTTTCATCACAAACAAAGCACAAATAGTTATATTTTTAACAGATACAAAAAAGACACACACTCATACCCTGAGCACTAAAATGAAAATTCTTTACGTTACCCAAAGTCAAAAGCTAAATACATTTAACTTTTCTCAACGTAGTCACCGTTTAATTCAACACATTTCTTATGTCGCTTTAACCAGTCATCAAAAATGTGCACAAACTGTTCTGGTTTCATACGTGAAATAATATTTAACACTTCCTGTCTCAGATCCTGCAAATCATTATACCTCTGTCTGCGTAAAAACGACTTTATGTATGGAAATAGAACTGTTAGTCGCCGATCACTGACAATCACGTCACGAACTTCATTTTTTTTTTTACAGTACTGCGATCTCAGAAAGATGGTCTTCCTTTACGCATATCATCCTGTAAACTGTCCCTTCCGTCCGAAAATCTGTTCCACTTAAACACTAAAGAACTTCTTACTTTATTATGTTTTCCCGACTGTTTAAGGAATTTGGGTGTCTGGTGGTGTTTTTCCGGTGTCTACACAAAATTTAATCACTGCTCTCTGCTCCATCTTTTTCGAAAACGTCCATTTTTCAAACAATGACGATCCTGTCTTAATAATTAGATTCTAACCTCGATTTCTCTGCCATTTCGAAACTTTGAACATTCAAATTTTACGAGTTTGACACTACAACATTTGTCAATGTCATAATGTGAAAGTTATCCAAATTTTTGCAGAATTTCATAAAATACAAATGAAATGTATAAAGTGACAATTAACTTTTTAATTAAAACATTGCCGTGCTCCGGGTCACCATCCCAAGTCTTATAACGAAGTCATAATTGTAATTATACATTTAAAATTGAATAAAATTTTACATTTTGTAATTCACATATAGTAAAGGTTATAAATATGCTAATAATAAATATCTATGACACAACTTTTATTCACATTTTAGCTTGTCCACGAACTTTACGGACAACCCTTGTAAACACAAAACGTAAGGAGTTCCGGAATATTAATTTTAGTACTAAAAGTTAAAAAGTTTTGAAAGTAATTTCCTTTAATACATTTCAGTTACAAATACAATGGTTATTTTTCTGCACTTCACATTTATAGTGATACATGTCTATCAATGGTATTAACGGGTGAAAAGTTTGTACGTCCTTTATGTCAGAAATCATTGAGACATTCATAATTATTAAGTTTTGATATACATGTATGTTACATTTGTCTTCTTCATCTTTAATCTAATTTGATGATGATACATATCTATCCATTTTTTCCAGTTTTTATATCCATGTTTTATTTTGATCGATATATTACAATTCACTGAAAATTTAAGTACTATAAACGCACAGGAAAAAGTACAGTTTTACAATAAAATTGTATCACAAACCTTTTCAGATTTGAATTTTTTTTTTCTTAGGACTCCTCTTGTGAAAATACTTTACAATGCTAAACATTAATCATTTTTGCGGCCACTTTGATGCTTAGTATCATTTGCACTTGCACTTTATGTACGTATAGATCTTGCAATAAGAGAACTACATGAATTTACCTTTTATTTTCTGTTGTTATCCTCGACGGAGTATCATAGTAAAAGAGCATTAACTAAATATCCTCAGGTTCTCAGAGTAACAAGTCCAAAATATCCTGTATTACCTAGCATGGGGGCCTGCTGAAATGTTAAAGCAGCTACTCTAACGATGTATATTCTTTTAAATATGGATTTAAACATCAAATTCTTAGAAAACTTTTGTCATATCCTGGCTAATGATGTTGAAAATCGTCTTATTTTAACAGAAGATAGACAGCATTTAAATACACGATTAAAATCTTGCAAGACATTATATTTTGCATAAGATTTAATCATGTGATACTAGGATAATATGCTCAAAATATCTTGAATTTTTGATAGTATTACGGTATAAGCAATCTTTTATTGAGGTGCACTTTTACCATGAGAATAAGAAATCATACGATTAATTAAGGAATGTTTTTAAGTTTTGTGTCAGTTATTGGTTTGTAAATCACACAGACTTGTCACGTAGGCATATTTCATGAAGCGCGCTAGCGCTTCATGAAAAATATGCCTGCGTGCAAGTCTGTGTGATTTACTCACCAATAATTCACACTTAGCTTAAAAACATTCCTTATATTTACATTTTACAAGTTTAAAAGCACCAATTATATACTCAATATTTGAATATCTTGCTGCCCTTTATCGTTACATTTTTATTAACGTCTCTGCAGCCTCATTGTGACGTCACTTTAGCACGAGTTTCACTGTGTATATTTCTACGCATGAGTATACACAAAAATGACTTTCAAATCAATTTCACAGTTCGCTTAGTAGAAAAACACAGCAAATGTAAATATTTAATTATGGCCTCCTTTATAGTGACCAAGAGTTTGCATTTTAATATTAAATAGTGTTGCATTTTAATATTAAAGATATTAGCATTAAACACTGGTTACAGTGCAATGCAGTAACGACATAATGGCATTTTAATTTTGTACATTTCAATGTAAGACATTAGTTGAATAGTTTCTATTTTAACTGAAGACGTAATCAATTTAAGGTATATGTTATATGTAATAAGAAATGAATATTTGTACATTTTTGAAACTGATCATTTGCAGTGAACGGAATCACATTTTTTCAGAAATTTTTACTGTACTATTTTAATAAAAGTTAATAGTAACAATCGAAAAAATAATTATATAATCAATGCACAAAACACTGTCTGGTCAATTAAGATATGAATTTTATAATTTATCGATCTGTTTACATAATATAATTATGTTATTTCTTATATAATCACTTTTAAGTTCTTCAGTAATTGTCGTTTTAGCATTGAAAATAAATTAGATATAAGAATAGATCTCACCTCTTGCAACTTCCAGTATATTTCAAATCATTCCAGCTCTTTCATAGTTCCTTCTCACCATAACCAGAGCACAGTAGTGACTTTATTTCAATAATTTTTTATTGTATTCATTGCCATTCATTAAACATATCAAGGCCTTTTAGTCTTGGGAACAATTTTCATGTTAATAAGTATATACTGTCATTCTCGCTGCCTTAAGACATCACATGACAAGTTTATTTATAACTCAGTAATTTCTTTACCTGTGTATTTACGGATTTATTTGAATTATACCATTCCACGTGATGTGATTCGATTGAATACAAAACACAATGATGACACTAATTTTGACAAGTTATATAACCATCCACCTGGTAAATCATTATCCCTTTAAACATGATCAGGTAGCAGATATATTGACTGTTCTTTTTTGGTCTGTCGTGTTCTATCTTACAACACATATAATCTGTGTTGATGTATCGTTTTCGTAATTATTTGGTTTTTAGTTTATAATTATATTTACGTTTTCAGGATCGTCATATACGATATGCAAATTTTCATTGCTATGAACACTTTAATGCATGAAATATGGAGATAGCGAACAGTATTCAAGCTCACAGTCGATTTAAATAAATAAATAACAAAGGATTTCATATGTACGTGCACTGTTCTTGGTGCAAAAATATATATCGAAATAATAATCACTCAATCAATATCAATCGACATCTATTCTATATGTAGACTATTAACAGAAATATATTTAGAAGGTCCTACTATTTTTGTTTATAGCACAATCTATCTATAATATAAAATAAGATTCCTTAAAAGGAAAACAATGATTTTAGTCCTAAAGATAGCGGAAAATAATTATCCAGTGGTATGTTCATGTCCTCGTCTATGTAATGTCAAAACTTGAAGAAAAAATATTTTCAAAAATTTATTAGTAAAAATGTTATTATCACAGATAGTTTTTAATTATTGCGACCTGTATCTCTATCAATCTTAAGATGAAATATAAATAATAGTTGAGGAAACATAGATAAGGTAAAAGTGCAATGTACTGCTGTAATCTCATCTTAACATATGTATTATTCAATTTCTTATCAAAGTAAGAAGGGTAGTGTTAAATGACTCGTAACAGTCCCATTGTTAAATGCTCGTTACACAAAAAGAAAATTTAAAATGCTGATCTATTAAATCATATGAGGAACATATGTTTAGTCAGCAACATATTCATATGTAACAAAAACATGCTACGAATCGTGACATGTGCAAAAAAAATCAAAATAAAGTGAAATATTTGGTTAAAACACTAAAATCTTAACTGCACAAATAAATAAAAGACAATAGATATGATTAATATAATGTGCTTGACATTTCGAATTCTAGATAAAGAATCTAAAGAAATAGTCAATTGCATTCAACTACATGGAGACATTGGGATTTTTATATTTGATTTACATGTGTATTTTTACAATGACAATTTTTCTTCAGCAAAAATCTGAAGAATAGCATAAGTATACGTGTTACAGAAAAAATAGTTTAATTTCATTGTAACAAATGGTCTTAAGAATAAAAATTAAAAAAAATGTCACTCTAAAGTAATGGGTATGAACAAGATATTGTTATCAAATTATTACGTAGAAGAGAAGTTCTCAGAGTAAATTGCACTATATCATACATATGACATATATACCAAGCTGTCCACAAGGACATAAAATGAGAACAGATTTAAGTCAATATTTAAATCTTCAATTATTTTTGTTTAACACGCGTTTAAAGAATCCCAATTTTGTATTATATTCAAATACAATGCATTATTATTTTCTTTTTAATAATTGCAAAAATTATTCTAATTCATTTGAAATGTTAAGTATATTCTCAATTACAAGTCGTAAGAGTAGATCTATATTTCTTGATAAAAATTAAAAGAGTACCTTGCTGTAATTGTTTGCATAAATAATACATGTGTAATAAGAGAAAAGACACACATTCCTTGGTAACAGGAAAACTAACAAATGAGTCTATGATCTATCAAAAAATATCTAACAATCCACATTTAACTCTCTCTCTCTCTCTCTCTCTCTCTCTCTCTCTCTCTCTCTCTGATGATAACAGAAATATTCGCTCTTGCTATGCCGATGCTACAAAATAAATAAGTGCTAGACAATACACTGACATACACAGAACATGGAGCATCAGGATGGATAATTTCACACCATTCACCTATAAAAGAAAGAATAATCTTATCTCAGGGTATTGGGCTATTATTTCTCGTCACTGTATGACCATTTTAAATCACAAAATTCATACACAAAATATTACAATGATGCGAATGATATACTGAATTACTTTTGTTTACGTACTTTAGACTGTGATTTTGAGGAAGGATACTCATTATTTTTGTTTACGTACTTTAGACTGTGATTTTGATGAAGGATACTCATTATTTTTGTTTACGTACTTTAGACTGTGATTTTGATGAAGGATACTCATTCGCAGCCGATTTAAGAAGAATCTGTCTCTCTGAGTTATCTACAAATATATACTTAATTTTCAGTATACAATGATTGTAAACCGAAATAAATAATAATAATAATGATAACAATATATATACAATCAAAATTATTAATAAAAATATTCCATTTAAGTTTATGTATTTACCTCCACGATTTCTGAAATATTTTTCAGATTCTAATATAAGTTCAATGATGACATAAGTGGCTATATACGTTATAACGATGTACGAGACCTCCTCTGGTGTGTCTGACTTTTCTAGATTCACTCCAAAATATATCGTAACAGCTGCAAAAGAAATCAGGTAATATAAAAGATTATAAAATTTAAATACTGCAATACGAGAACTTAATTAATAAAAATCTTGGAGATAATCTGATATTTTAACTTTTAATTAAAGGTGCTTGGACACAGATTTGAAGTTAATATTTTCTCAAATTTTCGGTATAATGATTAAATTGTTAATGTTTACGTTTCACCGGGTGTGTTCAATTTGTTAAATTCTGCACACATCACTGAGCACGGACTGACAATACTGGTGAGTTGGTTTTGCTTTCTTGCATTTCTACTTTGAATTTCCTGGATTATAGTTTGAATAAGTTTCATTAATTCACAACAAAAATTTTACTTTTCTTGAGTATTAAGGATAAAGTTTGCTTTATGAAAGTGCTTAGGATGTATCAATCAAACGCGTCCCGAAATTTGTAGTTTCAATAATTTCCAGATAAAATAAGTTTTTTTTATTTTATTTCCGTTTGAAATGCTATAGCAACATATAAGTCATGATATTATACCGAAAACTTGAGAAAATATTAACTTCAAATCTGTGTCCAAGCACCTTTAAAAGCGTAGCTTAAAGTTTTTATGCTACTTTAATGAGTTGGTACTTTGATTATTACTAAATCCAATTAATATTTTTGTTCATATAACTTTTACAAAAATATTTTTTTAAAAATGAAGAAAAATTCATAGTCAAATCTAATTTATTTTGACCAAAACTTTTAGTTTGGTCATCATTGTATTGTCATTGTTTCAGTAGTTGAAAAATACATAAAATTCCAAATAATAATAATAATAATCGTGCAAAAACAATGCAGTGTATGATAGAACGATATATGAAAGATTAATTTTTAAAACATTCTATTACCATGTTTAACTTGCATAGATTACAGAACGTTGAAAATCTTCTATACTCATGAACATATATCGGGAAAATTGCATAGACGATTACAATAGCAGCAAACCCTATAGAAGAGTTGTGAAATCTATATTCCCTGGTTCCATATTCCAGGGTGAAGTTAACATTTGTTGAAAATAAATAGCGTTGAAGATTTCAAATTAATTTAAAATCTTCATTAATCTCGGACTCATTTTGATCGCATGATTATAACATCTAGCATCCAGCCCTCGGTCAGATATATAATTGTATATAAACTGCTACCAATAATGTGAAATTCACGTTCCCTGGATCCAGACCCCATGGTTGAATTGATATATTAAATTACATTTTGTTTTATGGAAATCGTCTTTATTCTAAAGCAAGTTAAAGAGGAAAAGATTCATGCATTATAATAATATCATGAACATGAGTCCTCATCAAATTTCAACATTCATGTCACAGGAAGATAGCATTTCAGTCCCAGGTAGAACTTTGTTTCTTACAGCACTTGAAACTCATGAAACTCAGGCCACTTTCAAGATCATTGAGCCTATTGAACTTCAATTGAGTTCATGTTACAAATAAACTAGATTTTAATTCTATCAATTATTTTCTATAACTTTTAATACTAACCTGCTAAGATCTGTGCAGACGTTCCCACAAACATATGGGAATAATGAAAGACTTCCCTGTATTTGTGACCGGGACTGCATCTGAATAGAGCCATAACAGGCTGAAAAAAATTAAAGAATCTATTAAATAAGCCTTCGAACTATGTCAGGAATGGAACGAAAACGAAAAACACAGAAAATTTCACATTAATTTTTCCATGAAACAATAGATGTCGACATTAAAGGATGAGAAATCAAACCCCGCCCTCCAAATCCGGAATTTTTCATTGATTCTTCCAAAAATAATACAAAGATTATGCTATCATTGAAAGAATAGTTCAAATTTATACACACGTTTACAACAGTCAATGCCATGACTGATATTCCGAGTGCTGGATGGTACCTCAGGTAGACGCTCCCTTCTTTTTCCTTACCAATAATCAAATTATAAATACTGATATTTGCATGTATATTGTACATAGTATTTCCAAGGTTTAAAAAAAGCAACTGTGAATGAGAACAATAATACAGAATTGATACTCTTTATTGATTGTTTAATAAGATCAGAAAGTAAAATAAAATACGAAAGATAGAGATCCAAAGGAAACTCAGACATAGACGTCGTCGAATACAGCCTATGTATAGATTCATATTATAATATGTAGATCTTTTATTAGAAATAAATGAAATAATTAAAGCATAATTATTGAAAATGACGGAAATATACCTGAAGAAGGGAACCGACTTCAATAAAAATTAATACAAATGCTCCTGTGGTAACAAGAAACACGAGTGACATGACTGTCCTGTGAATCTGAAAACAACAGCATAACAATATTGAAACTACTGCCTGTATTTGTAAGTAACCTTAATAAATACAGATAAAATGCAGGTGTTTTGAAACAAAATAGCTTATGAAACAGGGATGCGATTGTCATATGAACATTTTGTAGGTATATAGATGTTGCAAAAATACTTCAATGCTTATTTGCACCACAAGGGTAATCTATTAACGTTGACTTACAGCAAACCAGACTTTGACTCCGCACGGCATCATATCTTTCCATTCCGACTTGTAGTAGCGGGCAGTTATTATGCCAATACTGGACAGAAATATCCATGCAAATATCATTAAACTTCCTGAAAAAAGGTTCCATTTATTTATTTCAGAAAGTAATAACCTGCAAGGGAAAGAACGTTTCACTTGACAAATTGGGGAAATATATTATGTTTACATAGATATCATAAAAATCCAATAAAACTTTTTGATATGACAATAATTATACGAAAATGATTTTTGTACATATGAAAACTCACCATGTAATTTGTAGAGAAGCATTGATGGTTCCTGAGGTTTAATATCCTCATTCAACAGAAAGTTAACCTTTCCGCCACTGACTTCAGGAATTTTCTCATGTTGCTGAGGTATTCCTGTGAAGAAAAAAAGGCTGTATTTAATCTTACTATTTTTCTTTACCCACTAATTAATATTTACATAAAACATGCACTTTGGATGGAAATTAAAATGTGTAGTTATATTTACAGCTGTGTATTAGAAAAACAACATCCATAATACTACTATTTGCTTATGTTAAAAAGTTCAAATTATAAATGAATTTAGGCGTTTTTGCTTGTTAGTTATATGTATGAGAATATCTATGGATCCAATATTATACATTTATTGACTGGGTTCGAGGGCAACATGCGTTTTGTCGGACCCAAGAACCAAACTGTTTGCCTGAGGCCGTTAGGGGTCGACAAAACGCATTTTGCCCGAGAACACAGTCAATAAATGTTTTGTTATACCTTTAATTATATATTTTATCTTTTTTTTGAACATACATGTATGTCGACCACTAACGAATGCAAATGAGATTTAGCCGACCCCGCCCATTATGTGACGTAAGCGGTCCAACATCTCATCGACAGGTCCAATATCTCACTCTGCGGTCAAACATTGATTTTTTTATGCCCGCTCCGTAAAACATTGGAAATGTTAGACTTTTATTAGTATTGATTTATATAGGAACAAATTTTTAAAGGTATAACAAACAATGATAAAAATGGAACGAAATTTTCTCATTCGGCACTTTTTGTTTGAAGATTATCCTTGATAGTTAATGAATGAATACAACTGCGTAGTATAAAATTTTGTCACCAGTTTTACCGTTTTTGACCGGTCCGTTTCCGAGCAACAAGAAGTATTTTTTGTTTAAGCTGTAAACATCTTCAGAATCCTCAGAGACATTGATTTTTCTTGAAAAAGAGCATTTCATAATTTGACCAGTAACATTAGCAGTTATGTTGAACAACCCGAGTGTGCTCTGAAAAGAGATTCGAACATTTAAGAAATTGGAAAATATATTCTACCTTTTCAAATTAAAATTACTCTTCATCTAAAACTGAAGATTATTTAACCATATCATAAACAGTTATAATTACTTTACTGCAGTAGATGTAATTCTAACGTAAAGTAAAATAGGCAAATCTTACATTTGGCAATATAGAGAAAGTATATCCCTTATTTATTCCGTCCAAAACTTCAAATTTATCATCGTAATGCATACACATCATGACACTTGTTCTTGGCTGGAAAACATAAATATAATTATAATAAAGGGATGGTAAGGGTATCATATTTCTTGAGATTTTTTTTGCCTGAAAGATGTTCAAGAAGATGACGCCTTGAAAATGTACAACATAAAATCTAGCAGACTAAGTAAGACAAATACAAACCATTTTACCATTTGGAGAAAGTCCAATAGCGATCCATCTGTCGTTTGGATTTTCTAAGCTAATTATAATGCTGAAATCGACAAAATTTTCTCTCCTTTTCCATTGGACGACGCCGTCACATGACTCACTAGGACAAGATTTGAAGCAACCAAAACCTTTCTCACAGCGAGGTTGGTCGTTAGGTGTCTAAAAATGGCAAGCTTTATCACAAAATCAAGAAATTAAAAACATTTGTGTTGATATGTTCAACGGACGTTTCGAAATTTTTTTTTTTTTTTTTTTTTTTTTTTTTTTTTTTTTTACATTTTTTCATCGAAGCTTGCCGGTTAAAGCTACTCCTTCTATTCTTTTTCATTGTTTATTTTAGCTTCTGAATTCAATCAAGACATGACATAATTGCTCGTATAGACTCATACCACCGTGACAGGAGCTGCAGATGGAAGAAAGTAATCCACATTTAGAGATTTGGACTCAATGTCTTTCCAGAATATTGTATAGGACTGTACAATTGTGGCCCTGAATTAAAAAAAATGAACAGACACTTCAGTTTTGTACAATTTCCCTTTACAAAAGACATTCAGGCATTTATTTCGATTGATTTACTGGGAGCAGCACTGTCAAGACTAAAAAATTCTAGTTACATAGCTTAGAACGGAGTAGCCTGAAGGATATTTAACAATATCTACTTTTTCATCAATGTTTACGTACCCCCTAATTAAGAAATGTACATCATAGAAGCTTAGCATTATATGTACATGTATTTCAGAAATATTTCTTAGAAAAACTTGAATTTTACAAAGCAAATATTTGTCTGTTGAATATATATTTGTCAAACTACCTGAACTTAACTTTTCCAGTAAAACTTGCAGTCGGTTTCCAAGAAAGACTAATAAGTAATTTTGGGTTTGCATTAGAATGCGTGGCACCCTGCAGTCAAAGCATAAAATTAAAGAATATTCTTCAAAATCTTTCAAGTATGTACCATACTAGCATTATAGTGAAAATTTATAGGCAAAATTGAACTGAACAAAAGTAAGTTTCACAATTATTTGATTTCAGTATGTGAATGTGAACAAATAAATGTATAGTGTAGATAATTTACCCCATTACACTGTGTATGAGCGTTTTCAGGAACCGTAAATTCTCCATCTGTAAATTTTACTGGACTTGCCAAGTCTGTATAAACCTCTATTAGAAAACCTTTAAATGTCGTCCTGCCATCTTTAGGAGAAATTGAAACTGAACGGAAAAACAAAAATACAGTTAGGAATATAATAACACTTTCTCAAAATTAGATTATTAACCTGAGTAACTTCAATCATATGTGCAATTAAAGGTTGATTGTACATTTTATCATTTCTTTTATCCCTCTCTTTGTTTAGATATAATCAAAGAACCAATAAAAACATGATCATACCAGATTCAGATTCGAAATTCACAACATAAGGTCAAAGTTATTATTTTTTATATATCAATAGATTTCTTTTTGAAGACGTACTTGTCAGATTTTCATCAACAGCTAACTTAGAAGCTGACAGTGTGATGTCGTAAGGTGTTGGCGTCGTTTGAGGAGAAACGCCGTGATCTGGGGTCATGTTATCACATGCCGATTCAGGTGCTCCAGACGGGTAACCGAAACAACCGCAAAATAAACCCAAACTCAAATAAATGACGAGCATGTTGCCTGAAACATATGTTCATGAGTTAAATATTTGTGAAAATGCAATTCAAATTAAGTTAAAAATGAAGCAACGTTACACGTGTCTGTCTGTCTCCAATTATATCCGAAGTTACATCCTCCCATTGGAAAAATTTATCGAACTTTGAAACGTGAAGGAAAATATTTCCTGTTTTGATTACTAACAAATTGTCGAGACTATCTTCCTTGAATATCACATAAATAAATGTGTATGCAATCGTGGTGCAATCATGTAAAATACTTACTGTAAAGAGAATTATTTCCGAATGAAAGTTCAATTATTTTAATGTTAGAACATCAAATCATCGTTTGGTAAATCATAGATATGTTATCCGGGTACCACCGCACATGTTCCCAAGGTATGATTTATCACATGCAAAGTCACATGTATAAGTATGATTACATTGCACAACTGCCTTTAATATCACATAAAAACTCAACATTCTGTTAAATTCTTTCTCATTTTATTTGGTTTCTGATAAGTAAAATTAGAAATTGTAGCTGGGAAAAGTTAAAGTAATAATTTGTCGATTCAAGGAAAAATAATATTTACTACCATATCAGATGTCATGACTAGGTGACCCATATTATTACCTTTTGTTTACTTTATTATCTGTGTCTTTAAATTCATCAATAAAATTGATATCGTAGTAGTTATTACACTTCGTATACCAAACTAAATAACTTCGCACTTTGCATATTACAGGGATATATAGATGTTTCTTATTTTCTAGGAATGACTGCAGGAATCGAAATATAAAATATTTGTAAACGAATTTTCAATCAAGCCCTGTCTATGTTAAAATGTCAAAGTTTATTGAGTGTAATATAAATCTTCTAAATTATATAATCTTCATAATATCTTCAACATACATGGATTCAAATAGAAAAGTCTTCTTTTTCCCCTTTGATTTGAAAGAATTTCAGAAAGGATTACCATACATTGTTTTATATTGAAATCTTTAGTGACAAATCAATGAAAATTATAATTATTTAGTTAATTCTTGATGACATCTTAGTATGAATCTATTTTCTGTAAAACCTCCCTTCTTTAATAAAATGATTATCATAAAACACGGTTGACCAGTAACAGGTGATCCAGAATCCTAATTAATGATATAAATTTAGTATTATTAAATTGATACTTTTTCATGAGACATGTATATAACAAAAATATAATGTTTCTACAAGAAAACGATAGCAAATATATGTTTTACAAAAATGCCATTGACATTTTTTCACAGATAATGTTGGAAGTCACACTTTTATTTGCATGATATATGAAGATAATGAACAGTAATCAAGCTCAAAGGTCCATTGAAACAATACAGATCGGGAGCAGAGCAAACAGGAACCTCTGAAAACATCAGAGGTAGGATAAGGTGCCATGGAGGAGTAAGCATCCTCTGTGGACCGGTCAAATCCTCCGTGTGCTACATGTTATGATCGGGTAGACGGAAAAATCCGTAGACAATTCAGTGTGAAAATAATGCTTTAACAATCTCAGTCAACATTGGACTTAAGATAATTGTATTTGCTATCAAGGTCATCGTATTGACCATAGAATTTTAGAAATGACTTTAAACGGGACTGTTGATATTCTTTGTATCATCATCATTTATCAATAGCTTGCTTGCTTGCTTCCTTTTCGAAATTGTTCGTACGTTTGTTTGTTTGTTTGTATGTTGTTTAACGTCCCTCTCGAGAATTTTTCACTCATATGGAGAAGCCACCACTTGCCGGTGGAGAGCTGCAAATTTTGTCCTATACTCGGCACTTACGGCCATTGAGCAGTGAGGGATCTTTTTCGTGCCAGCACCTACTGCGACACGGGACCTCGGTTTATACGGTCTCATCCGAAGGACCGGTCTCCACGTCCCACAGTGGGATTCGAACCTGCGACGTAAGGATCAACTCCTTACTCCGCGACTCTAGAGCAGACGCTCTAACCACTGCGCCACGCGGTTGTTCGTACGTAGAGCATGCTCCGGCCTGCATATTCATATTTATTTATTTATTTTACGTTTATATTATAAAATCAAATAGCCTAATTCAATAATTTTTAAAGATGAAAGTAATTGGTGACCAGAAAGTCTAAACAGAGCCATGAAATCAAAGTTCTTTTCAATGATAACAATATATATGTTTGGTTTGGACAACTCATAAAAACGGAAATTCAAATTTTAAAGTTATCAATATAAGATAATTTCCAGTAAAATTACACAGGTTTCTTTTTGACAATCTCAGTAGTATGAGCATCAAACCTGTTTTCTAGGGGAAAAAATAACTTACCTTTAAAATTCCCGAAAACTATTGATAAGGTCTGTGTCACCTGTTTATCCAGAATGTATGTCATGGGATCATTTTCCACGTTAATTAGTCCTGTATGCCTTTATTGCGATCACAGGTCATTAGGGCTCTCTATTTAACACACTGCAGGTAAACAATGTTTTTTATGCTATGGTCATCTGTGTATTGTGTGCACACATGTTTGAAAAATATCCATCTCTAATTCCCTTTATTCATCACATTTGCCACATAATATTCTTATAGGCTTAGGACTTTCGGTTACCAGAATATTATAGGGATGCAATCAAAATTCTAGGGAGATAATTAAAGAAATATAAACAAAAGAAGTTGTTGATAAAACTTCTAAGTAATCAGTAGAATATATGAAGAATTGATGTTGCACAATTTTCACATAAAAAGTCACTTTTATGGTTATTTCATTTGACTTCCCATCTGTTTTTAAATTTTGAACACTTTTCATCGAAGGCTGAAGTACGCTTTGTTACAACGCAAAATGCCATAACGACGTAAAATGTAATATACTGGATCTTTACATTTTGAAACAAAATTAACGCGTAATGTAATAATGCAAAACGTAATAAAACACTGTTTGGATGATTACTTTTTGGATATTGCGTTTAATATATTCACATTTTTTGTTTCAAACATTCTGTGTCGAAATCGACGCAAACTGTGTTAACACATATTGAAATAATTAGTTATATTAATAGACTGAGTTAAAAATTATCCTTCCAGAGGCGCAACAAGTTAAACAGGAATAATAAAATAGAATCCTTTACCAGCAGTTGTAGATAAGAATTCTTTTTTTCGATTTTCTAACAAAAATATTTCAGGTATAAGTACAAGAACAGTTTGTCATATGAGAATCCATTTTGGAAATGGTTTATTGGTGATGCATATATAAGTATTTTAATCTAATCTGCATAGTAAGAGTACTGAATGGGAAAATATATCTAATAATGTTGAAGCAGTTTATAGCAAAAAAAAAAATGCAGTAAATGAAGTATCTTAACGTTTGGCTGGAATCATCACAACTTGACTGTATGATACTATGACCGCGTAGTTTGGGTTCAAATAATATGTTGTTTCACGGGTAAGAGGGAATGTTAACAGGGAAATGAGTTGCGCTGTGGGCCGGAAGTAGTAAGGTCGTATTTCTAGGGCTCTTCCCGAAAACACATACAAAAGTCCAAGGTAACGAGGAATATGGTTTCCAAATTTATTAACAAGTCCCAAAGATTATAATGGATTAACATGGAACAACAATAAACAGTAACCAGTTGGATATGGCCATTGCCTCCAAACTGTTAAAAGTAGAAATAGTTAGAGCATGATGGGGAACGAGTCGGACGTGGCCGGTAGTACACCCGGCCTCCGAACTGTTAAGTAAAATATGTAAGAACAGTATTTAAAGGTGCTTGAACACAGATTTGAAGTTAACATTTTCTCAAATTTTCTGCATAATTTCATGACTTATATGTTGCTATAGTATTTCATACTAAAATATAATAAAATTCTTATTTCATCTCGAAGTTATTGAAACTTCAAATTTATGAACGTGTTTGATTGACACATCCTTGCACTTTCACAAATTTTAATTCTATTCTTAATACTTAAAAAAAGTGGCAATTTTGTTGTGTATTAATGAAAAATATTAAAACTATAATCCAGAAAAATTCAGAGTAGAAATGTTCGAAAGCAAAACCCACTCACAGTATTGTCAGTCCGTGCTCAGTGGTGTGTGCAGACTTTAACAATTGAACACACCCGGTGAATCGTAAACATTAACAATAAGTGAGCTCGTGTCCTGTTTACAAAAACAGTTTATGTTTCACGGGTGTATTCAATTTGTTAAACTCTGTACACAACACTGAGCACGGGCTGACGATATTAGTGAGGGGGTTTGCTTTCGCACATTTCTACTCTGAATTTTCTGGATTATAGATGTAATGTTTTTCATTAATACACAAAAATAGCTTCTTTTCTTTAATATTAAGGATAAAGATAAAATTTGTGAAAGTGCAAGGATGTGTTAATCAAACGCGTCCAGGAATTCGTAGTTCCAATAATTTCCAGATAAAATAAGTTTTTAATTATATTTTCGTGTGAAATGCTATTGCAATATATAAGTCGTGATATTATACAGAAAATTTGAGAAAATATTAACTTCAAATCTGTGTCTAAGCACCTTTAAGAGGAATTGAACAATGAGTTAAAAATGACAGGTGTTGACAATGAGTAAAAGTGATATAGGTACCAATTAATGAAATGCTTTGATCACATGGACATAAAGAACACCGATAATTAGATAATTATATGTTGTGCGTATAAGTGATTACAAAGGTCTTTGGGCATTAACACTCTGTCCCTTTGTTGTGCGACAAGTGTCACTGAGTAATTAAATGAGAAATTAGTAATTTAACATATGTAAAATGTAAATTCTAAAACAAAATAATTTTAAAATATTGAATTTCACATAAAAACAAAAATGAAATATAATAACATTTAAAGTCCAAAATAAATAAAGAGTGAAACAGTTATTTTCACACGGTGATAATACTATCAGTGTGGTGATCCCAATTTTGATGAAAATATAAAAGAACCGACGTCCTTATGAACGTTTATTCCATAAATTATTGCTAATTGAAAATTTTAATTTAAGCATTCTAT